ATAGCAGAAAGATAAAAACTTTGATTTTGGATTAAGAAAATGACAGCCAAAACCGTCCCAGGGCATCGGTTAATAATTCGGTCACTACTCGAGCAGAGAGGCAGAGAGTGCCAAATCTTGAAAGATGATGAGCTTTCTTTCTACAAATATATCAGAATGAATCAAAATCAATTCCAGAGAAACACCTTCAGAAGCAAAACAAACTATGAGGGGCTATCAGCGCTAGAGAAAAGCTAATGGAGAGTATGCTTAAGGGATTAAAAAAATAGTTCATGAAGTACACCGTTTACATTCAAAATAGTAAAAGGCACGAGTAAAAAGGTCACTCGCGTTGACCATGCTACTGCCACTGTCGCTGCCAGTACTCCTCTCGTTTGTAAGAAAAAGATCTCATGGATTTAAGCCCTTGTTAAAGAACAAAAGGTATTAGGCTCAGCGTTGAAGTTGCTTCTACGTCCTTCATTGCCGAGGTCGAACCGTATCAGGGAATATTTTGTGGAATAATAGAGGCAATTGCTGTAAACTAGGTATAATGCCGTCCCTTGGGTTTGGGCAATATTTGATCTCATTATGGATTTTTAATGGGTCCCTTTTTTTGGTAAATTACTAGGACTCAGAAAGGCTCGTGGCCGGAGGTGTTCATACTGGCTCGACTTTTGGGAAGTACGTCGGCCTGCTCACAGTGTACGTTTTTGAATGGTGTAAAAGCTGTATGTGAACTATTGTTAATTTGTGTGTTTATGAGCAGTTTGGTGTTAACAACCAAACCACTCCGGCAAATTCACGTTCCAAATGAGACTCCATAAAAAGGACCCATTTTTAAATTGATAACTGAAGAGGAAAAGTGGGTCTTTTACAGTGTTCAGAGAGGAAAATCGTGGGGAAAACCGTTAACCACTCCAAAAGTTGGAAGACCAAAGAAGATGGTACATTTGATGGGATTTGAAGGAGATGCTGTAATAGCTTCTTCCGACAAACCAAACCGTTAATCCTACTCTATTAAAGTCAGCCAAATTGACCAAAAGAGACCGGCATTGGATAATCGCAATAGAATTGTTTTCCATCAGGATTAAGCTCACCCCAGAAATAACTAAAGCTAGCCTGGGGTGTGCTATCCACCCATTGTATTCGATTTTCACATATTCCGTGCTCTGCAACTCTATTAATAAGGAAAACATTACGTCATCGAGGACTTAGTTCATCGCAAAAACCCGAGATTTCCTGTGAGGAAGGAATTACAAAATTACAGTGTGGTGCAACACTTTTCGTTATAGTACACTTCTCTTAGATTCCATATTCGACCATATTGCCTGACTCACAGGTTCTGCAAAGATCTTTTAATGGGAAAAATTTTACTGGACTGCAGAAAGCCAATCAAGGTTCATAGCCCAAAAACCTGCGTTCTACTTGAAAGATGGCAACAGGTAGTGAAACAAAAGGTTCGTTGTTTATTAAATATGTTTAAAATGACCTGAAATCAGTGAATCTACTATCAGAAAACACTATGAACTTATTTTACGACAAAATAGATTGAAAACAAGATCGGGCTCAAAATTCCGCCTTGGAGTAATCCTAATAGAACTGAGAGTGGGTCTTAAAGGTGCAACACTTTTCGTTATAATACTCTTAGATTCCAAATTCGACTATATTCGCCTCTCTCACAGGTTCTGCAAAGATCTATTAATGAGAAAAATTTCACAGGACTACAGAAAGCCAAGTTCATCGCTCAAAAACCTGAGCTCTATGTGAAATCTGAGGACATGTAGAACAAAATGGCTTATTGTTGATTAAACTTTTTTAAAACTAGCTTGAATAATCGAATGTACTTTTAAAAAAACGCCATCGACTTAACTTACGACCATCACGCTAGAAGGGAAAAAATCATCGGCTATTTATCGACAAATTGAAAATTTGTTTCCAACTCAAGTGGTCTGATCCAGATTACACGTTATCCTCCCTGTTGAAATATTTCTTTTGTTTAAACAGGTGTTAGAATAAATAGTCATTGATTTATTGCGATTCGCATTTTTTCTGTAGCTATGATACTCTGAGGATGCTTGGCTTAAACTGACAAATTGCATATTTTCAGACTTTATTGTGTTCGTAATTAAATATTAAACAGTTTTAAAATAAATTCAGCTGTAGAAATTTTTGCCAAATTTTGTATGTCTGTATGCAAAGGGGACAAAATAAAATCAGTTTGGAGCCAATTATAAACGGGAAAAGTCAGTTAATGAGTGAAAATTTCGTTTCTGATCAACGATGACAGATCCCGGATGCCAATTTGGCAAAAGAAGAAATAAAACTAACATAATAATTGAATTGACGGCCCGCTAACCGCCTAAATCTGTTACTTTCCTAAGACTTTTAAGCTTCTGATTGCTGGCTGACTTCACTTTCCCTTTCGGATGAAACAGGGAGGACAGAAAATGAAAGTTTCTCTATTTTGTTGTTTGTTTTTCTATGAAATACCATGGAACCCTCCACCATTTGATCACCTTGTAAAATAAAATCCTGCATAAAATTTACAGACGCAATAATCTTCCTTTCACCTAGACTTGTCCTGCATAAATTACGACTTTATAACAACAGAAAATTAAAAACAACGACCTATTTGTTTGAACTTCTCAGATAAACAAACTAAGAAAACAGATACTACGTGAGTATAAATAAACAATTTTTAAAAAAATTATTTTTGAAAAAAAAATCTATTTGAAAACTTACATTCTGTCGACAAAGAAAGAGTGGATATGTAAAAAGTTGATAGGATGGCAGATTTGAATGAAGCCCGTACTGAATTGGAGCCGGAGGTAAAGCCCAGGGGACTTTATCCAAGAAGGCGTACGTCTGCTGAATCCGAAGTCCCTTCCGGTTCCCGACGTCCAACCGGTCTGGTATCCCACTCCTTCAACTGTCTCCCCACTTGGATGCTTATAGATCGGCGCTAGTCGAGTGGGGAATTTCGATGGATTTTTCCGTTTTTCCGTGCAATTTTCGTATAGATTATAATAATAACAACAAACAAATACCTTCTTTCATTGCTTATCATGCATTGGTAAAAAAAATTTATACGTATAAAATAACTTCCCACTGATTCATCGTCGCCGAACGAACCGACAAAACTGTCATAATAGGGTTCAAAGTTCATATTGGGGGAAAAAAAATTATTCCTCTGTTTTTCTTAAAATTTATCATAAATACACTCTACTTCAAGAAAGCACGACGCCACACTATGGTAGAACTTACGGTAAATCCTAATATGTCGTTATTTTCATACATCATAAATAGTCAGGCCCATGATCACAAAAAATTGAACAAAGAAATACAAAATATTGCAAAAAAAGTCCTAAGTATAGCATCGCTAGTGCTCTTAAAACAGCATCCGACGCAACGGAACGAATCCTTAAGCTCCCACGTTTTACCTATATCCTGGTAGGCAAGGACTTAGGGACTGAGAATTCCTGAGTCAGAAGAAAGAAGTTAAAATTACTGGCACGACCAAAACTATCTCTCACGAACTATTAAAGAAAATAATAGACTTGGAAAAACCCTTCAACTCAAAAAATTGAAAAGAGAACATGTTAAACTAAAACAAAAAATTAAAGCATATTTTCTCCACTTCACGGCAAAAAACCTTGAATCATGGATTTGTAACCCAACCCTACCTAAACTAAAAGTAACCCTAAACAATGCAAAACCATATCTGTCTGTAACACTAATCATAACCATTCATAATCTACCTCTCCCCAATCATTTATAACTAAACCTCTCCCTGAGACTAACCTTAGCTAACCAAACCCTAACCATTCTTAATCTAATCTCTCCCAGACACTAACTCTAACCATTCATAATCTAACTTTTCTGTCACCAACCCTAACCATTCATAATCTACCTCTCCTTAACTATTCATAATCTAACCTTTTTGTGACACTAACCCTAGCTAGCTTAACCCTAACCAATCATAACCTAATTTGTCCATAACTCACCCTACCTAACCTAACACTAACTGTCCCAGTCACTAACCCTACATAATCATTAATAATTATTCAGAAATCGTGAGATGCGGTCTGGTGTGATAATGATTAATAATCTAACACTCGGCTTACATAATCTAGCCTGCCCCTAACCCAAGCTGTCCCCACCACTAAACCCACATTACCTAACCATTCATAATCTAACCCTCCCTAACCTTACATAATCTAATCCTTATCAGTCATAATTTAACCTGTCCCTAACTCACCTTACTTAACCACTTATAAACAACACTAACCATTCATAACCCAACTTATCCCCATCACTAACCCTATTAACCTACATCATCATAAATAATCTAACCCCCTAAACTTAAATAATCTAACCCTCCCCATCCTTAAATAATCTAACCCTCCCTAACCTTAAATCATCTAACCCTAACTATTCATAATCTAATTTCTCCCTAAAGGATTAACCCTATCTAACCTAACTCTTTATAATCTAACCTGTCTCTAATCATTCATAACCCAACCTGTCCCAAACACTAAACATTCATTACCGTACTTTTACCATTTATAATCTAATCTGTCCCTAATACTACCTAACATAAGAACAACCTTGAGATCTCATTCCTTATTAGTTAGTTTACCTAAGTTCGCATGTCACCAACCCTCAGATTAAAACATAGCATGTTTCTGAACATAATGGAACGGAGTCATACTTCAGTTCCTTAATCTTGTTTTCTATAAGTTCATTTAATTGAAATAATAATGAATTATCACTCAACAATTAAGTTTTTAAATTTTTGTCTGAACTTGTGCCACCAATTTACAAATTTATAGAAAAATCTGCCAAAAGATGAAATTATTTACTTTATTAAAGTTTGAAGAAGAAGTTGAAGTGAAGAACACTCTTTTTCCTCACAATACTAGGTTTTGTCATGACATCTAAATAAATAAAACAACTAATTTAAAATATAAAACTGTATTTGAATTATTATATTAAAACTTTTTTTTATACAATTCCATGTAAGACTACAATATGTTATTTTTTGTGTGTATATATTAAAAAATATTAAGTATATTATTACGTTATTACACAGTCTAAAGTTGCCCGTAAGTTTTATCGCAACTTAAGTGGGTTAACTTCTTGTATCGGTTTTATATATTGAATTAATTTGAGTTGCATATTCATACAACATTTCAAATAAGATTTTTGATGAGTTTATATAATGACATTATGAATTAAAAGAACACTTTTACAACAAATTTATATCCAAAACAAATATTAAAAACTAACAGCATACTATGTATACAATAACATGTTAAATTAACATAAAAATAATATTAAAAAAAATATTAAAGTGTAATGTTAAAAAGTAAATATATTAATTTAAATTAAATTGGTATTAACAAAAGTGTTAAGTTAAATAAACTATATCACATTTTATAACACATTGAATAGATAAAACAAGAGATAAAAAAACTCTATTTAGTTTTCTTGTAATATTTCGCATTGAGGAGAAATAATAATAAATTGATATTAATTTTTGCTTTTCCAAAAATATTTTTCACGCCTACACCATTATACTGGAGCTGCAATAAGTCCTGAAAAATGTAAATTTGATGTTTTTTATGTCAAAATAAATTGGTTTGCATCAATAATACTCACTTGCATATCGATTTCAACGTTTTCCACTTCGACTCCCATAAATTTCCCAGTTATGTCAAATATCCCGTTATGGTCTGAAGGGCGAATTTCAAACAGTACGTGCTTATATTGAGAAGGAGGGAGGCCGTCGATAGATATTAATATACCTTTATCGAATAATTTTGTTCCAGTGTATTTTAAAACATGTTTCGAATTAAATTTTTCATTGGGGTTAGTCCTTTTCACAACATGAATATTCCTGTAAATATATATCAGAAATATATTAAAAATTGATATAAACAAAATGTATTAAAATTTTTTGTTTTCATGCATTTTTTTGTGCAAATTTTTGAGTTTGAGCCAAAGTAATTAAAAAACAGACTAAAATCAAATTATAACAACGGTCTTATTTTTACAACCCAATATTTATAAATATTAAGATCTCCATTTTTTTGTGAATTGAGACAAAATATATTGCTGAATGCTGACATAATTACTACACAGGATGTCAGGCTCCTCACATTACAAACCTTACCATAACAATGGAGACAAAAAAGTTTGTATAAACGATGGTCCAATCAACTCATTCTTAGATATTCAAGATTTTATGTGTACTTCAACTATCACCAGTTTTCGTCATAAATCTACTCATAGCTCCCTGAACTATTCATTTCTGGAGAAATATTTAAAAAAAAGCATTGAAAAGAGCATTAAATTTCCTTTATAAGAAGACACCCTCCTAGAATTGTCAATTTAATTTTTGGTAAAACAAAAACATTAAATCTTTCAAAAACTACTACATTACAATTTGTTTAAAAAATGTAAATTTGAAACCTCATTGGAAAAATTCACAGTAGAGCTTGGAGAATTTTGTAACTTCGTCATTTAATAACATTTCTAGTGATATACCCTATTGTTTAATTACACTAGAACCAAAATGCGGAAATTTTATGCTAAATGGGAAAAAGAGGTGACGGTGAGAATAAGGGTACTGGGTTAATCAAGTGATTCAACTTTTTATCCTGATAACAATTTATTTTACAATAATGAACAAACCAAATTATATAGAATTTTTTGGGTGTGATTTTTTATTAGGTTAGAGGTAGGTTTTACAACTTCTGCATTTATTTATTTATTTATTTTTAAAAAATAAAAAAGGAAAAAAGTTTAATTTCAAGGTTAACCCGAGTTTTGTTTTTCTCATGGTCACCACTTTTTCCCATTTAGCATATAATTAAAGAATAAGGTATACACCTGGAAAGCTTATTAAATTAACAATTTGTCAAGCTCTACTGTGACTTTTTTCAGGTTGCAAATTTTTTTTAAACAAATTTTAAATGTAGTAGTTTATGAAGGATTAAGTTTTTTTTTAATAATTAAATTAAAATTTTTAGAAGGGTGCCTTCTCAAAGGAAATTTAATGCTCTTTTTTCCCTGAAAAATGAATAGTTCAAGAGCTGTGAATAGATTTATGATGAAACCATAGGTACTTGAAAAAACAAAATGCTGAATATCTGTGAAAGGGTTGAGAATCAGATCATGGTTCATGCAAACTTTTTATCATACTGGAGGAGTGAAATTCATATACAAAGCTTGTTACGCAAGTAGCCTTACACCTTGTGTATTTTATATAGTAATAATTTCATTTAATTTTATATAGAGAGTTAATTTACCGTTTTCCGCTGTTAAGGTTTTCTAAACATCTCTCAATATACTGTTGGTAGGAAACAATTTGATCTTGATAATATGCAGTCTTTTCTTTCAGGCTTTTCAAAGTTGCTTCCACATTGCACAAGTCCTTAAATCAATATAAAAATAAAAGCAAATTTTCAATTTAAAAAATAAATAAATAAATAATATTAAAAAATTGACATTACCTTAGATTGCTGCTTTCTGTATTTATTTTTATTTGAAATGTCAGCAGCGATAGAATTTAATATGCATTGATAGCTATTGTCTTTGCTGATCACACCCTGATCACACAACTGATTTAAATATTTTTTCAACTTGGATTTACATTCTTTAAGTGTCCTAGAGAAGAAAAAAAATAGTTAGCGATTATTTATTTACATTCTACTAAAAAAAAGAATTATAATTATACCCTTGCTCGGGGTTTCTTTCTTTAAATAAATTTGCCTCATCTTTTGTGCTTTCAATTCTAAGGGCGCCTGGCAACGTGTGGCCGGATAAATATGGAAATACCATAACTAGAATTTCCTTTGCTCTGGAATCAGCAAAACATGAATTATAGGAATCTTATTTCATGTTTAATGTTACTTGGTTATTAAATTTTACATAAAAGAGTGGATAAGTAACGTATTGAATTCATACCATTGGCACTTTAAGAGTCTTAAAGGATTGTCAGGAAGGGGTTGGGATGAACGTTTAACATTTTATGTGACTGTATCAGATTGCAGTGGTTTTGAGGACAATAGAATTTAAAGGTTTTTGTGAATAAAGTTGGATTCGAAGTAGGGAGCTGAATTGATAAACCGCTTTGAAAAAAAGGGCAATACCATTCCGATACCAACCCTTCAGGCAATGGCTCAATTTTGAATTTTATCTACCACCTTTCAGTAACTTGACAAGTGACTTCACCCCGTCTGCCCTTCTAACTACTCTTCCTACAAATGCTCTCCACTTGAGTAGCTCTCCGCTTGATTCACTCGTTCATAAGCAAAAGGTAATTAACTTACAGGGTTGTTAATTGTGATGTGAATGAAATGACGAACTGTGCAACCTTCTTCGTTTAATTAATTTTTTAAAAGTTTAAATTATTATTGACAGTAATAAAACATGAGAAAAGTTCGACAGTGTGTCATTTCTTTTATATAACATTGTAATTTAGACAAAAAAAAAAAAAATCGCATGGAATTATGAATAAGGCGGGCCCTAGATGATCAACTATATTGCACACTATTATAAATTGCACAATATTTTTGACCGTATAGGGTTTGTATTGAAGTTTGCTCAATGAACAAAAGTTTGAGTTAAATTTTTATTGCGCTTTGCAATGCAATTTAATGCAAACCTTACACGGGTAAGGTTAATATTGTGCCATATTTTTTAGACTATCTAGCATTCGTATAAATTGGGATCATAATGTCATTCAATACTATTGCACAATATAAGTTGAGATTTGATTTCGTCGAGTCTGATCCTACATTTCTTCGCAATGTTCTTTAAAACAGGACAGATCCTGGTGGTTTATGAAGGCCACTGGGTCTGGGTTTGATGATGGTGGTACTGCATATGTAAGTACTTGGGATTTTTAGGAAAGTCTGCAGTTTGATGTAGTGTAAATCCTGTAGTTGATTTACACTACAGGATGAATCCTTGGAGAACACCTTTTTTCACAGTCTTGAAAGAAGGAGAAAAATCATGTATAAAATTATCCTACCGACCATTTAGTTAGATAAATACAACTTATATTCAATTACTATTATCTTGATAATGTATAAAAATTGACTGGTCTGTTCATTAGTATATTTAATGCCAAAGGTAATTGTAAAGTTGTAATAGCTAAATACGATAAACTGCACAAAAAAAAAAAAAAAAAAAAAAAAATTGTAAAACAAAACTTTTACAATTGTTCACTGGCACTTACCGCACAAAAAGTTTGTTCAGATCTGTGTTGCTTTCAGCGAATCCTTCAAATTTATTCTTAAGTTTTATACAAATTTCAGTTTTGGCTATTTGACGTTCGTTGTAGTCATCACTGCCATCATCTTAAAATTAATTTAAGAAATACGTCAAACATATAAATGTACACTTCATACTAATTATATTAAGTACACACACTATAAACTTTTATATTATCACGTTCGTTTCGGCATTGATTTGTGAAGACACGGAAAGAAATTTTTATTAAAAAAATTTATTTGTTTCAAAAAATCACAAAATTTCCAAAAGTTCAATCCAAAAATCAAATCGGTCTTCATAATAAATGTGTAGAGATTAGTGACNCTGGTGTGATGTAGGTTTCAGAAAAACATTTTCTTTATCGTGCCAACGTTTCGATCTTTATTTAGAAATCGTGAGATGCGGTCTGATGTGATGTAGGTTTCAGAAAAACATTTTCTGAAACCTACATCACACCCGACCGCATCTCACGATATCTGAATTACTTCATAATAAAGTTGATAAAGTGATACTAAAGGCATGTGACACCAATTAGATTCCAAAAATTCCCAAAATACCCTACAACAAGCTTTGAAAAGCAGGGATTTTCTAGAAGAGGTGTGTCGTTCCAGAACAATGGCCGTAACAAACGTGTGAACAGTTTGAATGCTGCAAATTCAGATCTTTGTATTTGCAGGAAGAAAAATACTTACAACCTGACAGCTGAGACAATGTAGGTACTGGCCCTAAATCATTGAGCAATTCTTTTAGAGGATCATTTACTTCTGGTGCAATTTCATTTTTATTATCATTCAGTAGAGTATGAATTTCTAATATTTCCTAAATAAAATTAAAACAAATGATAAATAAAAATATTCATAACATAATATAGTTATAAAAAGTGAACTGTATATTTATATTGTAAATAAAGCATGACAAAATAATTCTCGCTTGATTGCCTCTGTTTATCCTGCTCATCGATGATTCACTTGTTAGTCTTACTCATCAGATTACGAAATGGTGAAAGGCATTTTATCTAATAGATAAAATAGGTAGATCAGGTTGATACAAAAAATTATTTCACAGTAACCAAATCTTTAATATTTCAATATTAATTGCAAAACTTTTGAATAGATTAATTCATGTATGCACTGTATTTAGCAGTCATAATTGACCACATTAATTATTTAAATTCATTATACTTTGTATCTTTTAAATATAGTACAATAAAGTTTTTTTTAACATTCTCTCTCTCTCTCTCTCTCTCTCTCTCTCAATCTCTTAATCATAATAAACTTTATATTATTCATTGAATGAATAGTTAAACATTATGACTAATAAGATAAGTATTTGTAATTTAGGCATTATTGATCATTGCTGTATCAGTCAGTCAAACTCGTTTCAGAATTTTGGCGACAGAGTTTAACCTGTGTGATTTATGTGAACCTGCAGACCACATAGAGTGATCTCAAAAAATACATATTTATTATACCTTTTCTCCTTTATGGCTTAAAAAAAGAAAACTTGAAAGTTATATCAAATAATTGAAAAACTTCAAAAATTACGTTTCTACTTATCTAAATGTTTCTCTTTCATCACAGCCACAATATGGTTTTTAATAAAATTGTTAAAAGATTGGGCAGGATCAGCCACAACCAATACGTTATCTGCATGGACTCGTTCAGCGCGATATTGACCATCTGTAATATCTTCCCCATGCTAATCCAGGCAATATGGAAGAAAATTAATTAAACAAATAAAGAAATAATCGATATTATCTGGATTCCGGGCCATGTTGACAAAGAATGCAATGAGAAACCTGTGAGCCCAGCAGATGCTGTTTATTTAAAAATTTGATGTTGGGAAGTTTGGCAAAACCACTGGGCTGTAATGACCAACAAATTAAAAGTGATAAAACTGTCCACGAACAGTGGGCTTGGAGAACATGGACAACAAAAAGTGATGGCCCAATCATGAATTGGCCACACCGGGAGTAACACATCTCCTAATTAATAAGGCGACAGAGCGGCACCCAAGCAACTGAAAAACATTTACTGGTATAGAACACACCAGTGATACCACTCAGAACAATACACGAATCTCAAAAGATTTATAAGATAAAGCTGTGAAGTCGGCAAAAATCTGACTGGATACCTGAAGCGGATAAATGCATATGGTCACATTTTATGACCTTTCACACATGGTCTCATTTAGAATTAATGTGTTTAGTAGGGTGAGTGTTTGATTGAATGGGTAGGATTGTGGCAGAACAGACCTACCAAACTAGGTTAGTTATTTTATCTTTCTGAATGAATGTACTTAATTGGTGTGATAGATTGAGTGACTGACTGACGACTGTAGGTATGAGTGTGTGTGTGGGGACCATGAAATCAAATGGATTTAATTAAAGAAAGAAAGAAAAAAATGAAAATTACATATGTATATTTTTACCTTATTAATGCATTGATTTTTTTTTTTTTAGATAAAATAATCAGTTATAATGGTTTGTATGCTTTTGGAATAATAAGATTTTTTCACAAAATTCTTACTTGGTGTTAAAAAAAGAATGGTGCTTTCTATTTTGACATTTTTAACACAAACTTGTCGAGATGAAAAGAAACCAAAATGGTGACTGAGACTGTTAAAATTAAAATTAAAATTCGTATTGTAAACCCAACAGGGGATTCCCTAAATTCGAGATTCAACTGAGAAAACACGCAAGATCGTTAAGTCATTGGTTAATACAAAGAAAATTAAAGGGGAAGAAAATCATTATAAGACCCTTTTGTTTGAAAATGCATCGCCATTTTCAAATTATCATTGTAACCATCATCGTTATATACAAACAAAATTATTGCACATGAGATAGAAAAGCAACCGAAAACACTGCTCAAAGTCATTATACCCAGAATATTATTGCATCCAGCATCGTTATAAGCAAATTCCACTGTACATTTTAGAGCGATTGTGGGCAGGACATAGGTGTAAAACACCGATGCCTCCCAAATTTTAATTATGCATATAGCATGAAAGTTTCTAGTCAGTGAGAATGTATTTATTAGTGTGAAGTATAGCATTTTAATTATTTTCTTTAATTATTTATTATTTTAATTAGTTTCCTATTTTTGTGGTCCCTTGGGTTTCGAATTATCAACAATCGACTGTATGTTTTTAGTTGGTTCTATTAACAAAAGTAATTATTTTAATTCATTTATTATTTTTCAATTCAACTATACTTTGCATAAAAAATAATAAATTAAATTAAATTAAATTGTTACTTACTTGTAATGAAATATAAATTATAGGAGAAGTAATCAACGTAGCTTCGGTGTACTCATTTATTGAAAAGTGAACATCTAAGTCTTCGACCTCACAACATTGTAGGAAGTGTTCTTTAAATACATCATGACATTCAATAATGAACGGATTTACACACATGAGATGTCTTGATTCATCTCCAAACTGAAATACCCAAATGATTACCAAACGGAATTATATTTTTATGAACAGAAGATTTTTTTTTTAATTACCCCTTTTTTTGCTGCTGCAAATTGCAAGATTTTCGCTATGCTTGCTAAAGAATGACGCTCATCGCTTGAAAGAGTTTTACCAGCTGGCAGAGATATAATATCAAATGCATCAGGAGCGACAATCGCTGAATTGATGAATTGATAATAAAGCATGTTTCCAACGACCTGTTGTAAGGATAGAACATTAAAGATTTTGTTTATTTTTAAGATATTAACTAATTGAGAGGAAAACTATTTGATTAACCAAAATATATACTGAGAGGCAAAAAGTGGCCACCCTTAATATTTTTAATTCTCTTACACAATCCTTCATTGATTATTTTACATTATTTGGGCTGTTTTAAAGGATTAGAGGTAATTAAAACACAGATGAAATCTCCCCCTTGTGTTTACAATTGGATTTTGTCAATGAATCTTATAATAGGCAATCACTTTTAACGATCCAGTGGTTTGATTTTGTTTCAAAGTTATACCATTTTTAAATTTCAAATATGTTTGAGAGATTGTTTTACGTGATACAGATTTGGCTAGAAACATAGCATTGTTGATAGATGGAAGAAGTCAAGCATTTGTGGCCAAGGTGCTTAATATTCCCAGAACAATTGTCCAAAGGGTCTTCCATCACTACCCAGATACTGGAGTTTACTCAAGAAGGCATGGTTCGCACAAACTTGATCTTCATCGAAGATTCCCTAACAGCTGCGCGATATGTTGAAGAAGTGTTACAAGAAGTTGTTCCTTATATGCCACTACTTCACAACTGTTTTATTTGTATGCATGACAATGCAAGGCCATACACAGCTAGGATCATTGGTGAGTACTTGGAATGGGCTTCAATTCAATGTTCGGAGTAGCCAGCATCCCGAATCAAACAACTTTGGGGCGAGTTGTCAAAGAGGGTAAAAAGTTTCCTATTGATGCCAGAGAATTTGTAGGAATTAAGTATGGCGCTGTTGGAGGAGTATGAAAATTCACCATACTATACCACTACATTCAAAACCTCATAAAATCCATGCCACGGCCAACACAAGCTGTGATTAACACAAGAGGAGGAAGTACTCCATACTGAAATTGTTTTACTCAGTTTAATTTTTTGTTTAGCTATATGTTATATTTTTCTTTAAAAATAATCAGTAAACAACAAAAAATAAAAATTATAACAATTGCGAGTAACAACTTAAAAAACAAGGGTGGCCACTTTTTTTGCCTATTAGTGTTATTTTACTTATTTGTAAATGTCCCTTTAATAAAGGGGTTGGCGGCATTGTACCATGGTTGTGTCAGTCAACTCTGAGATATTTCTTAATTGCCAAGCTTTTGTCCTAAATTTGACCTTTCAATCATTAGTCATTGTTGTAATTTATATTCAATGTTATAGAAAAATAATAGCTGAAAGCTTGGAAATTAATAAATATTTCATATTTGACTGATCACCATGACATCCTAAATTACCTCTACCTCATCCTAAATTAACATAAGAAAATATAATTTTTTAAATATACCTTCATTATTTCTTTTAATGGTGCATTGGGAAATTTTGACATTAACGCTGATTTCAGTTCTTTGGCAATAAACCTCAAACCGTACGGTAAACAATCTCTCGTTGAGACTATCCTCTTGAGAAACATTCTTACATATGATTTCAGTAGGTCTAATGCTTTGTTGACACGTTTAACTACTTCTGGATGACTTAAAGCCACATCATATGACACAGTGTGGGGTAAATCACTAAAACAAAATATAATTATTGATGGTAGCTGAGATGATGATTTGTGCATTTTTTCAGGGGCTTGTGCGCGCGCGTGTGTGTGTGTGTGTGAGAGAGAGAGAGAGAGAGAGAGAGAGAGAGAAAGACAAACTGAGACTGCTAACCAGTGTTATTTTTGTCTTATCAACCTGTTTTTTAAAGGTTAAAAATTATTTTATTAATTATTTATTTAATAAATATTATTAGTATTAATTACTACAAAATTATTAATGTAACCATTTTCAATGTTATGAGGGAGTGTGCAAGGGTTGGGTTGGGTTAGGTTAAGTAAAATAGGATTAGGGTGTTAGGTTAAGGTATATATTTGTATACACATGGACACTAATTTTCTCTTTCTTGTGGACTTATATATTTCACCTGGATTAAATATATATATTAATATGGATATGTTTTCTGGGCTGGATATAAAACTAGGTTTGGCAAGAAAATAATGTCGTTTTTCAATTATAGGATTAATTAGCTTAATATTTACAATTTTTGTCTATATTATTTTTGTTTACAAATACGCTTGTTTAATCCCCAAATTAAAAGATTTTATTTCCCCTCAGTTGCTGTTTTCACCTTCTTTAGTAGTGTCAAATAATTTAATAGGTAATCATGACTGGATGAAACGCATTTAAGGCATTATGCGTTATTCCTTCACTTTAGGAATTCCAAAAAGGGAACAATGCAACTGTCGCAACTGAAAATTTGTGTGCAGTGTTTGGTTCTAATGCTGTAAATGATCGTAATGTCCAACAGTGGTTTGTTCGATTTAGAGAAGGAAATTTTGCTCTTGAAGATGATGCGCGCAGAGGACATCCTTCTGAGGTTGACGCTGACTCCAACAAGTTGAGGTATAGGCTAGAAGAAAATCCCTGCTTGACGACCGAAGAACTAGGGAGATGTTAAATGTTACCCAAACAACCACTGGAAACCACATCCAAATAGTTGGGTTTTTCAAAAGTATGCTACATGAATCCCACTCAAACTCAGCAAAAGAAATTTTGTGGATTGTATCTCAATTTGCTCTTCACCCCTCTGTCATCACTCTTACAACCCATTTCTTCATAGACTGTTAACAGGTGATGAAAAATGGATCACATACAAAAACAAAGTCTGCAAAAAAGCTTATTGTCAATCCGGTCAACAGCCCCCCCCCCAGTTGTTCCAAAACAACAAAAAAATGTATGTCATACATTTGGTGGAACAAGTAGCTCCCTTGCATTTTGAGCTTTCACCACAAGGGCAAAACGGGTAATAGTGAACTGTAGTATGAATGAACACCTAACCCATTTAGACCTTCAAGTGTAGTAAAAATGGTCTGCACTAGCAAACAGAAAAAGTGTAAGTCTTTCACCATGGTAATACTCACCCCTCGCGTTGTTTTGAAGACCAAACAATTATTAACAAATCTTAATTGGGAAATTTTATCACCTACTTTACTCTCACTTAGGTTATTATAAAATTTTTTAAATGGCCAAAAGTTTGAAAATGTTCCAACAGCAGTGCAAACCTTCCTGGACTCAAAAGATAGAAATATTTATGCAAGAGGAATAGATTTGCTACCTGAAGGATGGCAAAAAGTAATTGCAAACATTGGACACATATGTGTACAATACACCTCCAAATAGTTAAAAACCATGTCAGGTATTAAAAAAAAAAAAAAAATATATACTATAAAAAAACATTAATTTCTTGCCAACCTAATATTTGTGTGACCATTTTTGTGTTATGTAGTAGTGTGCTTGGGTTGGGTTGGGTTAGGTTAGGTTAGGTAAGGTTAGGTTTGGTAGGGTTAGGCTAGGAATGGTTAGGTAAAGTCACTACTTTATGACCTATGTATGTCTTTTGAGAGGGGTTCAAACTTTTTTTTATGGAGCACCATCACACTGGTTATGCGAGGCTTTACAAAATTAGCCACCTAGCCTCTCTGGGAAACTCCTCAATTCCTGCATACTGTGATTTTTTCCCACTCTTAAAGTTCTCTAAAGTGGGGAACACCTGACACAACTTCCCATACGGGTACACCACCTGTTTATTACAAGGGTCCACATGTATAAAAAATATTAGGTACATTAAGTGAAATTTAAAAAATGGATTGAATTTGAATGAATTTATCTGCATTTCTGCTGTTGCTTATAAGAGACATTTTCATTGAAAAATCTATAAATATAGTATCTGTGTCTGATTATTAGAAATACTTTTCATAGTAAACTAACGGCCAGGGAAAATCAAACTGTCCAGTCATGAAGGATGTCCTTAATAGAAGTGTGTGCGTGGAGAAGTTCGACTATACATGATAATCAAGTCTATATTAAAGAAGTTCACTGAATTGACTTTATTTCAAGACATTAAACTGTCATTCATACATTATTACACAGTAAGTAATAAATTATAGTTATATTTATTAATAAATTATTGTAATTTAAACTGTCATACATAAACTTACAAGGATTTGCCGGAGTTCATTTCCGTCTCATTACGCCAATGATTATAAATTGAAACAGGGTTTGTTTCTATTGTCATTTCTTTATTATTAAGAACCTAAAAACAAAAATTGAAGCAATTAATATAAGCTTAGGTGTATTAAAACAATGACAATAAGGTGAATATTTTCATAAAAATCTTTTTGAAGGTTTACAAATCTTTTACAAGATTTAGCCAAGTGGCTGGCATAGAAATTGTGCAGTCTGTAGTGCCTCCCAAGATAGCCACAAATGAAAACACTGGATTAGATACAGAATACGAATTTCATAAAGTAGACAAGTTCTTAAATATTTGACTTACATGCAACTATAATGTTTTCCATAAATACTATGAGTTTTTTTTAAATCACTGTTCTATTTGTCAGGATAGATCATATGTAAAACTGACTGAATTTTCTAAAAATACCTTCATCAAAAGTTGTCCTAAAATATGCCTCAAAGCGTTGTGGCCTGACGTCAATCGAGCGTAATTCACCACCATTTTCAATACCAACGGATTACCAGTTATAACCTCTAATGGATTGGTAAATTTATTTCTGAAACATTTTGTTTATAAATAGATTAATTTTATAAAAATGATTTTTGTCAAGTTAACCAATAGTTTTTAATCACAATAATGGCTTATTAGTTTGCTAAACATAGATTGATAATATATTACCTGATTTCTTCTTTAAGAGCATGCTGAAATAATTTTAGAAGTAAATATTCATTTCTCTGGTTAGCTCCGAAATTATATAAACTAAATATGACTGATTGTAAAAATTTGGAACTCCTATTTTGTGGCAAGCAAAATAACAATTTGGCCAAGTAGTGAGGTGATGTTTGCAAGGTGTAAAAAAGATGTTCATATCCTTCTAAAATTCGCCTATTATCAGCCCTCAAGCTCTTCAACCCTTTAACACCAATCCCAAGTCTTTTAGACTCTTCTACAGCATCCTACAGAAAAATTAAAAATATGAAAATTGGTGAATTTGTTCATGAATAAAATTTAATAAAAATTATTTACCATTAAAGATATTTTATTTTGTACTAAAAGTCCTATTGTTATGTCCATTTTATTGATTTGTTCCATTAATTCAGTGTTTGTTCTTATTGACTGGGCCACTTGTCCTCGCAAAGCCTTTGTAAATACACAATTTTCAATACTGGTAATATTAATTATAACTAATACTATTCTGGATTTATATTTTCACAAATAAAATAATTTTTGTCTAATTTATTTAACAAGCAGGTTAAACATAACTAGTCTATAAATTTAAATTTTTATTGGTTTTTGATTTGTAAGAGAAATTAATTGTTCTTTAACTTCTCAGAAGTTGAATAAGAAATATATTTCATGTTTTGTCTATGTATATTCAAACAAGACATGTTGACAGCAAAATAAACACAATGTTATAGACTTATTGCCAATGAATACCTGCAAATGTATTTCTCGTTTATAATCGGCCGTGTTCACATCAACCAACGACAAAAAAGCTCGTAAGTTTTTGTAGGTTACATTTTCAACTGTCAATATGCTCTTGAATAGTTTGCGTACTCTGTACCCTCTCCAAGCTGCCTGTATTATTACAACTGGGTCTCTCTGGAAGATAAAAATTTTTATATTTAGCCAGACAAAGGAAATTTATAGAAATGATAAATGGTAGAGTGAGTATGTTGTTCAATCTTTATAAAAAGATAGTTCCTATTCACAGTTAGTTGTTTTCAACGATCCGGATTTCAAGCTCATCCATCAGGTTGAAGGAATTTACAACCACGTCTCTCGACATGAATATTAAAAGTGAAGTACAAGAACTTGTACACATTTGGCTTGCCTCATTATTGTTTCCAGTAAAATGGGATAAATTTAATTATGATACGTCATCAAAAGTTAAATTTATCATTCATAAAGAAAACAAAGTATCTTGGATTTTAAAAAATAAACACATGAGGTACAGTACACTTAAAAATAAAAATATTAATAAATACCAAATAACTCCAATTAAATTTTACTGAAGGGTTATAAACTTAACAAACATGGTATTAAATAAAGAAGAAATTAATTTATTAAATAAAGACTTAAAATTTGTCCCAAAAACAGAATTAGATACAAAAAAACTACTATCCCTTGGTTCATTGGTAGACTGTTGTAAAATAAATACTAATATGTATAAAATATAAATTTGCTGAAGTAATTAAACACAACTCAGCAAACCTAAACAACAAAAAATTAAATATCTCACATACAATTAAAAAAGTTAAAAAATACCAATGTTATTTTAAAAGCCAATAAAGGAAATAGTGTAGTTATCACTGAACATCAAAAATACATTTCTAAAGTTGAAGAATTTTTAAACAATAATGATTGTAAAGAAATAAAAAAAGATGGCACCTTGAAATTAAGAACTAAAGTTCAAACAGCCATAAAAAAATAGTGACTTATTCTCAAATGACCAATATGCAAACTAATACAAACAAATCCAAAACCCGTTATACAGTCAAAATTCAAAAGGAAAATAAACCTATAAAACCAGTAGTGTCCTTTTATAATTCTCCATGCCAAAAACTCAGGATTACTATCAACAAAATAATTAAAACACACCAATTTCCAACCTACATTTGGTATTAACAATTCTTTAGAATTGATAAAGCAATTAAAGAATATAAAAATTCCTAACAACTGTGTATTAGTGACATTTGATGTTACCAATTTATTCACAAATATCCCTGTTAAAGAATGTACAAAACTTATAAAACAAAAACTTACGAAGAATTCTATTCATGAATTTGTAAAAAATGATATAATCGACCTCTTAAATATATGCCTACTATCTAATTATTGTAAATTCAATAATAAATTTTATGAAATGAAGGGTTACCAATGGGGGTCTCCTTTATCACCACTTTGTGCTGAAATATGGATAATTTTGAAAAAATTCTTTTCAAATAAAAAAAACAATTAATTAAATCTGTTCTTTTTTTGAAACCCTAGGTAGACGATATTTTAAGTATATGGTTAGGAATGCTAGAGGATCTAAAAGAATTCCTCCAACTAATTAATTATTTACAGCGTCCATATAATCCATATAATCGAAATAGACATGCATATATAGAAAACAGACTACAGACACCATGATACCAGCAGAATCTTCTCACTCATAGACCCAAAAAGCTGCTGGTTTCTTTTGGTTCATAGTCCATATGTTAAAACTCCCTTTAACACCTGCTAACGATAAAAAAGAATTACAAACTATTAAAACCTTAGCTAAAAACAATGTACATCAAGAAATATTTATTGATAGGTTGCTAGTTAAAATAATAAAAAAAATTAGTTCAAGTTCTTTGAAGCACTTTTACAATTCATGTAGAGAGACATGGTTGTAAATTCCTTCAACCTGATGGATGAGCTACAAGCTTGAAAGCCAGATCGTTGAAAACAACTAACTATGAGTAGGAACTATCATTTTATAAAGATTAAAGGAAATTTATTTTATTTAAAAACTAAACTCAAAAGGTTAACTTTAGTCCATTAGGAATATTTTTGTGCTATCATGTACTTTTTCCTAACATCTTAGTGGCATAATAATTGGTAGAAATTAACGGTAAATCAAAATACAAAATTAATTTCACCTACCTTCAGATTTATTTCCAAGTCAGATTTTTCTAGATTTGACCTGATTTGTTTCCTGATCAAGTATCCTCTGCAATGAGATTGCAGTTTGCAAATCCTTCTCACTAAGTGTTTACTGTTGACAGTACGAATGACTCTCTAAACAGAATAATTACACACTTTGAAATGCTGATAACAATTAAATATGCATCCAAGATATACTTTAAAATTCAAATAGGATAATCTGATAATTAAAAACTCGCATTTTGCCCTCACATATTTTCTTCATTTGAAAGAGAAAAATATTATCATGAATATCTAACCTAACCTGTCCCTAACTCTAACCCTACCTAACTTGTCCCTAACCCTACCTAACCTGTCTCTAACTTTACCAAACTCTAACAACCCCACCTAGCCTAACCCATCCCTATTCCTACCTAACTTTAACAACCCTGCCTAGCCTAACTTGTCTCTAACCACAACTCTACCTAACCTAACCTTTCCTTAACTCTAACCCTACCTAAACCCAACCCATGATATTTGAGGCCTTTTTAAATTTATATTTTGTATTAATGGCCTTATGTTTTCTATATTAGCCATAGAACAGTGTACTTGATGACGTATTCATGAATGGGGAAGGATAGCATGAAAAAAGGCCAGGGGTGACAGTAGGAATTGAAGCCACGATCGTAGGGTCTACAAGCTGAGAGTCTACCATACTAACCCCTGGTCCTCCCATATTAGACCTCAATAACCACCCAGCTACTGTGGCCCTCCCATATGTGAGACCTCATTTATGTTACTATTGACCGCCTTCTTAAAGTTAACTCCTGAAATTACACCACATTTTTCACCCTTCTAACCATACCTAACCCATCTCTACTCTAACCATAACAACTCTATACATCCTAACAAAACTCAACCCGTGTGTGTCATATATGATGTTTGAGACTTAATTTACATAGCTATTGACCTCCTTCTTAAAGTTAACACCTCTTCAGAATTTTCACCCTTCCCACTGTCGTTCTTTGATCAGGAAGCCAAACTTGGTTGAACACAGAAGAGTGTAGCCAACATCAGAGGTTCCAGAAGTTTCACACAAAAATACACTATAAAAACTGAGTACTTATAGACAGAAAATTTCTATGATGCTTTATGTTTATCAGTACTGTTTCAAACAGAAAACAAAATTATTGTGAAAGTTACCATCTTAGTTGTGATTAGTGAAATGCTCTATTCAGACCTTACCATTGGAAATGTTAATTATAAAACTACTTAAATGGGCCAGAAAATAGATAAATGTAAAATTGGTTTGAGAAAATAAATTATTTTAATAAGTTGTTAATTTTCATACACAAGTAATAATAATAATAAAAATGTTTGAAAATCAACTCACCTCAACATCACTTAAAGAAACGTAACAAGGTTCATCAGCATCTATTGTATGACTCCAGTAATATTGTTCCGTTGTTAGATTAATTGTAATATTGGCTAAACCAACTGTATGTTTAATCCAAGGAGATTGGCCAGTCATTGCCTATGAAAATACAAGACAAATGTCAATTTAAGTTTATCGGCAGTGGTTTAACAGCTTACCTTCTTTCTCGCTATTAACAAATATGCAATAAAATTTACATTGTCTTCATTTACACCAGACAGAGAAATGATCAGATCTACAACTCTTTCTGAATGTCCTTGTATAAGAGAAGTATTTAGCTTTTGTAGCCATTTGATGTCTGAAATTAAGTAAACATAATCTTACGTGTTATATGAGAAGAGTTAAATTTAGAGAACAAAAAATTAATTGACGTTGGATAAATGTTTGAAATACATATTACTAGAAATATACCTGATACTACAGTTGCAACTAAACTTTGCATATAACTAAGTCCTTCTTCAAGCAATTCCAAGGTCAAATTTGAGCATTTTCTGCTATTCCTATTCTGACTAGTCAAGCAGTCCTGAAAAATATGAATACATTATTTAATACACCTTAGTTCGATGGGATTCCAGGACAGACATGCAAAAAAATTTTGTTAAACGATCATCACAGAAACTAACAGTATAAGTACTAAATGAAGTGTGGGGATTACAAAATAATGACAGCATGTTAAGTAAGTACTGTTGCATTTTGGTTAATGACATGGTAAAGAGTGAGATTGGACACATAGGTAAGTCCATGGCGGTTTGGGAGTTTTATTGTCGATTAGTCTTTTTTAACTGGGGCATAAGTTTTGATTGTATGTCTAATATTTTTTACTTACTTTTAAATATTGCTGTAGTAGCCAAGCATTTTCCATGTTAACGCAATCTGTGTTCAAGTTGTGCGGAGTTACCAACAGTTCTGAATAAAAACTCGAGTCATCCTCTAAAACTTTATATTCTAAAGAATTCAGTGGGTTAAGGGGGTCGGCTGGAATTTTAAATTAGGAGTAAGATTATTTAAATTAGACTGTAATAGTGTTGACATGATTTCATACATTGGATTTCTTCTATTTCTTCTTGTAAAAGTGTTTTTCTTCTTTCATTAACTAAATCGATACAATCCTGGATATTCATATACGATAAAATAGAACAGTCACACCTTTCTATTTCAATAAAACGTTTACAAGCGCTTAAAGCCTTGAGATATTGGTCTTTTAAATCATAGTCCAGTCCCTAAAAATGATTTATAAAATATAATAAACTTTATGAAAACAGTTAATATATATTTTATTTACTTGAAAGACCACTAATGATGAATTTAGTGCAGACCAGGTTTTATCTGGACACATAGTATCAACAGCTTCTGATATTAAAGCAATAGAGTAAAGTATGTCGATACTCGATTTAACCCCATCACTCTGAATCATTCCCTAAAACCAACAAACATCTGTAAAACATTAACTATTTGTCAACTAAAAACATTTATAATAACATTATGCACATTTTTCTTTGTGCTAAAAGTTCTTGTGTATGATCTGCATGTTTGAGGGGTAACTGCACTTACTAGAGTGCATTAGCAGAAATTACTACAGGTTTACCTGGCAAATTTTATCCTCTTTCAGTTCCATTAAATAAAGCGAAACAAACTGAGACTTCAATTTCATTTTGTCTATTCCAAGGGCAGGATGATGTATAGCTTCAATAAATTCTTTCAGCGATCCAGTCTCCACTGCATTATTCAATTTCTTCATAAAATCTACCAACAAAAAATATTGCGCATTAATGACTGTGGAAAACTTGCTTTTGTACTAGAGTAAAGGAACAAGCCTTGTACAGAAGACAGTAATAAGAAAAATTGACATGAACTATTACAAGGACAAACAAAAACTAGACAGTGACTCCAAAACTAATGAAACTTACATGTACCCTAATTCAACAAACTCATCAAGTCAAATTAAATGTTTCCAATTATTGAGTAAGTTTTTTTCAATTATTTTATTTGTACTCTTACATATTAGTACATATTACAAATATGATTACAAAACAAATTTTTTTCACGTGGTTACTTGGTTTACTAGCACTAATGCCGGTTAATTATATACTGTGAGTTTCGTCCTGTGGCCTGTGGGTTGATAAACCTATGGTTCGATAATTACCTATCAACTTGGTCTGCCTATGCTTGCTGATTTTTGTCAGTCAGTTGTGCTTCAGCATTTCGCCATTTTCACTGTTCAGTTGGGGTGATTTTGGTAGAGTGAAGTTTTGTTATATGAGGTCTTGTATGGTGGGGTCCATTATTGTTCTTAAACTATTTGATGTTTTCCTTGCATCTCTTTTATTTTTCATCCAGATATAGTTGTCTCAGCATTCGCATATTGCTGTGTACATTCTGGTCACCCCCCCCCCTAATATGTCAGTCTTTTCAGTGTTTTACCTTAGTAATTTCCCTATTGTGTTTGTGGTTTTCCATGTTGTTTTTATGCTTAATTTGTTGAATAAGTTAGTTTGCATGTTTCTTTCCCAATGTATGTTCTTGTGATATTTTGTTTATCTATGCATATTTTATTATTTTGTTCATTGTTTATGTAGCTGTTATTTTGTGCTATAGTTTGTATTCTTTTTAATTAGTTGTCGTACTTGTCTTTAGTTAGTAGGTTTAATTTTAATTGGCTTGTATGATTTTTAAAAAAAGTTTGCAGACCAATGATAATCAAGCTACAGGTTCATCACCTCGTACACAACACCATGTTCCACAACAAGTGAAATACCTTTTTTAGGACTACCACTGATGTTTTCCTTATTTTCTTCTGCCTGAATAAAATAAAAAGATAATTAGTAATGTCAATATAAAATGCTATAGATCATTATTGAATGTAAAAGTGATTTGAATACTAACTTGAGCCACATGGAAAGCAACCAAAATTTCACTATCTGAAATTAAAAATTCTAATTACCTATATCAATATCAAAAAATATATCTCATATTGAAACATTAAAAACCAACAGACAGTTACTTTTATTTACAACAATGAACAATTAAAACAACAAAAATCAATAAATAAACAAAGTATATAGATAAATGTGGATATAATCCTTCTGCCAGAAGTCGTTGCAAAAGAAAAAATTGGTAAATATACTTCAACTATAATGAAATCAAATAACATTGAATTTTGAAACAAACTAAAAATAAAAAGCAAAATAACTACAAAATAGGATAAATATTCTACAAATCATGAATTCATACAGAATTCATTCAACAACAAAAATCAACATAAAACTAGTAGTCGAATGTGCTCTATTTACATTTTCATAAAAACACAGATACAAAATATAAAACACATACCTGGTTTTGCTCCATTAACCGTATGTCCTGTTATATTCCTTTTAATCTGAAAAATAACATTTTTGTCTTAATAATTGATAAAATAGATGCATACCTGTTTAATTTGAGAATTAAGGAATGGAAATTATAAACAATATTATATTCGCATATTAATGTGTACTATTATTAAGGGGTGCCCGTTCAAGAGAAGTTTAATTTTTTTGGTTATTCAGATATCGTGAGATAACTATAGATTAACGGTCACTAATCTCTACACATTTAATTTTTTTTTTTAACCAAAAAAATGTTATGTTGTACATAATATATAATATTTTATAAATTTCAATGAACCTTGTAAATAAATAGAAACATATTACATGTTTACAATTAAATAAATAAATAGATCTTGGTCTGTTTTTTAAACTTCGGTAAAGACGTTTCATGCTCATGATGCATTCTCATTCCATTCACCATGGCAATTCATTTATCATTCTAACTTCTCTTTATAAAACTAGAGCATCCAAAATAGCTCTTTTAATTTTACATAAATTGCATGAAGTGGGAAAACACAAAATATAGTTGAGGCTTGAGAACCAAGATGTGCCCATTTGCCCTATAATAGATCAAACAATATGGTAGTCATCCTAATTTCCACCAATCAATCATCCATTAGAACAGAAGGGCAAGAAATTTTGGCTTCTCCATGAAAGAGAAGCTTTTGAAAAAGAAACACCAAATAAAGACAAAGTAGTTTCCAGAGAAGTAGAAAAAAAAAAGCCAAAATCCTAAACAATTTTTCCTCTGCAAAAGAGAATCTTATGAAAATGTGCCAATGTATTTATTTAAAATGAATTAATAAACACAGAACACTATATGTGAGAAACAGAACTTCTGAAAGAAAAGAAAAAATAGACAAGGGCGAAGAAAAGTTTGCATATATTTTCCTTACAACTGTTTAATTTAAACTAAACAGTTTTTTATTATTAGTAAGTTAAGGGTTACATGCCATACCTAGCCTATCTTCATGAAATGTTTTTGGCATAAAACAAAAATTTAACATGACCGTAACAAATATTTTTTCATATGGACATTTAATATATTTTTACTGTTTACATTCATTCTATGGCGGTGGATTACTCAGATAGGGACTGACAGCAGGTCCATCACCGGTATGGACGGTATAAGGGATTTAGAATGTATAGAAATCCTTTTTTTTATTGGGGAATGCAGAAATTGTGAGGAGAGAGGTATTCCTATAGAGGGGTGCCTGTTAAGAAATGTTCCATCAGAGAAACAACATAAAGGTAAACTTACATTATTTTTAATTTTGACATTTTCACTTTTATCCAGAAAATCAAAAAGAAAATTTTGACGAGTGTGTTCTTTGAATTCTGCTCCCAGGATATCAATTTCTTTGTCTAGAAAAGAAAAAAAATTAGCATTACTATCGTTATTATTAACATGATTTGGTTCTATAAGTTGGTTATGATAATTAAAAATCATACATATACAACTATTTTTTCTTAGAACATCAACTAATATAGCTAGTTTCCAAATGCAATCAAATAAATTCCAAAGTAAAAATTTTTAATTGAGTATATTAGAGCAGGCAAGGGCGAATTTATCTGATGCATACAAAATCTTTGTGAAATAAGTATTGGGTTCACCCATTAAACTCTGAAATAATTAAGCGATTTTTTTTTCCCCAAGAACTACAATGTTATTTGTAATAGTAGCTGACTCTGTCTTCAATCATTCAAATATGGAAATGAGGCTACAACACCTACAACCTTCTGTACATTGTACATTGCCTAATGACCCATGTGACTTGTTTGAGTTGATCATGAAACTTTAAGTTGGATAAAGGCATATTTTGTGATAAAAAGTTTGCAATACAGGAATATGATAGCTCATCTATAATTGAATGCACATTTGTCATTGTTTTTGTTTTTTCTTAAAAAAAAATTATAAACACATACACTCATATGCAGTGTTTGTAGATAGTTTAAGAGGAAAAAGCATACACAGCCAGCTCAACTGCCACTACCAGACCAACTGCCATGGTCAAATAAACCTTGACTACCAACATGGAGACCTCAATAATCTCAGAAAAGAGAGGAATTTGGGACTTCGGAGAGAAATAAAGCAAGCAATTGACAGAAAGAGATTAGACTGTCAATGTCAAAGTTGATTTGAAGTTTTATCCTTATACCCTCATTCATAATGGAGGCATGGGATTTTCCTATGCAGTAAGATGTTCATAATTGGATTCCTGTACCAGGTATTCTATCTCCTTGTTATCTGGTCAGTTCAGATATTTCTCTCTACTTACATAGGGCTAAACATTCAATGACCACATTTCCCAATTCATAAAAAAAATTCATATAAATCTGTTATAACTTTGACAAAATTTTGGGTTCAACTCACTAGTCTCCATGGAAGTAGAATGTTAACTTCCAAATAAGAAAACGGGAGTTCACAACCTTACCGACCATTTTCGATTCAACTTATAGTGATTGAGTTAAGTCAATAACTTAAGTTATTGAAGTTAATGAATTGCTTAATAAGTGTTAACATCTAACCAAATCATGAATACCCCTAGTACTTTGAAAAAAAAATTGAAATGTTTATCAGAAAATTTACCTGTGAATGTTACTTTTCCAACTAGAGATTCAATTTGTGGTGTATTATTAAGTTTGTGAAGATGTGATATTAACGTATGTAGGCAGAACATCACTTTAGGCATGTTATTCTTGTTGTAAATGTCGGTTGTCTCCAGGCATATTGACTACAACAGGGAAAATCAAAACAAGGAAAGACAAATACATTTTTATAAACATTAAATAAAGCTGAAATTATATTTACCTGTGGAAAAGAAAGCCTTTGTAAGGCAAGTAAAAAATGGTTAATATTCTCAGTGTGCTTGAAACAAAGTCCATTGATGTCATATATCTTTTCATCGAGGTCGTATATTTTAGCAAGCGGAACTAACTTTGGATAGATAAAATGAGCCAATTTTGCCAACAACACTCCATTTCTAAGCCTTTCTTCAAAAGCTATGGTTGATGGCAGGTCTTCATTCAGTACAGTTTGCAACCACCTAAAAGGTGTATCAAAGTAAAACCAACTACACGTAAATAACATTTGTACTTTTTTTTTACATAAAAGTGCATAACAATTTGTAAATTTACATAATTTCTTCTAAAGTTTGATCTAGACTTTATGTAAATCAACTAATAACAAAAATATTATATTCCTAAACAATTTGCTACATCAAAATCACATCAATTGCCATCTAGGAAAAATTCCAAGCAGCTAAACTTTTAAAAAATATTTATTTGTGCCTGTACATATGAATTTTTCAATGCTAAAAAAATCCTAGGCAAAATACCAACAGTACAGCAGTAATGCAGCCATGCTATTTGTTATTGGGTTAAGGCAAGGAGGTCTCAGGCCATTGTCGTTTGAGGCAGCAAGGAGGGTTTATGGGAAGGGAAGTAGTGGAGAGGACTTGAGCAGTAGGATTAAGATGAATTGACTGATTGGAGTGAAACTTAGGAAGTGGGAATGGATCAATTCTTTGATGAAGGAATTGTTAAGGTCATTATGGATGGTGAGACATAACAAGGAGTTTGGAGAATTCTTCTGAAGACTTGATTGGAATCCTTGGATTCGTTGGATGTTAGCTGGCTTGATTGTACCTCACAGCTCCGTATGTCCATATAGGTCGAAGTAATGTTTTGTTAGTTTATCCTTAGCAGTCATGCCTGATTTTAGTCCTATAAGTCTTCATAGTTGTCCAAATCATCTATTGAATCTTGTGTGTGGATTCCATGTCAGTCTATGACCTAAGTAGTTTAGTTCTGTAGGTGTCAGTAGTTATTTCCTGTTAACTTATAGATAGGGGAAATGCTGTTTGTTTAACGTGAACATAATTTTGGTGCATTTGTCTTCGTTCAATTTCAACCTCCACATTTGGCACCATTCAATGAGCTGAAGATCCTGGACATTGTTGGTGGCTTGGGTAGAAGTAGAGTTAGGGGATAAAATTTCAGTAGCGTTGTTTTAGATTGTAAGGATGGTGTTGGGATGTATCAACAGGTCAGCAGTATAAATGGTATATAGGATGGACTATGAATGCCCCCTTGTGCATCACCTGTGGATCGGTCTTGTCTCAGGGAACTCATTGCCGCAACTTACTCTAAAGCAGCAATCTGTTATATAAGATTTTAGGATTTGGTAATAAGGGTTGGGTAGGAACTGCTTTAGTTTGAAGAGAACTCCTGGGTGCCAGACACTGTCAAAAGCTTTGGACATGTCTAAGAATGCACCCGAGCAGGGATCTGTTCTCTAAAGCAGAGGAAATAGTGTAAAAACAATCCTGAATCATTGCTGAATCATGGAATGACAATGACGAAAACTAAATTGATGTGAAGGAATGACATTATGTAAATTTAAAATAGGTAATAAACTAAATTAAAAAGTAATGTTTAATTTTAAAAAATTGGTAAATCATGAAAAATTAAGATTCACTGTATAAATAAGACGTGTTTAAAAAAATAAGCAATTATACGTACACTCTAATTTCTTCCACATGGCACAGATATCTATATAATTGTTCTCTTTCTATTTTCCTGTCCATGGCATTGATTCAGTCAATATAGTGATGATTTAATGATTTGTCACTCCTTAAACATAACAATAAATTAAGTTTGAATGGTGCTTATTTATTTTATTTATTATACAGGCAAAGCCTATTAAAAATATACACTAGTTACAAATATACTTAGGAGTGATAGTACAGATTCGTTATAAAACATAAATAGGTAATTAAAGAAATAAATGAAATGGAACTGCAATTCAAGAACAAATAATTACAATTGTGAATTATAAAATAAAACATAACTATAAATATAACATGTAATTAACATAATTGAGATAATACTAACAAAAGTTAACTCAATAAAGATAATTAGTAGTAATATCCAAGCTTGCTACCATAGCATAGCAATATAGTAAAATTAATAAAGGATTATAAATATTAAACAAACAAAGATATGTGTTTACAGAACGATCCATACATAAAATGGATATAAAAATAGTACATAAAATGAACTAAATATTTTTATATTGAATGCAGAAATTAACAGATTTTAAAAATGCCAATATATCTTGGTATGAGAGGTGTGGATTAGCATTAGCTGTGTGTATTAACCTATTGATGGGACTTTCTTTTATGTAAATAATCTTACGGGCAGAAATGAAGAATATTTTGTGTGTGGGATGAGAGCTGGGGCAAATAAATGTCCAATTTGAAAAGGAAAATGAGGTCGATGTAAACTCTTCTCTTTTCCAAATTTAAGATATCAAAGAAATCTAAAATATTAAAACAGTCATGTATAGCTCGAATAATTTTAAGTTTGTTAACTGCATATATTAGAAATTTATTCTGAACCATTTCTAGTTGTTGAATTTGTTTATCGTAATATGGGAACCAGATAACACAGAAGTAATCAAGAAGGGATCTAACAAAGGAACAGTAAAGAATTTTGAGTTTTCGGGTCAGCGAATTCATTTGTTAGCCTTATGGTGCTCCCGAGAACTCGATCAATATATTTGTGTCGACTTATTTCATTACCCACACTTTTACTCATCTATGTGTTAACCCTCCAACACCCATTGCCTCTTGTACACACTTGTTTAAATTGCCACCCCTCAGAAAAAAAAATGGGAGGAAATCCTGCAAGATGTTATTTGAAATTTAGTATGAAGTATGCCACAGAGTTTAGAGGTTGTAATTTGCAGGGGAGGAGTTGCAGGAGGACTCACTATTAAAATGATTTTTATCTGCTCCAGTGTTTTGTAATAAGTTTATTATTTTCTCAAAAAAAGTCTTGATTTTTATTAATTTTTTTTTATTTAACTAGATTTTTTATAGTCACACTATTTCCAGACTTATAATTCAAAAAGTGATTTTAAAGTAAACGTAAAAGAGGAAATTTTGAGGACTGAAAAAGTATTGGCGCAGTTTGAATGTTTACTATTAGCTTCAGTCAAAACAAATAAATCCATTTTCTTTCAATAGATTAGAAATGAGGATTGACAATAATACAATGACAACAATAAAACTCAGCCTATGCTCTATCTTTGCCATAGCAATATGGATATACCAATGAATATTGTGTTATTTTCAAAAATCAATATTTTATACTGAAATATTTTAAACAATACAATACAAATATTTTAAACTGAAATCTAAAAAAAGTTAAGTGTGCCAATACTTTTTTGATCCACAGTAGTTTGTAACAAGTTTAAAGAAGCAGCACACTCAAAAAGGGAAGAGTACTGTTTATTTACATTTGTCCCATCTTTTTCAAAACTCAATTGGACATTACCGGACAAATTAAATTAATTTTCATTTTATTGGGGAAAAAAATGTTAAATTTTTTTCGAAAGACATGTTAAACAAGAAAATGGTAAACTTATTGACAAACAACAGGAGGCTATTTCATAAAACAAGTTACAAATTCACAATTTAAGTATCTGTAATGCACATTGTGGAAGTACAAGTGTTTCACCACAAAAAGTTTTAGTTGTAAAAAAAATTACAATTTTACAGGAAAATGTTACAAGTGCCAGTGACAGACATGTCACCTATTTTGAAAGATTACTATTTCTTAAAACCCTGTTGTCATGAAGCATTTACATAATAAAATGCACAATCTGGACCACATACTAACATACAATTTAGCGAATGATTTCCATGACTATCGATAAAATTGGCTTCATATTCATGACGTTTTTCAATATTTAAAAGGGTTACATCAATACATCCTATGACACTGGGCACGCAAGTGACATTGTGGAAGCAGTTCACAACATCCACAACGTTTTCAGGCCACTTGACAATTATATGAAACAATGCTTCATCACACAGCTGTTGAGACACTGCTTTGGACACACCATGCATGTCTCGTACAGCATCGTACTGACACCTGGTACCTAACCAATGAAGTGAGAGTGCATGGTTTCTGTATGAATCGTATTCCATTCACCTTAAAATTAATTCTAATTGACGTCGAAGGGTCTGGAATCATTCATAAAATTCATGTGTACTATGAATAGTAGCAATTTATTCTTGTTCTGAAACGTCTTCGAACCCTTATTTCATTTCTAACATAAATATTATCTTCTTCTTCTGATGATTCCCACATTGTTTATGATAAACAGCCAAAACAATAATAATATTTGGACTATTTACAATGGCAAACTGCAATTTACAGGGCAACCGGGCAACAATTGTCTATCCCGACTCACCCATATTTTCCTCCTTGAAAGAACCCCTAAACCTATTGTGTCCAATCTGTAAATCTGCTATCACAATATCCCACATCCTAAGATTGTCCTTTATACACCTCTGCAAGAACCCTCCACCAAATCCCCAAAGACCTCCAATCCATACTAAACAACAACTCAACTTCAATAAACAAAATTATTAACTTATTAACAGATATCCAACTAATAGATAAAATTTAAAATCCCATCCCCTCAACATTCAGGGGTTTACAACACAACAATTTCTTGTTTCCTCTGCTGGTTTCCCGTGTTGGCAGTGTGGCGCAGCTGATTTGTGGCGACACCCGTACAGGGCCTCGCTGCTGGTCAGTCTTGGGCTGGATTGAGGGGTGTCTCCCCGGAATCTGAGATCAAGGTATCTGCAGCGAGCTTGGAGGAGGTATCGATGGTGACTAGCACAATGTTAAAATTAAAAGCATCAGTTGCAAGAGATCCGTGGGGTTCTGTCCTTTCCAGGCCAGGGGCTGCGCCACTGCGCCGGGGTTTGCGGGGCTTCGCTCTGATGGGTGCAGGCTGCACCGTTGACTTGTATAGACTCAAGAATTAATGACCAATAAGGGCACAGACTTTATTTAACAAAAAAAAAATTTACAGGCATCCAGACACATGTGAAAATTCAGCTGTGATTTACAGTTGTACACTTGTAACTTGTACAAAACAATGGAGAAACACTTTTAAATTGTCAAAATTTGCTTATAAAAATGTAAGAATTCTCTGGTACTTACAAGTCCACTGTTGTAGCTTTATGAAACAGTTGTATGTACTAATTTTACAGCTTGTATAAAAATTCACCTTCAACTTGTACTTGTTACTTTATGAAACAGCCCTTGGATGGGGTGAAATCCAGATATAATAAATTACTCACTCGTCCCGTGTCAATGCAAATAGAAACTCGGGTCAATGTTGAAATTTCTTTATCCTTTCCACGCCAATTTTCAAATAGAAAATAGTTTCAAAAACAGTTATTTTTTTTTACGAATCTGTCATAGACTAGTTTCACATTCTCAGAACGGCCGTAACGAACATGCTCTTAACAGACGTCAACTGGCGCGGGATCCTTTATCAAACCCGTTAAGACATCGATTATTCCGAGAATTAAACACCGAATCGGATTATTTTTAATCTCAAAATTAAACCTTGGAAATCCTCGTCTTACTTTTTTTTAAATTCTGTTATAAATAGCATAAACAATTTATAAATAATAGCGGGCCCAGTCTCGTCTTGCAAAGGATGGACAGTCAACAAACGACCGAATTATTGGGCGAACAATCGATGTTGAAAATAAATTATTCCCCTATAGGAGAACCTAGAAGCTAGGAAAAGCTCATTCAGACTTAAAAACAAAACAAATAAACTGATGGACTAAAGATTCTGCTTAACACTAACAAATAAAATCATACATAATTCTTTGAAAAGAGAACTGACTATAACGACCCGGAAACATCCTTCGTTACAACCTTCAAAACTTTAAAGCCGGGAACACACCCGATGAAACGCTATGCGACGCTACCCGACGCAAATCCAAAGTCCAATTTTCCATATGATTTGTGCATATCTGCCAGATGATATGCAATGCTACCCTACTCTACGCTACGCGATCCCCACTGTCCAGATTTTCGTCGGGTAGCATCAACTATCGAGTACAGTCGAAGGCAAAGAACCGGACACTCATTTTTATTCCAACTACATGTATTATTGTCGTTATATTAATTACAACTTGTTTTAACATAAACCAAATTAACAGAGATCAAAAATTCATTAGTTTTTATTTTTTAGTTTTTATTTTAATTCTAATGGTTTGGTAGAACATTGCTCAAAACACCGCAATACCATGTTTTGATATAATGAATTTAACTAACAATTTATTACACGGTTTTGGTCTTAAAATTTAACTAACAATTTATTTCATGGTTTTGGTCATAAAATTACTCCATTTGCGTCGAGTAGCGTCAGAACAGGACACTCATATTTTTTGTAGTTTATTTCAAACTAAGTATATGTAATACTGTCGTTATATTAATTACAACATTCCTATTTTAATGTAAACCAAATTAAACGAGATCAAAAATTCACAAGTTTTTATAAAAATTATTTAATTGTGATGGTTAGGAAGAAAATTTATCAAAACATCGGAATAAGTTTATTTAAAACAATTAAGTTTAACAAACAATTTATTACATGGTTGTGCTCATAAAATTTAACTAACAATTTATTATGGTTTTGCTCAAAATAATGCATTAAGAAACAAAAGAGGCGATTGTGATAGCGATTATTGTGAAACACGCTGTGTGACTACGTGGCGTGCGCTTGACGTTGCATAGATGTGCACACCCTACCAAAACGTGACAAGGCGTCGGGTAGCATCGGATAGCGTCGCATAATGCTGCATCGCGTGTGTTCCCCGCTTAAAGACTACAAAGAGGATGAAAAACAAATAGAATATGGTATTCGAATGGCACCAAAACAAAGAGAAGGGTGTCTTGATATATTCTGTCCAAACCCAAAATATGAGCAGTCAAACGCATTGATGATGATAAGTTGACTAAGAAAACAGGGCTTGGTGTTCCTCAAGCACTCTTAACACTGCTTTATAATAAAGTGCAAGTTTATAATAAAGCAAGCTTATTATAATACTGCTCCTCAAAAAAGTGGCGCACTATGAGATTTTGATTTCTTTTTTTAATTTGATAACGTTTTGTTGTACTACTTTAAAAATGATTTAATAATTATAGTTAGATGGAAAGTATTTGTTTTTGTCGCCGATAGTGAGGCAAAACGCTTAATCCAAAATTTTATTTAAAATCTCCACAATTTAAATCATCAACAAGGGAATACAATCCTTTAAAAATGCCTTTATTCACGATTTGTGTGGCACAAAACAAAATGATTACAAAAATAACCATAATCAGCGAGCAAGTTGTCCGTGTCATTGCATTGAGGATGGAAGAAATCAGCGTTACGTTGCAAGAGTTTTAGACTTGCCTAAAACGACGATTGTCGGGCATTCAGTGGTACTAGGAGATTGCAAGGTGTGCTCGGGGACCAGGATCGGGACGGCCAAGAACCAAGGTACTAAGCGTTTACTAAAGACCATCGTCGGGACCTCTGTTCACAAGGGACACCGACATTGGACGGAAACAGTAATGAATGAATGTTATATTTTCAGACAAGTCCCACTTTTCCCTCCATTCATCAGATGGACGTCTTCAATTATCGAGCAGCTGTAGAGTTCTACAGCTAATGCAACATTGCTGGAAGTGGGTCGTTCGGAGGTGGTTCAGTTTTGGTGAGAAGTGGAATTTCTTAGATGTAAAAACTGAGTTACCATTTTTAAAAGGACGTCACTGAATACAGAAATCTACATGACAGAAATTCTTGAGGAATATATGGCGCCATTTGCTCCGTTTATTAGCGAACAATTTTTGTGCAGTTAATGCAAGACCAATTGTCGCCACCAGTATTATGCAGTACCTTTGAGATATCAACATTTACACCTTAAGACGCCCAGCCTCTGTCCTGAAATATAATCCTATTCAAAAGAGGATTTATTAAGATTTTCAGGACTTTGTCCTTACGGGAGTTCACCTATTCCGTTATGCTGCTGGGTCGCAAGCGAGATTGTCGCTTCCCAACCGACGAGGTTAGGCTCCAGGAGCTTTCGACAACTAGGTAATTTCAGCCTCACGCCTGTCAAATATAATCTAACCTAAAACTAACGTCTATAATACAGTCGTACAAATAAATACTTTCACACCTATGTACATTGCAGTCATTCTGATTAGTCGGTGGATTACTCGATATTCCTCCATCGACCTACACAGAGGACTTATTCCATTCCATTTATACTTCTAACGATAAGATGAGCTAATCTTAATCCTTTATAGATAAAACATGTCCAGTTTTATCTAAGTTCACTTTGTCTTCTGCTTGTAGATTGTACTTTTTGTGAATTTACCCCCTATACGCCTCAAGCTCAGTGCTTTGCAATTAAGCTCGAATTGTATTTGCCTTGTTCGGTTTCATCATTTCTAATAAAAACAGCCAAATAATTTAACTTTGTCAAGTTCTTCCTTCAACATCAAGACTACTTCCACACTTTACCCAAGCATAAACTTTTGTAAATTTTAATTCCTCTATAGAAAAATATAGAGCTTGATCGATCCAATAGAAACCCCCCCCCCGGCATATTCTTAATTAGCGTTTCGAAACGTTTTCCGACAGATATCATACTGTAGGGTCTAAAGTTTAATCTATTATCTGATCTCGAGATTAATTCCCCTTTTCTAGTCATCGACTGGATTTACATAAACTCTAAAATAGGACAGTCTCTTAATTAACGTGGCCTGTCCCCTTTGAATGAATGGACCTAGAAATGGAAGAAGTCAAAGTAATATCTTGTTGTACGGATCAAAAAGTAAGTAGCGTTTCTGGAAAATTCAAATATTTCTCATAAGATGATCATTTACACGATGATGTACTTGAAAACACAAAGCCATTAAACATTTGTTTAAATTATCACTAAAAAAAGGATTAAAGTTGTTAAGAGGTACGATAGTTACTTACCCTCAGATATGCCCTAGGCAAATTTTATTTCGAAAAACAGTCATCTTATGTGGTATATTCTCTAATAAAAATTTGACCAAAATAAGTTTCAATGCCGATCAATTTTTGAAATCCATCCAAGCAAATGAAAAACCAACTGGACACTAAATTTAACGTGTTTCTTTCAGATAGAAACGCTTTCGGACGAGTCGGCGACTGACCGTCTAGAATGTGTAACAGTCGAAGTAGTAAGTACAATTAAATCTTAATAAAGCATACAACTAGATGTAATTGCACATAAAACAGGCAGTTTACTTGGATATATATTTCTGGTACACCATGACATAAGAGCCGGAGTCTTAAGGAGAAATTCAAAGGCTGATCTTTGGTTTGGGTTTGTGTCTCTCCACTGTGTAAAAGAATATAGCAATTGAGCTTTTAAAACAAGCTTGGAAATCTATTACAATACACTCTGAAAGTCATATAAACCCATACGAGTTGAAGTCAAAGTATGTCAGTGGTCTGGAATGCTTGGCACTTGGCAGTAATCAGAGGCCTGTAGTCCTAACCCTCGCCTGGTTGCACTCATATACTGTTTTTATTATTTTTCTTTTTTTTACAACTGCATTCTTCGACCCAACAAGTAAAACATCTTATATATAATTGTCAACATCCGAAACGACGATCAAAATTCCGGCCGAACCGTTCTACAGATTTTCGTTCTTGATTGCTTAAACAAAAGCCCTGACTTCAAATCTATTCGGAAAATTATCAAAAGTATGAATTATTAATCGCGATGATTGTAAATAGATAATTAAAATATGATTGGTGAGGGCAGTCGCCGGAATTCAAACTTCATAAATCATCCTTCGGCCATTGTGTACGTCTCTCCGCCTTGCAGTTTCAGCTACAGTACTTTTCAGTACTAAAAAACACTTTTCATTACTAATATTGTTGTGATAAAGTGTATTATATTTTTTATTATTGTATTTTTTTTTAATCGTGCATTGTATTTTTTGTTGTTTTAACCAGTGTCCTGTGACTAACCACATAACTGTTGTTTTTATTATATGGGAGTTTTATAGTATTATTTTTTATGTATTTTTTGATTTTATTATTAGCATGTATGTTTTATTTTATACTATATTTTTATATTATACTTTTTGTATTGTATTTTGTTATACTAACCACGAACCTTAACAGTCTAATAATGAAATGAATAATCAAGAAGTGGTCGCTCATCCAACCGAAGGCAGGTTTTCCGTTCCGAACACTCGCTCTGTGTATGATTTCTGCTTAAAAATGAATAGGGATATGGTCAATTTTGTAGTATTTTAATTCAATGATCTTGTTTACTGGACACAATATTTTTTTTAAACAATTAATACCGTGTATAATGTCCTCTGTTAGCTAAAACCTCTGTGCACATGTTAGGCATACTGTTCATATGGGTGTCATTAATTTCATAAGGAATTTCACTACATAGATGTTGCAACGCTGCACTCAGTTGCAGGAGTGCATGTCTGGAGACAACGGGGGAAGGGGCAGATGGGAAATTCCCAGGTCTTCTGAACACTGATGAACAACTCTGCCTCTATGAGGTCTGGCATTGTCATCCCGAAATCTACCTGCCAATGAGATCCCTGGTCGGAGGGATGTATCATCGAAAATTTCTTGGACATAACGGACCGCGGTGAGGAAGCCTTCAACAATATGGAATCCAGTTCGTCCTCAAGTGTAAAACCCAGCCCAGACCATTACACCCTATTCTCGGTAGACTCTTCGGTGCCTGCTATAGCTGTACAGAAACGCGACTCATCCATAAACATAACAGCATTTCTATTAGTGTTCTCTTCTAGGCGTTCGTTGCTGCTCTCTTGAGTTGCTGGTGGTGGGCTGTTGCTGCAGGTGATAAAAGCCTTGCCAAAACATCTTGTACGTCATTTAGGATCTGGGAATGGAAAGGGTTTAATTTAATTAAAATTAATAGAATAAGAATAAATTACAAATATCCCTTTTATTTTTGAGCAGTTTATGTTGAACGAAAACTCCAAACCTGAGCACAACTTAGGATGTTAGATGTGCCCACTGCAACGCTAAACACTTTGAGGCCGAGAAAACCGCAGCCATTTTAACTTCTGCTGCTACAATGGCCTTATTTCATTCCCAGAACCACTAATAAATTTGGAGTTAAATGTTCCTTAATGTCCCAATTTTATGAACAATATAACATTAACCTCTTTTTTTGTTACAAGGAATGTTTTTTGTTGCCATATGAGGGTGCAGTTCCGTCATTCGGTCAACAATATTTTATGTGCTCCTAAAAGCTGCAGATGTGCATTTAGGACTCTCAGAAAAAATCTAAAAACTTGATAATCATTGGTGGCATGTTGGCACAAAAACCCTAGCATACGTGACTGCAGCTGAAACAATGCAAGATGAAAGATTTAACTGAACTTCCGTTTGGTTAAAGTGTACCGACGGATGGGCGTAGATTTAACAAACTTAGAGCAAAAGAAATAGCTCGAGTTCTTCAGAACGCTAGGACGTCGACACTTTGTTGTGAGCTATCGTCAAAGCGGTTTAAAGTTAATTTCTGTTTTAAACCTCATTGTGATCCCATAACAACATTTTCTAACCCTACACCTTAGAAAAATATTAAGGTAATGTTGCTATTACCTTAATATTTGAGATCAAATCCCGGTAGATCAACGTCCCAGGGATGATAGGTATATCCAGGAGTAGATACTTACGGCTAGGCGAGGAATAACAACAAGTCTCCTACATAAAAGTAGCGCTAGCCAGGCTATGGGTCTTGCTTAACAGCCTAAAGCTGACTAGCAAGCTCTAAAAAAACAAAATCACAAAAGATCTTTTAGGTCGAAGAGCTAGAAGCTTTGTGGCCATCTCTGCTATGCCTACACCTTAGATAAATATTAACATGATGTAGCACCTTCCGGCGTGAGTTCAAATCCGAGTAAATTCACAAAGCTAACTATTGATTTTTAACAAACAGATCTTTTAAATCGAGATGTTAGGGGCTTTGTGGCCACCTCTACTCTGCCTATACGTTAGATAGATATTAAAGTTAATATATTGCTATGCCTTCCGGCATGAGTTCAAACTCTGAAGAATCAATACCCCAGGTGGATCCAAACGTAGATTCCTACGGCTAGGCAATGAAAAACCATAAGTCTGCTACACAAAAGAACCAACAGCTATACTATGGAGATTGATTTACACAGCTGACTTGCTGTTTAACAAAAGTAGATCACCATAGATCTTTTAGGTCGAGTTGCTAGAGGCTTTGTGGCCACCTATCCCTAGGCCTAGTTGCGTGTCCATCTGTACATGTCATGAGTAAATAAATCATAAGCTAATTAGAAAATAACATAGAGGAATTGTTTCTTGAAATAGATTTGTTTAATATTAAGGCGTTTAGCTTTGAATGCGTTTAGCTTGTTCAGATGTAGGTTAAAAAACAGATCTACAGGAGGTTCTGCAAAGAATTTCTTTGGATTTGCAATTTGGGTGTCTTTTCAGATCATTTTATAATTGTAATATATAATTGTATAATATTTTGTGTTTTCAGATGGCTTTAGAATCTATGACACGGCAAGCCGAAGACTGCGAAAAAGAATGTGAAGTTAGTCACTACAGAGAAGTAAGATGTTCCATGTTGTGTAGTATACTTAATACCAGAAATACAATTTTCACTTCATTTTATATTAAATTGTCCTTTGTTTTGATTCACAGGAGTGTGACGAAGTTATTTGTGACAACGAGAAGATGTCGAACAACGGGTGCTTAAAGCCGACTTTGCATTGCAAGTGCAAACCACAGAAACAGACAACCCTATCGCCACTTGCATGGGATGCTTTTGACCAATTGTTCAAATTGAGAATGAAGTTTTTAACTGGTTTGGTCATTTATTTCGTGTTGTGGTTAATTGTACATTTCTTGTTTATCATCTCGTAATTTCTTTCTATATTTAAGAACGGGACAAGTTTATCTTTTGTTATTATTCGAAGGGACTGGTTTATTGTACAAATACATATATTTTTTAATTTAACATTTTCACTCAATGACCCATGCCCACACTATTTTGGACCTGCTTTCTATTAAAATTTAATATTTCTATTAAGGTCGCTTTCTATTAAATCAAAGCCTGGTGTTTTTGGGTAACATAACTAATGAGTTTACTATGTCTGTCACCTTGTGTTGAAACGTATCAGACTGATCAAAACCGTGATAATAGGAGGACCAGGATGATCGGTAAAGAGCAGTATCACCAGAAGTTATCTTCGTTAATACATTTGACTATGATGATGAGGAAGATTATGTACTAAGAGACAATATTTCCCAAGTACTGCAGCCCAAAGGCTTATTGTATTTTTCCTAGTTCCTTAGTTCCGTTTGATAGCCTCGATTCTCCTCTTAAGAAGTAGTAGGTCATTGGCCGTCATTGCTGCAATTTTTTCACTTCATGGAGAATTACGTCTCATTATATCATTGAATATACCCAAGTTGTTTGCTTGCAGCACAAAGCTCTTTGCTCGCTACCGACTTCTGCTAAAACAACATTCAGCTCATCTGACTCCAATCACCAGCCCCTCTCAACATTGGCCTTTCTCTGTGCCACTAAAAGCATCAGTCGCTAAAATGAGTTTACTATATCCGGCATCGCTGGAGTTCGTCGAGATCGTCCATGTTTCTTTTGTTTTTGCTGAACACATTCCGAAATCTAGGAGTCTTATTGTCCAAATAGGTTCTAGGCCAGTATATGGTCTTGCAGATCCTCATTTGGCCTGTTTATTTGCTTTTCCATTACTCAAAACTCCTTTATGTCCTGGCACACAAATCAGACCTTATGGGCGGCAGTTTCTTCCTCCTCATTGCATAGCCTACGAATGGTTATTTTGGTCCTACGTCATTGAATATACCCATGTTTTGTATGTGTACAAATTCCGGTGACCAGAACATATCCCTAGATTATGTCTCATTGTGGTCATCATTGAATATACCCATATTGTGTAGGTGTCTAGTGTTAGTTACCAGTATGTAGCCGTATCACAAACTTGTATTTTCCCCTTTTTAACTGTAATGTTTGCCAGTTTTAGTGAGGGTTCTTTAATCATGATGTGATGACTAGAAATTTATTCGAAATTTTTGCACAAGAATCTTACTTGATCGATCGATCTTGTGGTTAGTTCAACAAATAAGAAATAATAAAGGCGAGGGATATAAGAGATTGATTCCCGTTGGATGTTGCATCCCCGAGTTTTCTTTAAAAAAAATGTACTGCATATTATAAGAAAGATTCCCTCCAATTGTTTACAGCTTCCTTTTTCACATTCTTCGTCATTAAGATATTTAAAAGACCGCTAGGGTCACGGAGTCGTGCTCTGCCTGAAATAATTGTTCTAGGTGTCTACCACGGTCGCAATTCTTCACAGGCGAGCTACGAGATGACACGTGTGGACAAATTCGGGTAAGCACTTCAGTCAAGCTTTTTTCTCCCGATTCCAATGAACGGGATAATTTTATATAAAAAAAATTATTTATTCTTCAGTTAACAGTAAAAAATAAATACATGCATAAGTAAACATACATAATACATAGTAAATTAATCTAAAATAAAATTTGTACTCTTTTCTTTTACTCCCTGTAGTATATAGTTAATCTTAAAATAAGACAAAAAATACTAATACACTAATTTAACGACAGTTACAAAATTAATAGTTAAACTCTTCTATTAGGCTGTACCTGTGTTCCCAGGCTTTTTTCGTAAAAGCAATTAATGGTTTACAGACGGTCATGTCAAATCTTTGACAATTAGCTGGACCAGCAAGGGAGCTACTTTCCATGTAGATCTGACGAAATTCGGCCACCATAGGGCATTTACAAAGGAAATTATGAAGGTCCGCCCTGGCATTTACACATAGAACATCCTGTGCAGGCCCTTCCTCAACCTCAATAATTGAGAAATAGCAATTCCCTTTTCAGCTTGAACAATTACCTCAATTGACAAAGATTCAATACAGAGTCACCGCAGCCAAAAAAAAACTAAATTCCATATTTGGCTCGAGGGATAGGGAAAAGAGAGGCTGCCATAAGGCCTTCTGCACTTCGACCTTAGTAGAGTTATTGTGCTCCTATGTTTTTTATAACTCACGTTGCCAGCAACTCCTTAGTGTAGGATCTTGCTTGTGTTTTTTCCTGTCCTAGTTGCAAGAACCTGCACCTACCTTCACAGAAACATAAAACGTGTTCTGCAGTCTCCTCCTCTTCCAGGCAGTATCTGCACAGTGTTTCTTCTGTCAGTACTCCCCTATCTGGTGCATGTGCCTTCTTAGGTGGCAGTCAGGAGTACAACCAGAATACTGGTTTTGTTGTGGTTGCCCTCCAGTAATATCTTTGTAAGTTTTGTGGATGGCCCTTCTATGAATCTCTTTGCATGGGGTGTTGTTCCACCAGGTTTTGTACTCATTCAAGATTCATTTTAAGATGTATCCTCTTTTGTGGCAAGATGCTAAGCTACAGTAGGGTTCGGGGCCTAGAGAATTCATATTGGCACCTGAATACCCAGGGACCCATGCCCTTCATGAGGCTGAAGTTTTGACATTCCAGGGTCAAGTCATTGGTATCTGCCAGTTCTGTCAGGTCACTCCTGCCAGGTGCCTGTACAATTCCATAAGCTTTATGCTTTTACCTCTCAAGACTGTCAGAGAAAATGGCTATCTTCCTGGAATGTGTTCCTTTTTAATTATCTGGCACAGTGTTCAATTGGTATAATTTCAGACTGGAAACTGTAGCATATTTTTCTAAGTTTAAAGTCAGTTTTATCTTTGGATTCATCCCAAGGACTCCAGCTTCCAGTTTTTGAGCCATCGGTATACCAGAAAGAGTTGGCCTTCAGAGACCTTCCTTTGGCCCACTCTTTCCTTTCATGAATAATTATCTTGTAATTGTTGGTGAAGTTATGAATCCAAGTGGTGGCATCGATTGGCATGCCTAATATGGCATCAGCCTGTATACCCTCCCTCAGTTTCCATTGTTTGTTGACATGGCATTTCCCTGCAGATGGTTGTCCATTTATGAGCCTGTGAGCCTGCTCTGTCTTCTCCTTAGATTAACATATGAAAAAAAAGGTGGAAGGTTTAACAACACCTCCAAGGACATAGTTTGCATGGTACTCAATGGCTCTAGAGACACTGAGACAAGCTAAACTTTGAGTGCCACTTAATAGTCTGCTTTAGCTTGCAGAGTAATATTTGTTTCTAAAACAGTTTTATATAGGTGAAAGTGTTCAGATTGTGTACCCCTCTTCACAGACTCCTCCCAATGAACAATTCCTTTCTTTTGTAAAAGTGAGGAATGCTGAGTGACAAAATTTACACTGGGACATATTGTCTATGGAAGGAATAAATTCACAAGAGTAATGGCAAGACAAGATACCCCACGATCAAACCAGAGAATGTGTGCCACCTCCTTGGCTACAGCATTTACCAATTCTTAGGTCATCTGCAAATAGAAGGAAAGGAAACTAGAGGGAGAGAGTTTGATATCATTAATTAAAATATTAAAAAGAATTGGTCCTAAATGAGATCCTTGTGAAACTCCCAAAAGACCAGAATTTCTTTCGGTTTATAGGATTTCACTTTAACTTTTTGAGGTCTACTCGTAAGATAACTGTTCTACCATTTTAGTAGTTTCCCAAGAACACCATAGGATTCAAGTTTGGCCAATAATAGAGGTTGACTGTGTAGGTACTTGCTTGAAGAAATGGAGAAGAGGAGTGGGGTGAAGAAAAGCAGATGGAATGGAAGAAAGGATGAAGTCTAGAAAAGAAGGTTGAAGTGATCAGTGATTACTCTGGTGAATGAAACCAAGGAGGCAGATGAGTGTACCCGGACGGCAGACTGTTCCAGTCTCTCACACCAGCAATCACAAATGATCTGTAATATGCCTGAATATCAGTGTAATGGTGTTGAAGTCTAGATCTAGATAAAGGAGTAAATTTAGTGTGCTAGTAAGGTGAAATAGGGCTCAATCTCATAGCCAAGAATAAGTTTTAGTAAGTTCTGGAGGGAGATTAAAAGCAAAAATAGTACAACCGTTAAAACAGATAATTAATCGAGATCTTTCAACCCAATACAAGGAAAAAATAATCAACAGTGAACTGAAGGTGAAGTACGGTAAGACAAGACTTTTGACAAGATTTGAACAAATCAGAATACTCAAATCACTGCCCAAAATAGGTGATAAAAAGGCTTCTGCTAATGTCATTAATATCTGGCTGCCATGAGAGGTTGCAGGATAATTTTACACCAAGGTTTCTCACATAATTGTACAAAGGCAACAGATTAAGGTTGATAAGAAGATCAGAATATTCTGTCCTGCAACTCAGTTGATTAAATCTGCAAAACTGAAAATCATTTGCGTAAAGGTGATGTTTGGAACAGGAGAGAGAGAGAGAGAGAGAGAGAGAGAGAGAGAGAGAGAGAGAGAAGAATATATCATTTTTGTAAAGGGAAAATAACATTGGTTCTATGATTGAACCGTGAGAAACACCACTGATCAAAGGTCTAGAGAAATACCAGTATTGGTAGATATTGGAATCTATAAGAAAGAAAGGAGATAATCATAGAGTATACAGAAAAATTAAACTTAAAAGTGGGTAGGTTGTTAATGTGAATATGATTTTTAATAAAGCTGAAGGCCTTAAAAATGCCAAGAAGTCAAGAAGGACTGTTTAAATATATATGTATATTTTAAAAAATCAAATTGGAACAAAAGTTATTGATTTGTAGCATCAATTAATTTAATATCAAGAAATGTGAAAAATTTTTGAGATTAAATATTTCAAAATTATTTTTAAGATGTTATCTGTTTGTAACTGGATTTTCACATGTAAAAAATAAATTACAACAAAAAAGGAACAAAGACAAAATTTGTCAAAATAAAACAATGGAGACACCAAGGTTTGTCTGGCGGACAAATGTTGCAAGAACAAGCATGGATATTCAAAGACAAAAAATCTAAAAAGTAAATAAAATAAATGTGTATATTTACATCTAAACAAATGAAGCTAATAAAGCTCATGACACTGACTTTTTTATCTCAACCAAGACCTTAGCACTAAAGAATAATTAATTGAAATAATTAATAAGGTCAATTATGATCACTAAACATGTATGGATTAATTTTTTTTAAATTGCATTTTCAGGTTATTTATCACATTTTACTATATTGTCATCATTACATCAGGAGAATGGATAGAACTTCCAAAATTAAGCCGCCAAGATATTCCTTCTTCATTTAAAAAACAGTCACAAGAAAGACTATCGCCAAACATTTCCCTTTTCCGTATGGCGTCTACAATGCAACCAACCATTCTTCTAGAAAATGACGAGGAAAATTATAGCTATGAATACTCTAATCAAAGCTACACATTCTTCGACCCTAAGCTTGAATCTGTACTTCTTAATGCTCACCATGTCCTCGTTGAAGAAGCACAACACCCAATCAGGCATAAGCTTAGATTTTTGAAACGCCTTCAAAATAACATTCTAAACCAAATATGTAAGTAATATTTATACTTTTAATAATTATTATTATATTATTTTAATAATTCAATTTTAATAAACTGTTAGGGAGGCGCAGTCAGTTGTTATGGACTGCGGATAATTTAGAAGGAAGGGGACACGGGCACATGATGAGCTTTCCTTCATTGGAAAGTGCACTTATGACAATTTCATTTCTTACTTTTGCTGCCTTTTTAATCAAGATTGTTAAGGTAAACGATAAGCTACATTTTTTTTTAGAATGTAATGATTGCTTTATTGACTTGCCTTTTAATACATTTTCTGTTCACAAAACTTCTGATTCATTTGTAATTTTAATAATCAGAGCTAAAACTTATATTCCTAAGTTCACTGTTTTTATAAAATTGTCATTAATATATAATTACAGCAATTTCTTCAAGGGCTGCAGGGTGCTAATGGAAACATGGTAGGCGTAGAATTTCCAGGTGCAGCAGCTCCAGCAAAAGTTGTCAGACAAAGAAGAGGTTTAAATTATGAAAATTTAGAAGTAGCACAACTTCTTCAGTACATAAATCAATTGAAGGTAATAAAAAAGGATTTATTTTCCCCTTCAGTAAATACTTATTTGTTATGTACTAATGAATAGATATTGTAAATATTATTTAAAAAAATAGTAGTTTGGTCATTTCTAATCATTTGGTCTGTCTGGAATAAGGTTTTTTCCCAACACTGATGATATTGAGAAACAAATATGACAGAGATGATACCAAATTGATTAAAAACAGTCCAACTGCAGGATCACCACTGTGTGGATCTCAGCAGTTCACTATTATTAACTTTTTAAAACCTAACTAAAATAAGCTTTTTTAGTTAGTTTATCGCACAAGCTTTATTAGGGGCCACAACTTCCCGCCCATCAATTTTTGAACTGTTTATACACTTTTAACAAATAAAACAACATTTAAATTAATCTTTCACATATATACTTAAAGTATTATTTACATCAAACTTATCTACAAAAAGAATAGAAATATTTTTACATCACAGCAACCCATCAAGTGTTATAATATATTGGTAATTAATTATACTTATTTATTATCTTATTTACTTGTTATAGTGGGCTAAAGCATGAGGCAAGCAAAAAGGCTAGGAAGTTAATAACCCTTTACACCCATGCCCACTTACACACAATACTTTTAGTTAGTGAATATCGCACAAGCTTTATTAGGGGCCACAACTTCCCGCCCATCAATTTTTGAACTGTTTATACACTTTTAACAAATAAAACAACATTTCCATTTGTATAACATAGAACAGCTCAAGGTTGTTCTTTCTGATGGATGGAAACATGGATATATTTTGGAGCTGGATTCACACGTACAGGTTGTTCATGGGTTGGGTTAGATAGAGTTGGTATTAAAGATAGGTTAGGTAGGGTTAGTAGATAGATAGATAGATAGATAGATAGATATACTTTATTTACAAAATGAAAAAAAAAATTTAAAGTTAAAAATAAAAAACACAGTATTATTATGGCATGGTATTAAAACCGTCAGCCAGAGTTCGGAGTGCATTACTATCCCAAGAATATGCATAATTATATAATTATGAGAAAAGGAGAATTTAAAATATCAACTTCAGAGGTTACAATTATTTACAGGATTTCGAAATTACAAGGTTGAATTGCGATAAATTTTGAAAATAATAAAAATGACACTTCAAAGAACAAAAGGATTCTAACTTACATAGGGTCCCGCACAGGCCAACAGGTAGGGTTAGTATTAGGAAGAGGTTAGATTATGAATGGTTAGGTTAAGTGGGATTAGTGTTATGGTCAGGTTACATTATCAATAGTTAGGATATGTAGGGTTAGTGTTAGGGAGGGGTTATATTACGAATAGTTAGGATAGGTAAAGATAGTGTTACAGAAGTATTTAGATTAGGTAGGGTTAGTGTTAGAGAGGGTTAGGTTAGGTAGGGTTGCTCCCCTGTTTTTTATAACTCACTGGCTGCAGGATTTTGCTTGTGGTTTTTCCTGTCCTAGTTGCAAGAACATGCACCTGCCTTCACAGAAACATAAAACGTCTTTTGCAGTCTCCTCCACTTCCTGGCAGTATCTGCACAGTGTTTCTTCTGTCAGCACTCATATCCAATACATGTGCTTTCTTAAGTGGCAGTGCCCTGTCAGGATTCCAACCACCATCCTGGATAAGTTGGAGTTGCCTTCCAGTAATTCCTTTGTAAGTTTTACGGATGACTCTTCTATGAATCACTTCAGGTGGTATTTTTCCACAGGTTTTGGACTAATTAAGGATCCATTTGCAGATGTATCTTCTTTTGTGGAAAGATGCTAAGCCACAGTAGGGTTCAGGACCTACAGAGTCCATGTTGGTTCCCTCTTTGGCCAACATATCAACCTTTTCGTTGCCTTTAGGCACGGCCCTGAGGGCCCTGGGATCCATGCCAGGGTCAGGTCATTGGTGTCACTGAATTCTGTCAGGGACTCCATGCAGTTCCAAATGCCATTTGCCTTCACCTCGCATGAGGCTAGGGCCTTTAGTGCCGCCTGACTGTCAGAGAAGATAGCTATCTTCCTGGAATATATTCCTAGCCTTTTTATTTCCCTGGTGCAGTGTTCAATCACTATGATTTCAAACTGGAAAACTGTAGCGTATTTACCTAGGTTTACTGTTAGTTCGGTCTTTGGATTCATCCCATGGACTCCAGCCCCCGTGCCCTAGTCGGTTTTGGAGCCATCAGTGTACCAGTAGGATTTTGCCTTTAGTGTTATTCCTTTGGCCCATTCTTCCCGTTATGCTATCAGTACCTTGTACTTTTTAGTAAAATTATATTTTGGAGAAGGGGCATCGATTAGCATGCTTAATATGATGGCATCAGACTGTATCTCCTCCCTCAATTTCCATTCTTTATTTACATGGCCTATTCTTGCAGATAGTTGTCCATTTATAAGCCTGGGCGCTGCTCTGGTTTCTTCTTGGATTAAGATATGAAGTGGTGGAAGGTTTAACAACACCTCTAGGGTTGCAGTTGGTGTTATGCTTATCGCCCCAGTCCCAGTGACACTGAAACAAGTCTGCCTTTGTGTGCCACTAAAAACCTGATTGCTTTGGCCTGGAGTCTTGGTCCACCACACCACCAACCCTACCGGTCTATGAGGTCCCCAGTTTTTGTCACAGAGACTTCTGCATTAGTGTTAGGGACAGGTTAGATATTAACCGGTTACTTTATGTAAGGTTAGTGTTAGGGACAAGCTAGATTATGAATGGTTAGCTTAAGTAGGGTTAATGTTAGGTTAGGTTAGATAGGGTTGGTGTTAGGGAAGTGCTTAGATTAGGTAGGTTAGTGTTAGTTATGTGTTTGGATTAGGCAGGGTTAGTGTTAAGGAGAGGTTAGATTAGGGAAAAGTTTAGATTAGATATGGTTAGTGTTAGGGAGAGGTTATATTATGATGGTTAGGTTAGGTAGGGTTAGTGTTCGGGAGACATTAGATTGTGAAAGGTGAGCTTAAGTAGGGGATGTTAGGGGCAGATTAGATTATTAATGGTTAGGTTATGTAGGATTTTTTTAACAGTCCACAAATTAAATGTGTTCTTAATTTGTTTCAGACTAACCACAGACCTTGAAAATTATGACCATGTGTCTACTTTTGTCACGTTTGATGAATTTGGTTTACTCTCTTATACATTATGAAACAAATTTGGATTATGAAGCTACAAATGCCTAAGCATAATGTATATGAATTGAAATTTGTAATGTAATGTAAATAAAATATTTAAAAAATGTCTTAGAATGTGTTTCGTTTAAATATATCCATCACATTTTCAATCATTACAATTTTTGTACATTTCCTACCCGTTTTGAAATAACTTGTGTGTCTATTCATGGAGTGATACCAACAGTGTAGATCCACTTTAAATTTAATTAGGTTAAATGACAAATAAAATAAATTCATGATGATAATATGTTTATTTCAGAACACTATTATGTTGCAGTTTAGAACAAAAAGTAAAAACGTTGGATCATTAAACAGCATCTGTTGTTTAATAAATACTGAATTTTACCGCAAAATTCATTGTGCAACATTTGGAATGTTATTTACAATTGTACACATTTAAAAATCACAATGATTATTTAATTTCATTTAAAATACTTTCAGTGGTAATGCTAAAAATACTGAACTAAGGCTACAAGAAACAATATTTTAGATGGGAATGTAACAAGAGCTTGAAATCAAGAAAAAATAATCTAATAAATTTAAATCAAGAGTAACCTAAAAACACCTTTATTATTTGTTAATACAGTGACTATTAATTAACAACATTTGATATTGTACATAAATTCATTCCTCGAGTTGTGAAAGCTTTGAAAATTTGACCAAATAAAATATACATTTATGAAAATACCGTAAATGGTTGTTGACAATGATAGTATTGCTTTATTCATCGAACTGCCTAAGCAAAATAATATTCTCCAAGATCATAACAGCAAGTTTTGAAAATAAATTTTTAACTGCACAGCACATTATATACACAACTGGAATCAATTAAAATAACATAACAGACAATTTAACAATATAAGCTCTATATTCCAACCATACAACTGTTGAGATGTTATTAAGAATCATTCTCTTTCAATAATAACTCAACGACTTTAAAAGTATTTGTATTATTCTCAACAAACATAAAATTCCATTTAAAATTTAACAATTCTTTTTTGACAAGCCAATTCTGTATCTACAAAAATTACAATAAAACAATCTAGTAATTATTTACAACAGTTTAAATGCAAACTATGACCGTTTACACGTTCGATTTGGTTATCAAAGCATATTATAACCACCGTTATAAGGTGTTGAGTGTTGTAGATTTAATTTTTCATAGACAGAATCAAAGGACAATTTGCAAGATGAACATATGTTGAATTTTCTGACCGCCTTGGAAATCATATTATGCTTTATCACCTTATTTAATTATACATTTTAAAAGTATTTCCAACCACCATTGATACATTGATGTTGTTTCTATTAAAAACCCTTTCTCCAATGATGTTTTACGTTTGATAATGTACTGATCCAAAAATACCTTTTTCCTGTAATTTACAGCAGCCCCAAATGTTTAAATACTATTACAAAACTACAATGGATAATATTACCTATAAGAAACACTTTTAATTCATGGTAATTGTCAGAGGTCTACAAATTCTTAGTATCTAACATATCAATGTTGATCTTATAGTACACGTAGGGATAATAATCAGCTTGTCCAAAGCCAAGTCCTGGAATGTCAACACTCTGAAAAAAAAAAAAAAATCTAGGTTTCATCAATGCACTTAAATATATGATAATGTGTTTACAAGTACTGGAAATAAACGATCCACAAGGTTATAAAGTGAAATCCTTCTTAATGGACATGCATAGCCCTGGTAAAAAATAATGATATGCATTTTAAACCCCACCATAATGGAACCATTCCATACCAGTCGCAGACCTGAGGTCAGTTGACATAAACAGTTGTATAGATGGTGATTTCGCTATTTGTATGACAAAGTTCATCAAGTGCTTCTACACCTCAAATGTACCAAAAAAGTTCATATGAACCATGGTGCGATTTTCAACCCTTTCGCAGATATTCAACATTTTACGTTTTTTATTCAACAATCTACAATTTTCGTCATAAATGTACTCACAGCTCTTGAACTATTTGTTTTTGGGAAAATCCAAGAAACCATTAAAAGAGTTTTGAATTTCCATTAAGAAAGCAACCTTTTACAACTTTCCATTTAATTTTTGGTACAAAAAAAACAAAACAAAGACTATATCTTTCAAAAACTGGTAAATTTAAAATTTCAGTCTCTTTTTATGTGTTTTGTTTGATTTTTACATAGAATTTTTCTTTCTGTTGTTTTTTATTATGTTAAAGTTGAGTTTTGCAACTTCTGAAATGTTCTATTCTTTTTGTCTGCGTTTAGTGTAGATATTTGGTCCAATTTTTCTACTTTTGTAAAATTAAAAGAGCTGTTTTGGGTAGTTTAATTTTATAAAGAAAAGGAAGAAAAAAAAATCATGGTGAACAAATTAATGATGCATCACAAGCATGTCTTTAGTTTAATAAAACAAATTAAGATTGAACTTTTTTAAATTGTAAACATTTATATATGTTTTTACTTATTAGACTCAGGTCGTTATATTTTTTCTATAAAATATAATGTATTATGTGCAATATAAAATTGCTATCCATTTTTTAAAATACCCATTTTAAAACTGTCCTTAAACATTTCTTCCTGGGTTTCATTGTACAATTAACACACAATACTCACATCAGTATTTGCACTTGACTGCCCGCCTTGTTGTTGTGCACTGCTGTCTAAGTGACCATAATGCTGATTCAAAACGTCTCGCAAACGTTTTAATGATTTTTTATGTGGATGAATAAGCATAGCTTGAAAATTGACTGGAAGGCCATATCTGCCGAATCAAACAGTAAATGAAATGAAAATTATTTAAATTTATCTGATTGTACACACATGTATACATTACCTGAGAACAGATTCAACAAAGACCCTAAGGGCTTTAACATGAATCCAAGCACAGAAACATTCACTAAAGTTGACTTTTAGCCATCTAACCAACGGTCCCTGGGAGAAAAAAAAAATATTAAAAACAGAGATCAACCAAATTATATCGATTACAATATTAATACTTACAAACTGCTTTTTCTTATCCATTACAAGTTTTGTGATCTCATTTTTTCCAGCTGCAAGTTCTTCTTCATTATATATGAATTCTCGAACCACAAACCTATAAATATTTTTCATATGATTCTGATTGATTTCTTTGCAGAAACTCTTACAGAATTTGTGTTTGGAATTAATTGGGTAACAAAAACTGTTACAAGAATCAAATAAGGATGATTGCTGGAGAAAAATATACAAGAATAAATAACCCAACTTACTTGTTCTTGCCGGCATGATGTTTAAATTCAGCAGCAACCTTTTTAAAAAGTGTGACAGTGAAAAGACCATATTCGTTATCCTGAAAAATCAGTTCAGTCGAACGTGGTACAATCATAGTCGTAATCTTCTCATAATTGGAACTCCACTCATTGAACAAAGCTCTAACAAAAACAAATAAATACATTTAAGACATTCGATCAGTGAGAAAATTTGATGAATCACATTTAAAATATGCATTACTAAATAGCAATAGTTTATCTATTTATTAAGTATAATGGTAACTTTTCAATGATGAAAGAATCAATTGAGTTTATCGGGAAAAGGTTATGATTCAGTGATTTCATCTGAAATCCATTATTCAAAAATAGTTCAATTTATATTGTTTTGTTAAAGATTAATTTAAATTCACAATCGGTATAAATAGTATAAATAATATCTATGATTAGAACCATAATTTACAAAAAGTGAATTGGTATAAACAGTGTACTCCTTCTCCAACCACATACATTTATTACAAACTACTAGTTATTTTCACTATCTGATTAGATAGATGTATAGTCAACCATCCCACACGGCACTCTTATAAACCGGTTACCATGCAACATAGAGCCAAAATTGCAACACCCCTCCTAAATGCAGTACTTACAACCCTAGGAACAACTACTATTAATTAAGGTTTTTAGTTGAGATAAAAAAGTCAATGGCACGAGCGGGATTCGAACCCACGATCTTCGGCTAGATACGCCACTGCTCTACCACTTGAGTTATCGTGACCTCGATCTACTCGGACACTAACTTCCCATCTCAACCCCACCTTTTGAATTTTCCCTCCTTTTTGCCATTTTTTGGGAAGTTAGTGTCTGAGTGGATCGAGGACACAATAGCTCAAGTGGTAGAGCAGGGGCGTATCTAGCCAAAGATCGTGGGTTCGAATCCCGCTCGTGACATTGACTTTTTTATCTCAACTAAAAACCTTAATTAATTGTAATATATTAATTGGTCAAGCGGACCACGAAATTAGTGAACCTAGGAACAATATTCAAAAAGGAAATGATATTTCACTTCCAGTTACAGAAATAGTAAAAATCACTTCTTGTTTAAGAGGTGAAGGATTTGCATTAATATATAGGATAACTTTAGATAAGGAAGAGATACATCTATCTTAAATCCATTAGTACACGAAAAGCCATTTTCACATTGCAGTGGAGTGCACATGGGTTAAGTATGGTTGGGGTAGTTTAGGTACAGTTAGGGGATGAATTAGTTTGTTTAGTTTATGTAGGATTAGGGATGTATTAAGTTGGTTAATTTCAGTAGGGTAAGGGACAGGTTAGGTTAGGTTAATTTAGGTAGGGTAAGGGATGAGTTAGTTTTGGTTAATTTAAGTAGGGGGGTATGGATGAATTCGGTTAGGTTAGTTGTAGGGCTAGAGCTAGGGTTTAGGAAGTGGAGAAAATATGCGAGTGGAAGCACAAGTTTTGTTGCACTCTCACTTTTTTATTTTGCTTTCACTTCATGCACCTAATAATTTATCTATATGTGGACGTTTGTAATAAGCAGAAAATATGCCATTCCGAAATGAGGCCTGTTAGGGGAGGTGGGATTAGGAATTTTAGTTAGGGGTTTTACAATCGCCTGCTTCCATGATTTTGGAAAAATGTAATTATATAAAGAAAAATTGTAAAGATGGAGAAGGACAGAAAGGATAAATGCTAGACATACTTAAATGAGTTTTGTGGGTATCCCTTACTATGAAATAACTGCCTCAGTATGAATGTGCATAATGGAAGCTACTAGTGATACATGTGAGTGAAAGGTGCATTTTTATTTATGCAAATTTAAAAAAGTACTTTATGTATGTATTTGACATATAAACCTGGTCACTAGTTAAGTAAGAAGTTTGCAATTTGACGCGTTTCTGACAGCCTTTCCCTAGGCAAATCCTCGGACTATTTTGATGGTCAAAAATAGTCACAAACTTGGCTTAAAAATATGTTGGAACGGCCGACTGACAATTTGAGTTTGGGTTGAAACACCAAAACTCAACATTGCAAATACCGGCCAATTTGTTGATGGTTTGAATGTGTGATGGAACAAACCTTATGGTATGTATAAATAATCTTGTAAATACTTTCTTAACTTTTTTTAAAAATTTAACTAAAGGTAAATCATTTATGTCTATGAGTACTTACTTTGGAACAATAACGAGCAATGTAGTCAGGTATTCCGAGTCGAGAATGAAATGTTCTTTCTTCACCAGATCTGCCAAGTTGCGAGTTAACAGGCTACCGCTGAAAAAATTTAAACAAAGTTGAAAAATCTTGTATATCAAATTTATTTTCATGTAATATTAAAGATAAGCGATATCTTGTAGTGATATCTCACCGACCTTTGTTTCTTTTCCATGTTCTGCAGATTGCTTTTCAAATTATTGTACGCTGTCGATTTTGTTTTCAAATCGGCGTCAATCTGGCTCACCTGTTTGCTTATTATATCGGCGATATTTCTTAGGGACTGTTTTATCGGATATTTAGCCAGATCCCAGCTAAACTTTGTTATGTAAGATGGTAGATCCACTAAAAAAATAAAAAAAAAATTAATGACACAAATAAAACCAGGCGTACAAGAATGTTTAATCTCAAAGTCTGTTGAAAACTTACTGCTGTTCGCCATTAAATTTTCATGCAGTTTATCTTTTTGATCTTCCACAACCTCTCCCAGATACTGAGCGACTTTATGCGTCACTTGGTCAACGTAATTGTCAAGTTTGCCCAAGTCATCCGACAGGCCGACCAGCTGGTCCAGAGTACCAACCTGTAAAAGATAACACTCGGGTTTATCCGAACGAAATTGATCATGGAGAAGGAAAGCTATTGATCTGAACACTCTCACACTTACCCGCCTAGGGGAGCATATTTACAAAAGGCATCTGATCGGATAAGAAAATCTCATGTTATTTTATTTTATTAATTACCTTCAGATCCGGAATGTGAAACTTGTAGTTTTCGGAAAGATTGTGCTGTTTGTTCGTCACATTGTTCATCGCCTCCCATGTCTGTTGGCACGTCTTGTCCCCAGGGGCGGAAATCAACCAGTATTCGCTCATGGTCACTACTTCCAACGGCTTGAAACCAATTCGAGAAGACAGAAAAAAGAAGAAAAAAAGATTAGTGAAGAAAAACAGCGAAAATAGGCGTAGTTCCTCTACTCCTCTGAACGTCCCTACCAATATAAAATGCAAACTCGAACTGATTTTGAAAACGAAGAATCTGAGATTGTGTTCTGAACAGTGGAAACGTCTGGACTGTCGGATTAGAAATAAGTTTTTGCCATAATCCAAAGTAAAAGGAGAGAAAAACAAGGACAACAAAGATCAGCTGCTATCAATGGGCGTAACCCATTCAATGCAGTAGAAATTTTTCCCCCGACCGACGGCCAATGTCGACTGGAGGTGCGAAGGGCCGTCCACCGCTACATCCGGCTGACTGAATTTCAATTTTAAATTTATAAAATTCATCCGAGCGGAAAAAAAGCATTTTTTTAAAAAGACTTTAGGGTGAGGCATTTTTTTTATCATTTAAGAAAATTATTTGGTTGTTTATTGGATACGAGGTGACGTCATTGATTTTCAATCAACTTTTCGTCACCTTACAACGGAGCTTCCCAAACTGTGGTCCGCGGTAAACTTCGAGAAAAATTAATCCATATATGTTTATCGGTCATAATTGATCATATCAATTATTTCAATTAATTATACTTTTTATCTAAGGTCTTGGTCGAGTTGAAAAAGTTAGTGTCATGAGCGGGATTCGAAACCGCGACCTTCGGCCCAATACGCTGCGGTTCTAACCAACCACTTGAGCTATCGTGACATTGACAGAAAAATTAACATTTACAAAAATAAACGTAGAATGAATGAATTAAATTAGAAGAGGGAATGATTAAAATTTAATTAAAAACAGAAATATATTATAAATGGACTGAATGGACACTTGAAAATGATTGGTATTAACCAACATAGTGCAGATTCTGCAAAAAGGCAGAAGAGAACCAACGCAACTATTAACAGACGGTAGTGCTAGTCTTATCCGCAGAAGGAGATGTGATATATTGGGTTGTAAAATAAGCACTCACGGTTGGTTAGAGAATTTTGTCAAAAATAATCATCAATGGATTCTATGGATTTGAAGATTTGAGATCATCAGAAAAGAATAGAAAATGGATATGTGAAAAACAAGAGGAAATATCGTTTATAAAATGTTTAAACTAGAAAGGACTAAGAACAAATCCTTGAGGAACTCCAGAAGGGACAAAATGTTTGTTTGAAACTAAAGATGACAATTTAACAGCTTGACTTCTGCTAGTTAAATATGAATATATTTAAGAATAGTTTATTATCTATGTAGCATAATCATCTGTAGATAAGTGTGCAGTAAAATATTTCACTTTTACTACTACTACTAATCCTGAAAGAGTATCATATTAGTAGCGGATCCAAATGAATGGAAGCCATGTTGTTGTGGAATTATTAAACTCTTTAATAAGGTGGTAATTTATTAAGTATGAAAGATTCAAAGACTTTGATTAGATGCAGATAGGTTTCTAGTTCTGAACGTCTAATTTATCTCCTTATTTGAAAATTGGTTTAACAAAATTGAATTTAAGAATATTTGGTAAGCCCCTAGAGTAAGTTAATCAACTTTAAATCCATTATGTTTAATGGTCTAATTGGCCAAATTCCTTCTTTCAATTAATTATTCTTTTTATGTAAGGTCTTGGTTGAAATGGAACAGTTAGTGTCATGAGTGGGATTCGAACCCATGACTTTTTTTAAATCAACTTTGTTAATATTGGAGCTAAAGTGGAATTATAGTATTGTAAAACAATTGGAGATATTTGATCAGGGCTAGGACTTTTCTTTATAATAACATTAGACAACTGTAATGAAACTTCGTAAACACTAATGTGTAAAGAGCCATTCTGCTAAAGGTTGAGCATAAAAAAAAGTAAATTCTTTGGTGGAATAGTTATGGTTAACCAATGTGATTTTTTTATAACACTTGTAAAAATGTATTTAATGAATTAATTACCTTTGTATTACAGAACAGGGATGAAAAATTCCACTTTTTCTTTAATTTGAACATGATGACCGACTACTCTGTATTCAAAATAATTTTCCCTAGCTTTTAAATATTATTGTGTATGGTTTCCTCAAAATATTTGTTTTTGTTAACAAAACTACACCAAATATCATTAATTGTTGTTATAGTTACAATAATTGTCTACTGCTTAACAGACATTTTTTTTAGAACAGCACATAATTTAAGAGATGCTGAGAGCAGGAAATCACCCCTCTATTCAAGATGTTTAAATCCCATTATTCAAGAATTTTAGCAACCTAGCTTGCTCGTTCCTACAAAGTTACAACCAATAAATAATACTCCAAATGGTCTATTGGATACATTTGAGACTGTTAAACTGATAGGAAATGAGCTTTTAGGACCTTTGAAAGTTGCCCTGGAAGCCACACTCATAGACCAAATTAAATGCCTGTTTTTGGACTATCAGACAGTCTGAAAGGGGCAAATTGACAAATATAAAAATTAAGTTTCCCAGCATAGTTCCAATTGACTACAGGTGGCTAGTGTGTCCGACTCGTGCCACACTCGCGGTTCTGGGATAAAATCCCAGCAGATTCCAAGGAATTTTAATAAATATATTTTAAAAAAAGGTACTGTAAAATGGTTCTGACTCCTTGTCAATGACAGCCAACGGTTAATCATTACAACTGGTCCTAATAACCAAATTCCTTGATGAACTGGGATTTACGTCATCAGTGGTACAAAACCAGGTACCATTAGCCAATTAGCGATAAATACTTAATGAACAAACTTATTCAAATGATCTTTTCTTGTAAAAGAATTACCCTGACCGTTCTTTTTAGTGAACGTTTGCTATCTCAGTTTTTTCTTTTTATCTTCCATTAATTTAAAATTTTATTTATATTATTGTAGTTGATTCCACGTCTGTAGATTATTATGTATATTTCTTTTTTAAGCTGTACTTCTTGTTAGGGTTTCCTGATGATGAGCAGAATAAGAAAAAATAGCCAGAAACATAGAAGTAAAAAGGTGATATAAATTAACCTTTAAGAGATGCTGAGAAAAAACGTGTCTCTTGGACTTCCCTAATTTAAAGAATCTCTTTTTTAGGAAAGGAAAGAAGGTAAAAAATATACATTTTAAATTTTTCCAAAATTACACGAAACAAGTATAACACAAAACCCACTTTAAAAACGTAACTGTTTTCTTTTTTGTGTCTTCTTCATAAAATATGAATTACCTAGTTCGCTGAACTGTCCCAAAATGAACTATTCCTCAAAAGGAACGGCTTGCCCATGTCAATCCTAGTGATGTGTAGTTCTTGAACGAACTACTTCAACTGAACTAATCCCGGAAAAGAACTGTACTGACCAATGTTTCTTTTTAATGAATTATAGGTATTTTTCAGTCCTTTTCTTCACTATTCTGTACTAGTATAACTTTTATCGAAAATTACATGATACAAGTTAAATCCAACTTTTAAAACGTAACAGCTTTCTTTTTTCCTTCTCCAAAAAGCATAAACTAATTAGTTTAATGAAACGAGCTTTCCCAGAAGGAACTATTCCTCAAAAGGAACGGCTTAGCCCAACTCTATGTCAATCCTAGTGATGTGTAGTTCTTGAACTAGTTCAAATGAACTGTTTCCGTAAAATAAATATATTGACCTGTTTCTTTTTAGAATCCACCTGTCTTGTTTTAACTTATTTTTCAAAAATTACATGAAACGAGTTAAAAAAGTAATCGATTTTTTTTGTGTCCGAAAAGCATGGACTAATTCAATAAAAAGGACTTTGCCGAATGTAATTATTCCAGAACGGCTTTGGACATCTATAGTGACTAGTGAGCCAATCCAAAATTTTCATAATTGGCCTCAAAGGAGGGAATTTTTTATTGTTGATGCGTTGAACATAATTTATCTATATACATTAGACAAATGAATAAAAACAAATGACAATAAGAAATTAATAACAATACAGTTGGTAGAGTGTAATGTGCGAGCTTTTGCCAAGGAGGATACACAGATACAGGTTATACCGGGTAGGGATAACAAGCGTGTTTCAGTTATCTTAATCGCACTTCGTGTTCGTCCATTGACAATTTAATTGCCAACAAACGTCCGCAATGATTTCTTTGCGTAATTCTTTGATTTCGCACGCCGCTTTCTTTGAGAGACACTTTTTAGAGAAATGCACAATACGAGGTAAATAATTTTAAATTTTATATTGTCTAGGATGTTTCAGAACATCTGCAGTGCGCAGGGTATTCGTGGTGAATACATAAAGGTCCGTTTTATTTACTCGTGGAATAAAATTATTTATGTGGTAGTTAAGAGGTCTGTAATTTTTCTAAAATCTTGCTTCCTAAGAGAGAGAGAGAGAGAGAGAGAGAGAGGGAGAGAGAGAGAGGGAGAGAGAATGTAAGTGAAACAGAGTGTGTGTGTGTGAGAGAGAGGAGTTCCTTCGCCGTTTTGAGTGATTTATACACCGTCTAGCCATAATGTGACCCCTGTCAAATTCAAGAATACCCACGTTTCGCAGCACTAACTGCTGAAGATGTGCAAGCAGAGAGTCGGTTCTGGCAGGTACTTTGTACGCCATGCTGACTCAAGTGGCCAGCTGTGCTAGGTCGCGCAGTTGAAGACCCATGGCGAGGTGGTCTCACAGATTCTTAATTGGGTTTAAGTTCCGGGAGTTTGGTGGCAAGGGTAGTGCTCCCTCCAGTGCTTTGCTGCTCCTCAAACTAAGCACGTATATGCGAGATGTATGACACGGGACATGGTAAAAAACTTAAATGGCCAGCACAAAATTATGAGTACCCAAAATCCAAATGAGAAACCTACAGCAGGAGTAATAACCATAAATAAAAATATAGATGCCCTCTACCTTGACCACTTATCAACTACCCTTTTAAATTGTACCCACATAAAACTTGGTACACTATAATTCTAACTCATAAACACATACTGCCAATATTCACCCAAAATAGAACCACATTTAACACAAATAGAATTAATTATAAAGGAGTTCAAAAACCACCCTGTACTCATTACAGTCCAGCCAGCGACTGTAATTGTATACATTGCCAGATATTGATTAGTCAAGCGGACCACGAAAACTAATGAATTTAATAAGTTAAAATGAAGTATACCTTAACTAAAAGCTCTCTGTGGCCATTTCCTTTGTCGCCGAGAATCAAATAGATTACACGACATTTTAAAAATGGCAAAAAGGAGGGAAAATTCAAAAGGTGGGGCTGAGATAGGAAGTTAGTGTCCGAATGGATTGAGGTCCCAATAGCTCAAGTGGTAGAGCAGCGCTAGCCGAAGATTGTGCGTTCAAATCCCGCTCGTGACACTGATTTTTTTATCTCAACTAAAAATCTTAACTAATTGAAAAATATTAATTGGTCAAGCAGACCACGAAAACTAGTGAATTTAATAATAGTAATGTTTATTTCAGAATTTGATTAATGATTTATAAAAGCTAAAATTTACACATGTATGTACGAATATACACAAATGTTCAGAGTTGAGCTTATCACTTCTAGCAGTCCACTGGCAATTCCATTTTTTGTAATTTACAATAAATTACCAGCAGGCTTCAAGAATCACCAACCCTAGGTTTTGGGAGTCCGGGGTCAGACCTCGATCTTGTCTCTTCAGCCTCTTAGGTTGGGCTCCACTAACGGCTACCAACACAGCTAGGTGATTTCAGCAACCAACACGATCAATTCCTTCACACTTTTATTCGCGCTTAAATATTGGGTTGTCCGGAAAATAATGCAGGATTTTGGTATTAAACAAAAAAAAAGAAACTAGTTACTTTAAAGCAATGTTCTTTAATCANAATGAGTAATCCTGTAAACGTAAACAGAATATTTTATATAGATTTTTTTTAATGAAAACTTAAAATCCTGCATTATTTTCCGGACAACCCAATACATTCTTACTTATTGAGATACCATTCACTCAGGGTAGTGGAGTGCTTAAAATCCTCCATCACCCTTTACACCTATATCTGAGAACCTATGAGGGTACTCGGTATTCTGCCATTGTCCCTGTCACACTACACATTTACACCAATACATGGTGAATGGTAAATACATTCACTCAGCACTCATTAGGGACACAAAACTATAAGTACTGTTACCATAAAACAGCCCTGTTTCCTCCAAAAATCAGAACAGGGGACCTAGAGACTTGTTACCTTGCTCAAGCATGGTTCTCATATTAGGTGGTGTTCCTACACGCTCTCTATATGGAGCCAAGGAAGTACACCCTTCAACTTGGTGGGACACATCAAGCATGCTGGACACATATGCAGGCTTTGGCCCAAAAGTTGTCCCTGTGTCAACTTGCACATCCTATTCTTAATTGGGTGAGGATGACCCCCCTCTTCTACCACTCAGATCCTCTGAGGGCCACCTATCGACAATGCTTTTGATACACAACAGTTTCTCTGTCTATCCTGCCCAGTATTTAAACATCTTTACTACTTATGGTACACATTTTAATATTATGACATAATACACTTATGCTTGGACAGCTGAGATAGGCATTGATCAAAATTGAAACTAAAATTCCCCTTCAATGTTCAAAAATTAAATATAATAAAAATTTCACTTTTTGGCACACAATAATATTTACTCACATTTAAATAATTAAACTAAAAAAATGAAAATTCAATTCATAAAATTCTTATTTTATGAATTAGTTACTAATAATTAATTAATTATAATACATGTATGCATACTGGATACAATTTTTCCCCATTTTTGCCATTTATGTATTCCACAAACTCCTGTTTTTCATTTGTATTTTTTCCAAACCAATCCTGCTGAAAATTACTTAAAACTGGATATTTACTCACATTTTAATATTATGGATAGTTTAGGGGCTGACAAACAGCTATTTTCATCACATGCGTTGTTGCTTCTTCTTCTTGTGTCACTTTTTTTTTTTAATCTACATACATTAGAGCAGGTTACTGGAAAAAAATGTTGAAAATTTATTGTGACTCTCTATACCCTTTCATTTAAAATAAGTATAAATAAAATAAAAATACTTGATTATTTTTAATAGTGGTTGATAGTAATGTTTGTGTTATTTGCAATGGCAGATGGTTGCTGTATTGTTTCTTTTTTATATTTACCAATCTACGCTTGCCTGAGTTCAGCCAATTTCAGTTAGAAGGATAACCTACAAACCTGGTTATTTGTTTGAAAATTAAAAAAAAAGTTGTTATTTCATAATTGATTTTATTGTTTGTCCTATTTCAGCCAGGAGGACACTGTACAGCGCCGGGTCAATAGGACTTGATGCATACCAGGACACCAGGGAAAAAATAAAATCCCAGTTCGGAGGGATCGAAGATAAATTTAAAACCAAAATGACAGAATATACCAATACAGATGCGAATAGTACCATATTTACAGAAGATTTGAAAAATATGGTTCATCTAGTCGAAAATGAGGAAGTCAGCTTAGTTGAGCAGATGATAAAAAAGTTAGTATTGGAATTTATTTTCCTCTACACAGCACATTTTAATTTATTCAGTGTTTTATGTCCATGTTTGTACTATTTTTTACTTTTTATATCAGGTTTGCAAAACAAAATAGAGAAATGCGGTTTGGCTCATTTGTATTTGGACCCGTAATTATGAGGATGTATTACCACCTGAATATGCCAGTGGCTGCACTCGAGGTAAATTCTTGAAATTGAGTTAAAAAATTATATTTATATAACAATCTTTAGAAAGTTATCAGTGTGCTTTACTACTTTTACTATTATTTATCTGTTTATCTTTTCTAATACTGTATTTATAAATTGATTCATATTCATTAACAGAAGCATCTGTTTGAGCAAGGGATTGAGACACATTTATTTGGCAGTAGAGGCAATTCATCATCTCCTTATAATATTAAAAAGGTTTTGGCTGAAGTGGGAGAGAGAGAAGGACCTGTATGATTTTAATAGTATAGAAAGAGAAAATGATAGGGGGAGGGCAGACACGTTTTAATAGATTTTTTCACTTCTCTTACAATTTTCTCAGTTTAAACTTTTAAGAAACCATATCATATCATACATTGTTGGAAAGATGAACATTTTTTTTACAAATTAATCCTAATTGGAAATATGTAAACAATTGCTATCAGTAATTAATCTGGAAGTTAGCTACTTTGTTGTTTGTTCAGATTAAAATTGTGAAAGATTTTCTGCGAGGACTGTTTTTTACATATTACTACACAGCTGTTTAAGACCAGTTGAATTTAAAAACGTATATATATATGCTATTGAGAAATTTATGCATAGGAGACAGTTTGTATAACAGGACCCGTTTAATAGTAAGAAAAATTAATAGGACAGATATGACACTGCGAAATATGAACTGAGAATAAAAAGGAAGGTATTGTGCACGTCCCTCGATTCTATTTAGACACACAAGGAGATACCAAAATGCCCTTTGTTTTGAAACAGTTGCAATTTCAAGTCCATCCATTTGCTATTACCATAAATAAGTCCCAAAGACAATGTTTTGAGAAAATAGGTTTTATTATAAATTAAAAAAAACACTATTTACACGTGGATTATGTATTATATGTATATAATTATACGTACTTCTTTCCCCACTCCTTCAAAATCAAACATATATAAACAAAAAACCTTAATATTCACTAACACTCTCAACACGACACACAACAGTAACACATCTTCACAGAAAACACACTTTGACTGAATACAAATACTTGGATTAAACCTAATCATTAAAAAAAATATATTCTGTACATCATTGTATAAATTCATATTCATATCTTATATGTATTTGTATATTTAAACAATGTTTATAAATCACAAGCCCTGAAGATGATCTCAATAAAGATCGAAATGTGAACACAATAAAGAAAATGTTTTTCTATACCTCCATCACACCAGACCCATCTCATGATTTCAAATAATCATTATATGTAGTCCTGTCGAAGTATATGACAAAGAAGAGCATTAAAATAGAATGCAAATTAAAAGAAAAACGCATAGAAAATATTGTATTCGACAAAGCTTTGGAGTAGTGTAAAGTTATTTTTTCTAGCGAGCTTGCCAAAAGTCGAGAGGCGAGGAAGTTTTTGAGTTTATTTATTTGAAGTTGCTCTTTTTGACTTATTTAAAAACATATGGTGGTACCTGGGTTGTCCCACAGCAGCCAGCACCTGCTAGTTTTTCACATGGGGATGAGTGGGCAATGAAAAAAAAAGTGAGTGAAACGAGCAGGGGGTGGATATGCTTGACACAGTCATGGTTTGATACGTTGTTGTGTTCTTGCCAAAGACTATGTGTAGAAAGTTAACCTAGAGATTGATGTTAACCAAATTGTGGGGAGGAGCCTCTGCAGTTAACTTCAAAAAGCTACAAGCCATCCAGAATAAAATGCTTAGTCCAGAAGTCCATGCTCCCTAGAATGAAATAGAAAAATTAAAAAATACAATTAATTTTAAGGAATAAATTCACGATTATGGCACACAGAATTTTCCATCTTTGATTACTACCTACATTCTAAAAGAAACCCCTAAGAAAAATGTATACACTAACTAATTCTTAATTTGTTAATATCTAGCTTATTAAATATAAAGTTAATTTATGCATTGAGCATAAATATTGAAATGTTACATATTAATATCTATATCTAGTTTATTAATTATAAAAATTTAATTAGTTTGATGTGTTAGTATAAACATTGAAATGTTATATAGTAATACCTTTATCTAGCTTATTAATTATAAAATTTAATTAATTTATGCATTACAGCATTAATATTGAAATGTTATATATTAATATCTCTATCTAATTTAGTTAGAATTTATTTTTTTGGTAAAAATACTGATTTAAAAAATTGTAATGCATCGGGATATATAACATATATTTTACATGAATAGTATCAAATTAATAAAAATAGGTCATTTTTAGGAAAAATTAAAAAACTCGATTGATTTTGTAAAAAGGGGGTAGTCCTGATAAATTAAATTGTATAAACTGCGACTAATCTATTGATTCAATTGTTTCAGATGTTCAAAGATCCTGAATTGGAAGGGTTTTTCGATCAGTTAGTGACTTTTCAAATATTGATGGACTTGCTTTTGGTCAACGATATGGATAAGGAAGTCATTGAAGTGTTTGATATGATCAAATTTAAACAATTGCAAGGTTCAAAGTATCCGAAAAATGCTGTTGTACTTGTTCTTGCTGCATGTTATAAATTGGTCTGTGTCATTGTTATAATCTACTATTTTATCTTCTTGTTTAAACTTTTTTTAATGAATGATTTTAGAACACTACAGAATCGTTTGAATACATGAAAACTCTGTATAATGATTTAAACAAGTGTGGTCATATTCCCATGAGAAGGGCTGGTACTTTTGCCGCAGCATTGGCCATTGAACAAAATGCACCCCACATCGCTTTAGAAATATTGACGAGTATGAAAAAACAGTCCTATGTGACAATTCGTAACCTTAAGGTAATACATGATTAAAAAAAAAGTAATCCTCATGTGATTAACATTTAAAGACTGAGAATTTTTTTTATAATTAAAAAGTTCCATGTGAAAAAAATTAATTTTACAACAAATTTCCTTTTTTCATATGGAGATGTCAGCTTTGGCAGCACTTGGAAGGCCCGAAGACACACTTAGCATTTTAAGAGCTGTGTTGGAATTTGATGGAACAAGCTCTATAAAACACACATTTGATAAAGAAACAGTGAGTAATAACTTCATTTCATTTGAAAATTACTATAGGCAACAGAGATTTATTAATTATCAATAGGCAACATGATGTTTACTACTTATCACTTCATAGTACTATTGTAAGTTTTATTTATTGTTTTTTTAGGTTAGAAAAGTGGCAGAGGCCATTGAAATGTTAAACAATCCAGTCCTAAAGGAAGAATTCGATCGGATTATTAAGCAGCTGCACTATTTAGGACATATTTCAGAAGAAGTAAGTCAATCAAAATTGTTTTATCATCATATTAGATGCCACATTCATAATTTGTTTATTCACCTGAACTATGCAGGTTGTTATGGCCAATTTTTCTCCTCATCATAAGTAATTTTATAGTAATAACATTACACAGAGCATATTGTGTTTATGGTCAGAATTTGTGACTTACAGGGGGAGTCTAATGGGAACACTGATTTCCATGAAACTTTTTTTTGTAATACTAGGTTGAAAAAATTAAGGCAAGTGTTTGGGCATTCTTGCCAAAAATATATGTTTTAAATAATGTACATAATTTTTAAAATTGGTTTTTAACACAAAGCCATAGGCAATTTAGGCACTCCCAGACAAGTTTGGCTTTGAAAGAGTACACATTTAGTGCCTTTATAGCTGCCTGACTGCCTGAGAGTATGTAAATCTTTGCACCTTTAATATTTTTCTTTATCCCGTGTGCACAGAGTTATATTGCATGGACCTCAACTTGGAAAATGTTGGGGTTAGTCCAAGGGGCTTCTCTAGGGTGTAGTTAGGTCCTTTCATCTCTCACTTACTGTTTTATCTTCGATCCTTCTATGTATCATATTAGGGCCCTTTTTGTTGTGTTAATCATTATCATATAAATTTAAAAAAATAATAAACCACCTACATTCTGGCAACTTTGCTCTGCTTTAAAGCGACAATACAAAAAAAAAAAAAAAATTCAAAAAGTTACATTGGGCTGAAGGGACATTTTGTACAATAAGAAATGGAAAACCAATAGAAATTGACTTTTTTCTGTTTCTTTTGGTATTAATTTGTACATTTGTGCGTGTGTCTTTAGAGATACAACGTGGTGTTGAGGGTTAATAATTAGAAAATTCTTCTTATACAGTATAATACATTAATATTTACTGAACCAGCATGTTTCTCAATAATTCTAATAACTAAATTAATTTGTTTTTGTACTTTAGCCACTGTCAAAACAATTGTGGGCGGAAATTTCAGGATCTCCAAAGCCATGGAAACTTCAACAAGAAATCCCGAAATTTGGCCGCCAGCCAAATTACTCCAATTATCCGAACAAGCAAACACAGAGACCTGGACTAAAAGATATGGCATGAATGTAACACATTTTGTATAACTTGTAGTGTTAATACTTCTTCCCAAATATGTATTTAGTCCATTAAAATGTAGAATTTAATAATAAAATGAAAATTTCCTTTATTCGTGTTATTGTGCCAGGACTTGTAAATAATTGTAAAGCGTTGTATAGTGTGTAAGACATTGAATGTTTGTCACCCCTGATTAGCTTATATCACGCGACAATTATCACTTTTCAATTCTTTGCCCAAAGTTAATGTAACCTAGGATTGTGTTTGTTGAATCGTGCAGTGAGAATAACAACATGGATGAGGGGGTGATCAAACTTAAGAAATAAACGTTCATTTACATGGAGTTACACAATTGAATAAAGTTATCATTTCATGACAGATGTCTTACTACATACTTTTCAAAATTTTCATACAATTTTCCTCTGACGGTAAGAACTTGACTTCCAGAAATATGTAGTGTTACAGACTGATAACTTTTTAAATCAGATTAGTCCGAACTTGAAAGCCTTTGTTTTTAAATGAGGCTTTCAAATAAGCTTGTTTACACATAATTGAAATGTGTAATATGAAAATGTAAGGAAACATTTGATTTATTTTAATTTTTTTTTTTTTTGTTAACCATTTTAACAGATCATTCCAGGTATGCAAGGGGATTTTCCCTATTAGGGCTGGAGTTCTGCAAGGAAACATCCTAAGCTAAGAAGGCCCTGTGTATTTATTTTACCCATTCAACACGGGAGCAAAATCTGAGTCCATCAACCACCTATGGAAAAATGACAAAATGCAAAATTGTGAAAAAAAATTATTTAGCGCTTAAATAATGAAATATTTACACAACAAAAATTTTATATAGGCAATTAAAAATAATACAAACAACTTAACAGATTAAATTAATGATTATGCATACGACCATCCTAATAAAACTTATATTATAAAACAACACGCAGTGAACAAAAAATCAATAAAATAATAAATGCAACATAATAAAACAAGATTATTATTAAAGAAAAACAATTACATTACACAAAATTTATATATTATAAAGTAAAAGTATAAAATTAATGAAATAATTATATTATGTACACATACAACGCTACCTATATACAATTTCACAAAAATGTCAAAAAATAGTACATATTTTTCAACGTATGAAACTTATTAATTGAAGAAAAATGAAATTAACTGTTACAATAGTTTTAGTCTTATGAGCATCATCTTGCATGCCATCATCTTTATGAAACAAACTAATGAGTTCAAAATCATCGTCAGATTCACATAGCACGAATTCCTTCATTGGTCATACTTTTCAAATCTTATACCATTTTAATTTTTTTTGCTCCATGAAGTCTTTTTTCTAAAAAAAAGCAGACATCAAGAAGAAAAATAAAATGATAAAACCTACTTTCTAATCAAATTAGGTAAGACATTTTAAGTAGTTAAAAGTTTAAAACCTACAACTTACATAAACAAAATCAAACACTGTATTTGAAAAAGTATTTACTATGCTGTTATTATTTTTTACATACATACATAATTATGAATGTGTGATTTGTCATAAATGAAAATTATGGCAATAATTGTTTATTCCAAAGATAAACTTTAAAAAAGCGCAACTCAATTTAGAATAAAATACGTAATAGAAATAGCAAAAAGATGATTTTTCAATTATTTTGAACTAAATTTTAAAGTTATTTGGGTGTTTTTAGTGGGAATAATGAAGAAATAAGTATTATGAGAAAATTTAGTTTTGTTTTTTTTAAATATAAAACTTACCTTATTTTTAACAATCTGTGAAGTGAGGGTCACTTGTTGAATTCCTCACTAAAATGAAGCCAGTGGTGAGTGGATCCGAAAACGATAAACATAGGTTGAAAGAAGGCATTAAATAGACCTAAGTGAACCAACCGTAGAGAATTCATAAAAATCTGGACCCACCACGACCAAACGAAAATAAACAAGACCAACACCAGCTGGCAGCCATCGGGTTCTTGGACTTGCACTACCGAGCGCCAAGTGACGCCTATTGAGCTGATAGGGTTAATTGATTTTATATCTCAAGTGGAAAAGGAAAAAATATATATGAAAATTTACACATCATATTTATTTATGAAAAATCACAGTTTGGGCATGTATATGTATTTTTTTAATTAATGAAAGTAAAACATGTAAAAATTAAAAAAATAAATAAGTTATTTCATAACAAATTATTATACTGTACAATTTTAATCAACACATATAAAAGTTCAAATATACATTCCAAAAATAAATAATTATCCTGATCTTAAAAGGGATCATTTACATTTTGATTAATTTCTTATTTGACTATATACACACTCAAATAACATTTAATAATTTATTTTTTTCTGGTAGGTACGACCATGACATTTGACTAAAATAAAAATAAATAATAAAACAAGGAACTATATTGGAACATTCCATGTTAAAAGAAAAGCTTTAATTATAACAACAATTATTTCATCTCAACCAAGACCTTAGATAAAAAGAATAATTAATTGAAATAATTAATATGGTCAATTACAACCACTAAACCTATATAATTTAATTATAACAATATGTTTAATGAACATAACTTGAAACACTTCAGTACATACGAGATTTTTCTATAATTCACGTGAGACGTGTTTGTATCTTCTGCCTAATGATGAGTATTTTATACTCAAAATCTGGGTACCTGCTTAAAACTTCTGCGAGTAGAACTATCTTTTCCAAGAAGTGCTTCAGTAGTTACATTAATTCCATAAGAACATTATACTTTGCAGTTTATATACAATTATGACTTTTTATTTCAAGTATCTGTTTGCAAGAAAAAAATATAAAAAATGTGTCTTTTAAAATATATTCATTTTTATAATAAATGTCTTTTTATTAGATTCTTATTTTATAACTGTGTATGAATTTTAAAAAAATACTAAAATCTACCACAAATGAACCACTTTTGCGGCCTATTGTATAATGATAATCATGAGAACTTAATCTCTCGCCTTTCGTTCTCAAAAAGAAATTACATTTTAATTAATTAATTGATACAAATTAAACATATTTGATACCAGGCAAAATGAGTAGTTTTACTAGAGATCACTATCATGAAAAATAATGAAATTATCCTTAAAATGTCACCAGTTGTACAACCAGGTTATGTATGTTTTGAAATCAATCAACCAGTACAAATGGAGAAAATAAAATAGCATAAGGCTCATTTACAACTGTGTTTGGCTACTGAGTAAATAGTGTTATTAAGGATATTATCTATTATTAAAGGAATTAAAGTGGTAGAATTTTTTTTCTCTATTGCTTTTCTAATTATTAAAAAAAAATCATGCACTACACATTCTTCATGTTTTCCATTTATTTGAAGAATGAAGGTTTTTTTTTATGAAATAACCAAAAAATATATAAGTATTTAAGAAATATGATTCTTCATATAATTATTAAAACCTTTTTAAATTAAATTCGAACAATATTTTGATTGTTATTAATTCTAAATCAGTCAAAGTAATGGTAACTAAATAGGCAGTGTTTCATAATTTCAATAGTACCTACCTACTAAAATTGAATACTTTGTATCCATTCGCTATAAAATATATATTATAAAATTTAACAATTCAATTTTTTTATTTAACCAAGGAAAACATTTAGGACGAGTTGAACGAGAACAATATTTAAATAAACTGTTGAAAAGTTCATGATTTGGGTTTACTTAGGGTCGTCCCTTTTCCTGAAAATGGCAGGAATTTGGTTTCATCCTTTTTTACCTAAAAACATATATTTCTTTAGTAATTTTGCTGACATAGTTGATTAATACATTACCTCTTTAGGAAGAGCTTTTACATTCCGAATAAAAGTTAAAGTTCCAAACTTCCAATCATAATCAGGAATTCCCACTTTGGCCGGTATCTTAGCTGTACCTCCATTATCTGATCTTTTGTCTTTTCCATCCAATCTAAACATTAATTCCAATAAAGTTTCTTTACATTTTGCAAGTTTAAGATTTTATTCTTCACAATATATTATGGGAATTATTTTTTCAATTGTTTAAATGAAAAATAAGCAAGGGAGATCAAAATAGTCATTTTTATTAGTAATAACCAGAGACCGGATTTTTATGCAGTAAAGATTGCCAAAATAGGCAGTTGAAAGCCGTGAAATATGCAACAATGTGCAGTATTACTATGTGAAAATATGCAATAATATGCAGTAAACCAGTTTTTTAATAACATAATAACTTGAAACATTTTTTTCCCAACTACAAGGTTATTTGAAACTCAGGGTGACAGTGTTTTCGGAAAGAAATAAAAACATTTTCTTTATCTTGCCAACGTTTCGATCTTTATTGAGATCATCTTCAGAGCCTGGGATTTATAAACATTGTTTAAATTATACAAATACATGTAGGATGTGAAAAATTGAATTTCTAGCATTGTATAAATTCATTTTTTCACATCACATATGTATTTATATATTTGAGGCTTATTATAGACATTTCTGAGCATTTTTATTGCATATAAATTGGGCTCTAGTTATAGTAGTTTTAGTTCTCATATACACAGAGGGGCTTTATTTTAGGTTAGAAGCACATTAAAATACAAAATGAAGAAAAAATAAACTGACCTGTAGCCAGTGCCTCCGAACATAACAAATCCAGTTTGATCTACCATTAAATTTTCGGATTCTTGTTGTGAAACCTCTTTTGATGATTCCGGTTCTTGGTAACCAACAGGAGCAGCAAACTCAACCTTATATTAAAATGATAACAATGTATAATAAAAATATAATATTTAACAATTTGTGCATTATAAACACAGCTGGTTTTTTTTTTTTGCTGGAAGGTCTGAATCCTTTGAACATTTCTTTAAAATATATTTATTATAATCTGTAACCTTATTTACATTAGTAGTTTAGTAAGTTGTTCACTCAAAGAAGAAGAACAATTTTTGTAAAAGAATACAGAAACAACAAAAATATTTTACTGGAAATGTAATAGCAACTAAACAAACGTGAAATATAAGATGACTTTCATGCACGGACTCAACATAGTACATAATTACAATTAATTAAGGTTTTTAGTTGAGATGAAAAAAAAGCTAATGGCACGAGAGGGATTCGAACGGCAAAAGAGGGGTTTAGATGGGGAGTTGATGTCCGAGTGGATCGAGGTCATGATAGCTCAGGTGGTAGAGCAGCAGCGTATCTAGCCGAAGGTCGTGGGTTCGAATCCCTCTTGTGCCATTAGCTTTTTTTCATCTCAACTAAAAACCTTAATTAATTGTAATGTATTAATTGGTCAAGCGGACCACGAAATTAGTGAAAATAGTACATAATTTTCTCATTAAATGTGATTATCAAACATATAATAAATTTGTGTTCATAAATTTGAAAACAAATGAAACTATGACCATAAAATATTACAAAAAATAAAAAAATAAAGATGTAACATAAAAAAAAGTTTATACTTACATTCATATCACACTCAATTATGCTCACTGCATTCCCTGGTTGAGTCTCAAGAACTGACAATTCATAATCCTTTTGGTTGTACTTAATATTAATGGTATCACCAGCAGTTAGACATGCAAAACTTCGAAGGCAATTTTCAAGAACTGCTTTGGGATTTGATATATCTAAAAATTCTGAGGACATCGGTTGAAATCTTGAAAATGTTGCTACTGGCAATGCAATGCTCTCAATTTTTATTATATCACCCTCATCTAGCAGTAAGTTATGCATCATCTAAAACAACCTCAAAATAGTAAGTAAATAATGGATAAAATTATAACAATATTTAATACAGAGTACATACCCAATTGGGTAAATACACTTTACCCTCGTCTGCTATAAATTCAAGGACACCACAATGTGTTGTTCTGTTTTCTTTGTTATTTGTCAACCGGAACAACATTGGATAACTAATATTCAGTCTGGTAAGGTGATCAAGGGCAGAAGGTGGCATTATGACTACAACAAGAAACACTTTTATTAAAAATCAATTTAGATTTATATAATCTAAAGAATATGTTACTTAAAGAAGAATTTTTTAATTTAAGCAACAAAAGATTCTTTATATAAAAATGTATATGTACTCACTTTTTCCTCCTCGTTCAACATCATCTCTTTCATTTCCTGGTATCATTGCAACAGAGTAGCACAAGTACTGCATGTTGAAAGGTCGGGGAAGAAAAGCGGTAAATCCAAACTAAAAATAAATTAACGACACTTTGCAAAAGAAATCAATTTTTTACTACACATTAATATTAATAAAATGCTATAGTATGAGTAATATATTATTTTAATGTGTTGATCAGTAATTATTAGCAAGTAGCAATAGGATAATAGTGCAAGGGAAAATATGTTTAAATTTGTGTAAATGTTTTAATTTTTGAAGTATGCACTAGCAAAAATTGAATGAAACTTCTTTTTATGAGGCCAAGTTAGAACTTGTATTGTCAATCTTTCTAAATCAAATGATCGGTTAATTATATTGTGTATAATAACATTAGAAATAATTTTATGTTAATTTCCTGTGGGTACTGTACTCTAAGGAGAAACCAGAGATTCCAAATTATAAACAAAAGAAATGTGACGACCAACAGTGACAATTTATCTCCTGTCTTATACTTAATCTTTGTAAAACAATCTTCCTTGATGATTAAACTTTTTCTGTATCATTACAAAATAGAAGATGCTAATCCAAGTAATGAAAATTTTGCACATAAATATTTAAAAAAAGTTACTTGATTTAAACATCTTTAGTTGTAAGTATTAAAGTGACTTTAATTTACAATTTATAAATACTTATTCAATAAAATTATTTGATTATTACATTGCTGCACAACAACAAACACTGGCAGACAGGAGAATTGTTAGGAGTAATAAAAAAATTGGATTAATAATTTTACAATTGGTGTGACACTGGACACCGTAATGTCATCAAACCATTATTATTGCAATAGTACTGATCGCAGGACAATGTTCTTGGACAAATAGTTGAAAATGTTTTCAAAGCAATTTTATTTCCTTAATTACTATCATTGTATTATAACAAATATTTCAATTTTATTCAAAGTCCTATATATAGTTTATTCAAGGAAACCATCATCATATCATTATCATTATTCCTATTGTATTCACCACATCCAACAACAAAATATTTAGTTCATCAAATCGCTACAAATAATATGAGACAATGATAATGCATATTTCACTTCAAATGCTGTAGTTTATTAAGATCTATTGTTTATACATCATAAAAGTTCAAAAATGTTAACAGACGATAAACGTGATCGAATGCATATTAATTATATCTGTTGTTTTGAGAGAAAATAACTTTCTGCTTTGAAACAATTTTATAACTGATTAAAATAAAAAAAGGTTATAAACTTTTTATTCAATGCTCAAAATACATTTATTCACAAACTGAACATCCCCAACTCTCCCAGACCATCTGTACTATCTGCTTACAAAGGTTCAGGCCAGACACAGTACATCAATGATAGAATTTTGCCATATTCAATGTAGTATTCCAGCGTTTTACTTACATAACAGAATTTCAGCCAAATCTGACCAAGCTATACAGTGAGAATAGGCAATTTAGAATGATCCTAGTGCAAACTGCTCAAATATTCAACACCGACTGGACAATCACACTTTACAACAAAATACATTTCTAAATGATTGTTCGACAGGAACCATAGAAAATTGTAACAATTATTATATAAAATTAATAATAATAAATAGTCAGAAGAGAGTATATATTCTTTTATGAACTCTTTGCGAGCCACTTGATTTAATTGGAAAAAAAAAATAGTTAATAAGGATCACTAAACTAAAACGTTCTAAAAATGACTCCTTTTTTTAATAACCTTGTGACCTTTGCATATGAGCCAAGGAACATGATATATACTGGTAATATGCAATGCATATATTTTTTTGTTGGGGGGGGGGAACAGTTGCACGAGAAAAAGGACCAGGGGCGACAGTGGGAATCGAACCCACGATCACGCAGACCACTCGACTACCGCCCTCCCCCCTAAAAATAAATTCACTGTCTTCATTGTTAGTTATAACACTATCGAAATGACATTTTGAGAAGCTTCATGATACTATTGCTACAATTAACCAATATGTATTTATATATATATATGCAAACATTCTCTTACACCTTTATTAACCACTACTAAAATCTTTTTTTATACATACTTTGTATATACTAGGTAAAAAACAAGGTATGCAATTATACAGTAACATATTAAATAAAAAATACTATTTTTATTTTATTTTTTATGGCAAACTACCAACCATGGGGTCATATCAGCCCCAATTTACTGTGAGGGCAGATGGGATACTTGATATTCCACCATCGGCCCCCTTTCACTCATTCGCACAACCAAAATGCATATATACACACTGTATGGCTACACAATAATTGAGGAGCAGAGAGCCAGAGCGGACAAACTTTGCTAATTTTTATCTCAGGTTTTGTATATTATATTTTTGGTTCGAGGTTCATAAATTTAATTAAAGAAAGCTATATTGTATTATAAATATTTAAGTTCAACTTTACAAAATGAGATTACACGAATAAAATATGGGATGGTTCCTCAGGTTCTTAGCTACTTAATTACATACAGTATTTGTAGATGGGAAACACCTCCGTTTTCCTAAAAAATCAAAACAAGGGACCCAAAAACCTACTCTCATATCCACCTGACAACCTTTACGTCAGGTGCCGTGCTTACTCACTCCCTGTAGGCACCATCTCCTCAAATGGGTGAGGATGATCTAATCTCAACTTCTGTCCCTTATTTTTACACCAATCCTATTTTTAGTATGCAAAATATGAATAAACTTAAATACATTCAAATTTAAGGGTGGTACATTTATTTTGTCCATCAGTGTAGTTATCACAATGAAGATGATAACAATTTAAATAATTTTTAAAAAATGCGTTTTTTTAGTGACCGGTTGTTTAATAATTTGTTAACTATCATTAAATATGACAAATTGTTAAATAATTACAAAAATTATTATATTTTATGTGAAATGGTACATATATGTATTTTTTAATGGCCTTATGTTTTACATATCCTGTACTATATAGTTGTGGGATCACAAATTCCAGGGACAATGGTGAGAATCGAACCCACGACCACAGGGTTTACGAGCCGAGAGTCTGATGCCTTAATCATTCGGCTAACGCGGTCCCCAAATTTATTCAAATATATTATTCATTGATGTTAGTTTTACATTTGTAGTTGTAAAGGTGAACCTAAATAATTAATACTGAGTGGTAATGGTGTTATATTGTACTCACTCCATAAATCATAAATAGGTGTACTACAATGAAGCCGCAAATGATGGAGAGTAAATAATCAAACGGCAGCCAGATAGGTACAAAATCCATTTTAATAGAATGAATAATTTCACCTCTTCTTTACTACAAAACATTTTTTATTAGTACGTAAACCATGTAAAACTAACAAATAACAAAGGTTTCTATAAAAATAAATAAAATATTTAGTAGTTATATAAACAGACAACTGTAGAATTATAATTTGAATCATTATGATATATTTAATTTAGTTGCAAAAGTACTGAACACAACAAGCCTTGCAAAAATATGTTAAAGTGACTAAAATTTTATATTAATAATGTTAAGGACTCTGCCGTAAGTATGCGAATTAGTTCACTGTTGAGAGCACAAACTATTATCTCCATTTTCTCTATGTGGAAATTAATTTTTTTTTTTAAATTTGGAATGTTTAACACTGAATTTAAAAAGGTCCTCTTATTCAACATATTTTACATACTTCAAAATTTCTTCTCTAAATATAATTAAATTTGAAAATATTTTATAGGTTGTTTTCGCAAATCATATTTTCAAAATAGTCAAACCAATTTAAATAAATTAACACACTAAAAAAAGCCTGGAAGAAAACTTTGTTAAAACAATTGAATGAATATTTGTTTTAGCTAGATGGTCTGTAAAAATGACTTTTGTACCATAACAAAGTGCCGGCTTTTGTTGAGGAATAGTAACGTCATCTTCAAATATTGAAGATCAAGCTCCTTTATTAATTAATCCATATATGTTAAACAGTCATAATTGACCATATTAATTGAAATCTCTTATTAATGTCGCTTGACTTTTTTCAAAATACAAATACACTAAATGAACGACAATAATTATTAGATTTAATTTTATAAAATAATTCCTACACAAAAATGATTAGCCCATGCTAGTTAAGAAGAAAATAAACTAAATTAATCACAATTCAAAATAAGAAATGTTTGTTTCGATCAAATATAATTTTAACAGTATGGTGATGAATGTTAAATGTTAAATAAATTTAAATTAATGCTTACCAAATTGTAGATAAACCACCTTTTAAATTAATACAAAAGTTACAATTGATTATGAAATTCTCAGTGTAAAAAGATTCCAGGACTAGTACATCCGTGAACAGTATATTCAATCCACCAAAATAGTCTTGTCAGCTAAAAGTTGAACTGTGGTAGTAGATATCAGTTTGGCAAATAACTGCTCTTGTAAAGTTATTGTAAAACATTTAATACCTGAAAACCTACCAATAATTGAAAGTAATAATCAATGATAGTAGTATAACAAGCAACGTTTCTATAATATGTTAATTCACATGAACAATAAGTGGAAAATAAATTTTTTAAGTTAATTGTAAATGAAATTAAGAGAAGTCACGTTTTCAATAAATTAATGGCCTCAGCAATAGGTATTTTTCCACCTTCTGCTTATTACCGTTTAATTTTCTATTAACTAACTTTTTTCAATTATGTTTATTTATTATTATTATTATTGAAAGATACTAGTGAAGATTAGAGATATGCAGTAAAAATAAGCATTGTTATGACAGTAGAATTTTTTTTTTAATTTGCCTTCATTTTAAGGAAAAGGAAAGGATGAAATCTGTTTAATATATTTATTATAGTAAACATCAAAAATTAAATGTTGAGACATTTGTGCATTTCAGGTTTCATTGTCTATTATGATTTATTCGCTCTTACATATAAAAAAAGTTATTCATTATCATTTGATTATAATACTATTACAAAGTAGCTTTTGTCTTGTAAAATCGCACATAAACAACTTAAATAAATCAACACGGCTTATCACTGAACATTATCTCTGATCTCACCAGTAAATTGTACTGTTTTTTATATCTCTTGTGCTATTTATATGAAAGTATATATCTTTATTAGGCAGGAGATGACCTTGTCCTTTCAGCATGCATTAATGAGTTTAATCCAAAATTATCTGAAAAAACCAAATATAATTTTAAATTTTCAACATATTGCAAAAGAGATTTATGTATCAAAAGTCATTAAGATTTCAATAGATGTATATTTCAATATATACTTTTAAATCTTAATGCAATCTTGTAATTAAAAATTTTGGTTTGCTGTTTTTAATTCTTTAGTTTTCAATTGTTACTGTACATCAACAATAATATGCTATAAATTATGTATATATAATATACAAAAGTGCAGGCCATATGCAGTTGACAAGCAGTGTTTAATTTATATTAGAAAAATCAATGTTAAGGGTGTTAACTGTTTTATGAAAAACAACTTTCTTTTTTGTGTCTTCGAGTAACCTACATTTGTTTAGTTAGTTCTTAGATGAAGGTATAAAAAATATTGTTTGCCTTATTTCCACATTAAGAAAAAGGTAATATAATTGAAATTTCGTTAATAATTATCGCTATTGTACTTTATTTTACAATGTTTTAAACTACCTTAATAATCTTGTATGTGATATATTATTTATTGGAACGAATGTATTTATTTGAAAGGGAATGAAGGGGCTTATGCCCAATTAACCCAAGGAAATTAAATACCTGGGTTGGTGTGAACGAATGTAAATTATTAACACAAATGAAGGGGCTTACGCCAAATTACCCCGAGGAAATTAAGTACCCGGGGTAGTGTGAATGAATGTATGAATGTAAATTATTAACATGAATGAAGGGCTTATGCCCAATTACCCCGAGGAAATTAAGTACCTGGGTTGGTGTGAATGAATGTATGAATGTAATTTTTTTGGGGTCGGCGAACGGCAAAGGTCATAGCCGACACGCTAGAAAATTTAAATGCGGGGTTAGTGTTTCTTCGTTTTGTTTTTCCATTACCCTGAGGAAATTAAGTACCTGGGTTGGTGTGAATGAATGTATGAATGTAAATTATTATTATTGTTGTTTTTTTTGGGGTTGGCGGACGGCAAAGGTCATAGCCGACACGCTAGAAAATTTAAATGCAGGGTTAGTGTTTCTTCGTTTTGTTTTTCCATTACCCTGAGGAAATTAAGTACCTGGGTTGGTGTGAATGAATATATGAATGTAAATTAGTAGTATTATTACCTGGGGTAGTGGGAATGAATGTAAATTATTAGCATGAATGAAGGGGCTTGTCCCCAATTACCCCGAGGAATATCAAGTACTCTGGGGTAGTGTCGATGAAATTTATTAGCATGAATGAAGAGGCTTATGCCCAATTACCCTGACGAATATCATACTTTGGGGTAGTGCGAATGTAATTTATTAGTGTGAATGGAATGGTTTATTCCTAATTACCCTGAGGAATATTGTACTCTGGGGTAGAGTGAATAAGGCCTAAGGTATAGAGAAGCTAGCAATAGGATAAAAACAGGGAAAGTAGACTACCATTATATCATATAACATCATAAATTGGCTGAAGAAACATTAAAATAAATTATAATTAATTAAGGTTTTTAGTTGAGATAAAAAAGTCAATGGCACGAGCGGGATTTGAACCCACGATCTTCAGCTTGATACGCCGCTGCTCTACCACTTGAGCTATCGTGACCTCGATCCACTCGGACACCAACTTCCCATCTCAACCGCACCTTTTGAATTTTCCCTCCTTTTTGCCATTTTTGGTCAAGCAGACCACGAAATTAGTGAATTAAAATAAATGAGGATTAATATGATAAACACAGATAAATAGTGATAAATAGCGATAAAATAACCATTAGCAAGCACAAAAATAAGCTGTTTACTAACACTCAGATTTTTCAATGTCGATACTTTTGTATCAGTGTAAACACTATACAACACTCACAATTTATGTGATCATTAAATTAAAATAAAAAGTAAATTTAAAATTTATTATAATTGTCCTGAAAAGGGATAATTAAATCAGCTATATTTTAATTCAAGTGATATTCACAACTATAACTTAATATTGGATGTAATATATAATAATATTTATGTGCATTTGCAAATAAAATAAATGAGTCTTTTACCTTTAAGACTAGAACAGTGGTCTGAGAAAATGTTTCATAATGCTAAACTATACAATAGGCCAGATTTTCAAGTTATTTTGGTTCAAGTAAATACATATTTTATTATTCATGACATGTATTTCACTAAATGTTACTTAAAAGTATTTGAGCACTGAAGTAAAGGGTTAATAATATTACCGCAAAATTATAATATTGAAGGATGATATTTTATTTTTCTTATATTATAGCAAGGTATTTAAGAACATTTCAAATAATTCATCTCACTAAATATTTTTCATTATGTGTTGAGTAAATAGCCGTTATGATTCAAACTCTTTTGAAGGTTGGGATTCTTAGTCAGGTAGATGTGAAAAGTAAAAGAAAAGAAAAACTACGTTTTTAAGTGGGCCAATGTTTCGTCAAATTTATTGGCATCCTCAAGGCAGGTACTAATTGAGATTTGCAGTCACACAGTGTTTACACATTGAAATTTGAAGTTTGAAACTATTTAGCCAAAACACCGCTGTATTTCTTATGTATAGACACTTAATCACACACGGATATAGTTGCAACCAAGGGCCAGCGCAGTGCAGATTATTTATTGCACTTTTACTATTATTGCATTTATTAATTTTGCAATGAATAAGCACGGTTTATATACTGGCAATGCAAATTGCTGATCAATATCACTTTTTACTACTTACTATACAATCTCTATACTTAATTTCTGAACATTGCAAATCAAAAACTCTATATTTTTGTATTTTGGCAACTTGATTAAATTCAGTTGGATCATCAAACCCTCAATATCAACAAACCCTCAATTATACCTAAGTTAATCATTGCAAAGTGTACCACAAATATATCATTATATCCTTTTTCAACTAGTTTATAAACAGAGTGAATGACAATTAAAAAAATGTACTATATAAAGAATAAGTATAGTATTTTTGAAAGATATATGAATTTTAAAAAAATGAACTAACTATAAAATAATAATGAAATTAATCCATATTAGTTTAGTGGCCATAATTGACCAAATTAACTATTCCAATTAATTATTCTTTTTATCTAATGTTTTTGGTTGAGATGAAAAATTAGTGTCACAAACGGAATTCAAACCCACGACCTTTGGCTGAATATGCCTGTTCTAACCACTTGAGCTATTGTGACTTCGATCCCCTCGGTCACCAACTTCTCATATCAACCTTCAAATTTTCCAAGCTGAAGGTCGTGGGTTCAAATCCCGCTCATGACATTAATTTTTCATTTCAACCAAAAACCTTAGATAAAAAGAATAATTAATTGTTATAATAAAATTATATTAAATAAATAATAAAATTATATTAAATAATATAATTTGATATAATAAAATGATCATCATAATAAGATTGGTAAAAGGCGCATTCAGAACGAGTCTACTAGGGAGTCATCCCCCTGCTTAATGATGGATGAGGTGCAAAGTTGAACCATTTCTCACATGAAAAACTTTTCAACTGTATATCTAGCAAAAGGTGATGAGTACTGTACAAGAAAGGCTTAGCTGGGTGGGGGAGGGCGTCGTATTGAGCCAGGTGGAACAGGATAGGATGAACAAAATGCCCTGGACTCTCTCTTTCACTGTATGGTGGGATATGGCTAAATATAAACACCACCAAATATTTACAAAATTTACACACCCTGATGGCGAAATATCATAACGCCAGGCGCTGTATACATTGATAGGCAGATCGAATGGATGACCTTCCCCCACTGCAAGCTTTTGCAGGGCAGATTTGAATGCCATATCCCCTGAACTAAGTTTAATACATCAAAAACTGGCTAGAAAGTACGGTGTCAAAAATCAGGGCAAAAGCCTCATTAATAAATAAAATATAGGCTTAACATTCAACAACCCATTGGGTGTCACAGACGAGGGGTCAAACCACTTTACAATACTATTCTCAATAATTCCAGTGTGGCAAATACAAGTCGGACGCAATAAATAAGTGTTAAGCACATCTTAAAAACCAGAAAACTAGAACCCTGCAGGATAAGCAATGGAGTTCCTGTTGACAAAATTCACAATATTATCATCTAGTGAATATGTTGGAGGGATCTTTCTTTTTCATCAAGATCAGAAGATATTAAGAAATTAAGCATGAATGGTAAATAAATTCAATTTATAAATATAGCAAACACTGGAAAGCCCATATCAAAAACAAAAAAAGAAGAACCTAGAATCAAATCCAGAATTTATTGGCTGATTGGAAAAGCTGCACCCTGTTTCTACACAACAGGCTTATTATAAAAAAAATACTTAAAACCTGTATGAGTCTATGGTATCCAGCAATGTGGCCTTGCCAATTTTCAACTGCCAACAACGCTGGGTGAGCACTGTGTGCATTAGTTGTATATATTAATTTTAATGTACATAGATTCCATAGAATGCTATGTATTCCATAAAATACATAGAATTCTAAGGATGCTGTTGGGTAAGACTATAGTTCAAAGTTTTTCTAAGTACCATTATTCATCAGACAAAAGTTGCACATCAATTATTATTGAACAGATTAAAATATTTTGTGAATGCTCACAAAGGTAGTTTAGATTTAAATTTAAAAATAAAAAATATAGCATTCCATGTTAATAGAAAATAATATGAATTAACTAATTTAAAAAACTCAAGTTATCTTACAAGTAAAATTATTAAAGAACAACTACATCCAACTGTTATTATCAATTGGAAATATAATTGCTTTTAAATTGTTTTTTTAAAGCTTTTTTTTAAAGGGGTGTCAGTGGCCGCAATGGGTTAGGCATTCCCGGGTTCACACCAGTGCCACTACATTCAAACCTGACATATTTACAAATGGGCTTTAACACCTACACCCGGAAAAGAGAGCAACAATCAAACTAGGATCATTCCCCACAGACCTAAAGGGGACATTGCAAACTTTTCATTTGTGTAGTTGTTTCCGATCATCCGCAAATCATCCGAAAAGAAGGCTGAAAATGTCTGAAACTGATTGGAGATGACCGAATAACAATTTCAGTTCAACAGAGAGGACAAGCACGACCAGAATGAACGAAAACGACTCAAACTACACACTCTTCTAGTTGTCGCAAACCTAAAGATGAAATTTTATAGTGAAGTACTGATCGGAGATGACCAAATAACCGTTTCAGTTCAACAGAAAAGAAAGGAATGACAGAATGATCGAAAATGACTCAAACTGCACATTCTTCTGATGTCACAAACCTAAAGATGAAATTTTATAGTGAAATACCGATCGGAGATGACCAAATAACAATTTCAGTACAAAGAAAAGAAAGGAACGACAGAATGATCGAAAGTGACTCAAACTGCACACTTTTCTGATGTCGCAAACCTATATATGAAATCTAATTGCAAAGTACTGATCGGAGATGACCAAAACCAAATAACAATTTCAGTTCAACAAAGAAGATAAGCATGATTAGAATGATTGAAAACGACTCAAACTGCAAACTCTTCTGATATCGCAAACCCAAAGATAAAATCTAATAGTGAAGTAATATCGAAGATGACCAAATAACGGTTTCAGTTCAACTGAAACGATAGGAACGGCAAACAATTCAAACTGCACACTCTTCTGATATCGCCAACCTTAAAAATGAAATTAAACAATTTCAGTTGATATTATATAGTACAATTTGAAACTCGTCAGGATGTTTGCCGACAAACTTGACATTCATCCATGAATGACCGATTGCAATCATCATTACTGTATTTGTTGATACATCCACACCAACAACAAATCATTCTAACTCAATTAACCACTTCCTTCTACTGTCCTTAAACAACCCTCCCTCCTGAAATGATTTTAATTCACAAAACATTGAAGTGATTTTCTTGCCTTATATTGTATGAAAATAATAATAATAATTTACATTGTGAGTAAAGTAGTGCAAATTTTTTTTCTCCCTATTCTCCACAATTTTACAATTGATCTGTCGTACAGTGAGAGGGGTTTATTTGCGTTTTAAACGATGAAATAATCCCTGAATTATTTTTTTTTTGTACCCAGAGTAGAGTGAGTCTCAAACCTCGAAGTATGAGAAGCTTTCGACGGGAAATTAACAATATTTAAAAATGACATAAGCTGATAAGGTTGGTATTTACCATTATACGAAGAAGTCGGTTTTCTTTTTATCAATAAGAGAAAAGGTTTTTTTTTAAAATTCAGATCGAAAGTATCGGTTTGACAAGTGTTGATTTGATTCCAGAATAATTGACGTAAATGGGTATATCATGACTTTTGTTAAACAGGGTTCAAATGACGATCGTCCGAAAAGAGAGGCCTAACTGATTTCACTTTTCACCGGCACTGTTAAAAAAGATACGAGTGACAGCGACCCTAGAATTGATTAGAAATAGTGCTAACAGTGTTTCTTCTCCTGACATCTAGGAGAAGAAGGACAAACCCTCGACATTGCCTATCAGATAAAAAAAAAAAAAAAAAAAACAAGATACTACTCAAATTTTTACTTTTAGTCATGCAAAAACGTCTTTTTGGTAATTGTTTTTAAAATCGGACGCTTCTTAAAGTATATCGGTTTAAAACAAGAAAGAATGGGTGGAGCTTGGAATTAAATAACGGAATGTCAAATTTTTTAAAAATTTAACATAATTGTAAAGAATTGAGAAGTATTAGAACTTAGAGCAGATAGTCCAATTAAAAAAGAAAAAAAATACTATTCTTACTAAAATTCAAAGGAGATTATGTGCTAATACAACATATACCAATGGTACCAACACACGTGCCTTTCAAATTCAAATGATCGCAATTTCCAATTAAACCGACTTTTGCAGTAATAATTGACAACTCATAAGGTCAATCGTTGCTATTATGTGGATTAAATTTGGAGAATCCATGGGTTTCTCATGTACACATGCTCCAGGATGGGGGATTTGTTGATTGTATATATGCCAAAAGGAATCACAAAAAACATTGTATATCCAAGAGCATTGCAATGAATTTAACACTGAATACAGCAGTAATTACAATTTAAAACAATGTATCCAAAACAAAAATAATATTGCAAATAACTGATATGATGACTAAATGCAATCACTTATATCAAACATTCAATTGTGTTAATTTAATTTATACATATGCTCCTATCTACTAATAGCAATATGTATACTCAAAATAATATGTTAAATAACACTTTTCATTATCCGCCTGGACAACACCGAGCAATAAAGCTAGTAATGAATAAAATTTGATATTTTGATATAATTTTTATTTTTAGTTTTTATTTATTTACTTTTTTATGAACCAACTAAATCAGGTCTTTTTACCTTATAATTAATTAAATTAATTATACTTTTCATCTAAGGTCTTGGTTGAGAGAAAGGTTGAGATTTTGGGGTTTTTTAGTCAAAATTCTAACAAAAAAACGTTTAAAAAACTTTATTCTACCAAAGTTATAAAATTGACATACTGAAAAACATCAATTGGCTCTAGTCAACTTAATGTCATTTATCTAAGATTTTAAATGTTAGATGTATCGGCCTCTTTTTTCTCTCTCTCTCTCAGGAATAATCTCCATCAGGGTAGGGTCCTGATGAAAAAGCAAATTCAATTGTTACTACCAACCTTTTGACCTATCTTAAGGCCATTATTGGGGCAAAACAATCTTAATTATCAAGTTGAAACGGCACAGGGTCAGGTCAATTACTTGGCCTGTGCTCATGGGTTATGTACATACCTTTTAAACAACATAGCCTGACTGGCTGCGTTAAAGCTGATGATGGGTTTTGGTCTGCGAGTCGTGAACTCATGTTGAACTGTAACTGGGTCACTTACTAGGTTTGTCTCCACTCATGGGTTAGAAACAGACCAGTAAGTGACCGTGTGGCGTGTGCCGGTTCAGCATGAGTTCACAGACCCATCAACTCTAATCAAAATTTGCCAAAAATTGACATATTTTTTCCTATTGTTACTTTTATCAAAATGATTGTTAATCTCTTATATTATTATATGTTAATCATTTTACATTCATCCTTAGCTTTTTCATTCCACAGAAAACTGGAGTTCTCCTTATTTTTTATGAGGGTTCACAACAGTAGAGTTCATATCAACCCTTGGGGTGCAGGTGTTTTTAAAAAAAAGGCCCATTTGTAAGTGTATAATGCAGAGCCGCTGTATTCGAACCTGGGACCTTTACCTTACAGTGATGAGCAGCCGTGTCAATGTCTTAACTGTTGCGACCAACGATGTCCCAGTTTGCCTTATTAAATTCTTAATAATTCCTTATGCTCTTACTGTAGTGCTATTTTTTCACTTTTCTTTGACTCTCAATCTGCTCATCGCGTTCAACTTGCTTACCATTCCTGCATTGCTGCTGTGATCTTAAACCAAGAGATCATATTTCTTTCTTCCTGTATTAACTTCTTCAGCAATCTTAATATTCTAAGCACTTATAAACTTAGTTTTAATATATGCATTTAAAATAAAATTAAATAAATGTCCTCAATATCTATCAACTTTTTCTTTACATTCTTTATTTTAAATGCACCAATCATATTCCAAGCCTTGAACACTCCTCAAGGCTCAAGACAATAATCATCAACTAACGGTCACTAAACACCATACATTTGAAATTTTTTTTCAAAGTTCTTGCTACTAAAACACTTATTTCACTAATGTTTACAAGTTTAGTATTGATTACATCTGACTGGAAATTTAACGTACTTTTCAGTTGGCTCAACAGATTTGTTCCAAACCTTTTAGTTTTGGAGTTATCATTGTTTATTTGAAGCAAGGTCGTGAAATCTTAAAAAATCATAAAAAGTGAAATGACTCTGAAACTGTTGAGATTCAGACCATATTTAATTAGGAATTTTGGGTTCGATTTTGAATGTAGTATGTACTGGCAAAGTTTGTAACAGCCGAACACCCTGTATATGTTTTATTATTACTACATTGTCAGGGGGCTTTGTAGCCCTATTTGTAATTGTAAAATAACTAATTATATTTGATAAAAAATAAATCTTGTAAATGTTTTGTTGACTGTTTTAATACATAAAAATCCACTACCTTGTTATTAGATCCTTTTTTTAATTTTTTTTAAAGATGGTTCCTACTCACATTAGGTAATGTGCTTAGTGTGGAGCTTAATGTGAGTAGGAACCATCTTTAAAAGGATTGAACTCAACATTCACTCCATCAATCATAATTTCTAGTTATTAGGTTGTGGAATATGAAGAAGTGAAAAAAATTGTATTTGGCAAAGTCAGGTCGAAAAATGTGAATGTTGTGATTGAAGGAAGGAGGGGCCGCTATTGAACTCGTCTTCACTATTGAAACAAATGAAAGGCGAATTTGGGTAGAAATTTCAATTTTGTGTTGAAGTGTGGATGAAGTTTGCATTTGTTTCGCCCCTCCCCTGAACAAGTGCTACTCGGTCGGAACTCCGCGACAGGGAATCGTAGCATGACAGTCCCTCGGCCCATTGGCACCACTGGAATAAACGATACGTCGTCATAAATTTCAAGCATTGTGAGTTAAGGTTAAAATGCTAGTCTTCGATTTATAGAACAAAAAAAATGAAGCGGAATTTTTCGAAACGTTTCCTTATAAACGAAACTTTGGGAAAAGTGAAAGATCGCGAGGGCATGACGGATCATATCGCGGCCTCCTATTGACCAACGGATTGGAGTTTTAAAAGCACAACTACAGATTTAGACAAAATGGATTCAATTCCTAAACAGGCAGAAGAACCGAAAGCTCCTGATAAGAATTCAATTATTCGTCAGAACGAAAAGGATTTTAGTAATAGGTTTAAGGCTGTGGGAGACAATGATTGTGATAAAACGAGACTGGTACGTATCAAACGCACCCTTTTATTTAATTATTTCCCCGTATTAATATTATTAACACGGATATCTTGTTACAGTTTTTATGTGTACAATGATGTATTTATATAAATTCGTGTATCAGAGCTTTTCATCGCTCATTTGATCTGTTTCTCTTACAATATAATTAATTTATATTGGCGAAAAGCCTTTTTTTTTAAATTGTATTATGTGGTAAAATGTCTTAACTGAAAAAAATCCAATGTCGCTGATATTTTTAAAAATAATTATTTTTCATAGTGGTATTTTTTTCTTTCAGCCTTATCCCATGATTTCTCATTTCTATTATTTATTCAACGCGATAACAAGATTATTTATAACGGCCGTTATGTCCTGTTTGTAACTTAAAAAGCAAAGAAAAAAAAGTTCAGAAATTCCATCTTTCAAACTCGTGTTATTTATAAAACCCGAAGCTCTCGTCAGAAAAAGGAATTAAAAAATTTATCCAATTTTACACCGAGGATCGTCTCGTCTTTTACGGCGGATGCGAATGCTATTAGATTTTCTTTTAGTAAAAGACGACGATTCGAGAAAAAAGAAAAAAAACAGAGGTCAGTGACAGGCTGTTTTGCCATTTTCATACGAGTTGAACTCTCGTTTTACTACCTTTATTGACTTATTTCCATGACCTGCAATTTCTTTCCACTTGAAAAACAGTCTACACAATTTTCAACACTTATCAGAATATTCATTGATTCATGGCTCAGCTATTTGATCGTTTTGTTTTTCTCTAAAAAATACAGTAATTTTTTCAAACTGGTGATTTCACCCAATTAATGTTCAAAAAAAGTTAATTTCATGGGTTCATTTCTCTAATTCCTACATAAGTTCATAGTCACATACTTCAATTTTTCTTGGCAGAGTGAGCTTTGCCAATTTTTTGGATGTTTCAATGAACAATAACAATGAGGTTTATGGATTTTCCTCAATCCTCGCATGATGAGCATAACTAAACTTTTGTTTTATTGTTTGGAATACAGATGAATCTTTTGGATTGTTTTAGGTTTTTCGTTTTTTAACCAGGTTGTTACAATATGTATTGCAATCTTTCATTCATGGCTCAAATATTTGATTGGATTGTTTGTCTTAAAAAATATAGTTTTTTATTGTGTATTTTTTTGTTATATTGATGATTTAAAAATGCTCTTTTTACTGTGACCTTATCACATCTAATCTGAATTGACCCTATTAATTTTCATCAAAAGTGCATTTCCTGGGTGCGTTTCTCTAATTCCTACATAAGCTCAAATTCACATACGTATTGATACAATGAACATGTTTCACTGTCTTCATTTTTCTTGATGGAGCGAGCTTTGCCCATTGTACGAATTTCAATAACCAAGAACCAATGAGACGTATGATTTTCCTCAATATTTGCCTGATGAGCAAAACCAAACTTTTGCATTATTGTTTGACATACCGATGAACCTTGTTGATTGTTTTAAATATGTCATTTTTAAGCCAGGTAGTCAGAATATAGAGTGCAATCGTTTCATTCATGTCTCATCTATATGAATGGATTTTTTCTACAATATTACCTTTTTATTTTGTATTTTTTTTTACATTGGAGATTTAAAAATGCTCTTTTTACTGCGACCTTATCAAATCTATTCTGAATTAACCCTATTAATGCCCATAAAAAGTGCATTTCCTGGGTGCACCTATTGCTAATTCCTACATTCATTGTGATACATGTATTGATACAATAAACATGTTTCAATTTCTTGACATAGGCATCAGTGACAGGCTGTTTTAACATTTTCATACTAATTGAACTCTTGTTTTTACAACCTTTATTGACTATTTCCATGACCTGTAATTTCTTTCTACTCGAAAAACAGTCTACACGATTTTCAACACTACCAGAATATTCAAAGATTCGTGGCTCAGCTATTTTATTGTTTTTTTTTTCCCTCTAAAACTACAGTAATACATGGTGTATATTTTTAAACTGGTGATTTCACCCAATTAATGATCACAAAAAGTTAATTTCTTGGGTGCATTTCTCTAATTCCTACAGAAGTTACAGTCACATACATCATCGTCTCTAATTTTCTTGGGCGCAATGATCTTTTTTCGTTTTTAAACCAGGTTGTTACAATATCTATTGCAATTGTTTCATTCATGGCTCAAATATTTGATTGGATTGTTTTTCTTAAAAATGTAGTTTTTTATTGTGTATTTTTTGTTATATGGGTGGTTTAAAAATTCTCTTTTTACTCTGACCTTATCAGATCTATTCTGAATTGACCCTATTAATTTCCATAAAAAGTGCATTTCTCTAATTCCTACATAAGATCAAATTCACATACGTATTGATACAATGAACATGTTTCAGTGTCTTAATTTTTCTTGATGGGGCGAGCTTTGCCCATTGTTTGTACGAATTTCAATGACCGGGAACCAATGAGATATATGATTTTCCTCAATCCTTTTCAATCCTTGCCTGATGAGCAAATCCAAACTTTTGCTTTATTGTTTGAAATACCGATGAACCTAGTTGATTGTATTCTGAAGAATGGCAAAACGAGGGAAAACTCATAAGGTGGGGTTGAGATGGGGAGTTGATGTCCGAGTGAATCGAGGTCACGATAGCTCAGGTGGTAGAGCAGCGGCGTATCAAGCCGAAGGTCGTGGGTTTGAATCCCTCTCGTACCATTAACTTTTTTTCATCTCAATTAAAAACCTTAAATAATTGTCTAGTTGATTGTTTTAAACATGTCATTTTTAAACCAGGTAGTCAGAATATAAATTGCAATCGTTTCATTCATGGCTCATCTATTTGATTGGATTTTTTTCTAAAATATATACCTTTCTCTTGTGTATTTTTTAAAATATATATTGGTGATTTACAAAATTCTCTTTTTACTGTGACCTTATCAGATCTCTTGCCCAATTTTTTGGGTGCTTCAATGATCAAGAACCAATGAGACGCATGATATTCCTCAATCTTTGCCTGATGAGTAAAACTAAACTTTGGTTTTATTGTTTGAAATACCGATGAACCTTTTGGATTGTTTTAAATGTTTTGTTTTTAGATGAGGTAGTCACAGTAACAATTGCAATTGTTTCTTTCTTTCTTCTTTGACTATTTCCATGACCTGCAATTTCTTTCCACTTGAACAAGTGTACACAATTTTCACTATCAGAATATTCATTGATTCATGGCTCAGCTATTTGATTGCTTGTTGTTGTTTTTGTTCTCTAAAAAATTCAGTAATACATGGTGCATTTTTTTTAAATTGGTGATTTCACCCAATTAATGATCATAAAAAGTTAATTTATTGGGTGAATTTCTCTAATTCCTACGTAAGTTCATAGTCACATACATTAATGTCTCTAATTTTCTTGTCACAACGATCTTTGCCCATTTTTTTGCTGTGTTTCATTGACCAGTTACAATGAAACTTAAGATTTTCCTCAACCCTTGCCTGATGAGCAAAACTAAGCTTTTATTTTATTGTTTGGACTACCGAACCTTTTCGATTGTTTTAGACTTTTCGTTTTAAACCAGGTAGTTAAATATCTATTGTAATCGTTTCATTCATGGCTCAAATATTTGATTGGATTATTTTCATAAAAATATAGTTTTTTTATTGTGTAATTTTTTGTTATATTGGTGATTTAAAAATACACTTTTTAGTGTGACCTTATCAGATCTATTCTGAATTAATACTATTATTGCGCTATTATAAAAAGTGCATTTCGCTAATTCCTACATTAGCTCATAGTCACATACGTTTTGATACAATGAATGTATTTCAGTTTCTTTAATTTTTCTTGGCAGAGCGAGCTTTGCCCATTTTTTGGATGTGTTTCTTGATCAATAAATAACCAATAAAGCTTTTAAACAATTTCATAATTTGCCTGCTCAACAAAACTTCAACTTTTTCTCATCTTTTAGAAATGTTGATTAACCTGGTTGATTTTTCAGCCCTTGCCATTTTAATAATAAGTTTTATCCTGTTTATTTGTCTAATTCATTTTCAGCATAGTATATAGTGTAGTTGGTTAATAGTCGTTTTGTTTTGGAGGTTATAGTGTGTTCTGTTATGTGTTGTTAGTTATTCTAAAATCTATTAAAACTTGTACTTTTATCTTTGTTGACACTCTTAGTGTATTTCCTTTGTCAGATACACTGAAGATGGCGAAATGCCAGTATGTGGCCGGCAGACCACCCCAGAAGCATGAATAGAGACAATTCTAAAGTAATGCTTACAATAAAATTATAATATTTTAGCATCACACTTTCTACTCCACTTTAAGCTCATATTTATTTTTTGACTATTTTATTGATTGAAAAAAAAAAAGTTCTGTGTAAAATTTGAACATTAGACAATCAACTGAGATGTTCAAATATTTCAAGTTACGTTTCAATTTGTAAGGAATAACTTATTACTTGAATGATAAACATTTGACTCGTTCAAACATTAAAAAAGTTGAAGTTTGGATTGAATTCCACCTGGGGGGGGGGGTTGAATATATAAATTCAACAGTTGAAAAGGATGTTGTACTTATACAGATAGGCTTATTGATATTGTTCTCTAAGGATTTTATATATGTAACTGTTTAGGGGTAAATCAAAATATTTTATATTATTTATATGTTCAGTTTGTTTAGTTATTACTAAACTAACTGACTTTCTAGCCCATGAAAGGCATGAGCCTCAGCCACCAGTTTTCCACTTCTCCCTATCTTTGTCCTTCTTTTTCCTTTGCATACCTAAAGCCTCCAAATCATTTTCCAGGTCTCTCAACCATTTAAGTCACGGTCTTTTTCTCAGTTTGGAACCTCTTGTCTCATCCATGCTGTGCACATGTCCCAGTCACCACAGCCTACTTATCTCAATAAAGGCCAAATATCACACAGTTTGGCAACTTTTTGGTTCGTCCTTACTCTAAAGCCCCCATGCATCCTCATAGCTCTGAAAATCTTTCTTAGGATAGTACTTTCCTTGCCCATCTTAGCTATTTCTGTTCGTCCACTCTAGTTACAACCCATATTTAACAACTGATCTTAACACCCCCAAAGAGATTCTTAATTTGGTGTCCCTAGATTAGATTACAAAAAGAGTCAGCCTCTTTATGTGTGCACTGTGGCAGTATTGGTCTATTATGTATCTTTATTATCAAGAGCTCCTCATTAAGCTTAAGGGTTTTTACCAGACCACAAAGCTTTTTCAAAGACTCCTGTGTGCATTTTAGCCTATTTTGATAGCCTTCCCACCAACAGAGGGTATGGTCCACCCGCTTCTTCTTTATGGCAATATCTGCCCAGGTTTGTTTCTGCCACTCCAAGTTTATACATATGCTTCTGGAGTCAACAGTTTAGGGATGGGAGTCAACAGTTCAGCTAATATTCTAGTACTAACACATCCTACATTTAATAGTTATGCTGTTAGTTTCTGTGATGGTACTTTGATGCAATTTTTGTCCTGGGCTACATTCCCATTGAATGGAGGACTGATTTTTAATCTATTGTCTAATCGGTCCAGATTTTTGGAGTTTGGTATGTCACAAAAGGCTTCAGGGCATTCTTATCGAACTTTCCGTGGCCAATTTATGGGTCTCTTCATTTCCCCTCTGCTCTGGTACCCAGGCAAGGGTAATTTTATTGTTTTCCCCAATGTATGCAATCCAAAACAACTCTGGACTTGTGATGTGGGAATTGGCCTCGGTGCCACCTGGTTGTCTGAGTAGATTCTTCTAATGCCTAAACATTTAATCTCCTTGGCACAGTGTTCAGTAACCCTAGTCTCAGCTTGAAAGACAGCGGCATATTGCCAAAGACTTATATCCTTACTGTTCGTAAGTACCATAATGTATATAAATACCAGTTCTTGACATGTATTTGATTTTGGAGCCATCTGTGTACTAGATATGATTGGGTATTTACTGGGATCCTTTTCTCCCAGTCTGATTTACTATTTTAATTTGATTTGTCAAATCTGAATTTAGAGGTCATGGCATCAACAGGTGTTCCTTTTTATGCAAGTAGGCCATTGGAGCCTGTCTCTGCATTAGCTTATGAATTATGGGTCTGACCTCTCCCTGGATAAAGATATTTAGTGTAGAAGATTCAGAAGGGCTTCCAGAAGATCAGTAGGTTAGGCATTCTCCTTGCCCCGGTTAGGCTCAAGCACACAAGTCTCTAACCACTACTTAGGATCTGATCTCCCTTAGCTGTAATGTCTTTGTCCACCAAATCACCGATCTTTAGGCTATCTTGGGTTTAACAACAGCTGTGTAAGCCATAGGGACATCTTTGGGTTGAGTCTAGTTGGCTGCTCTATAGATACGTTTCTAATTTCAAAACAGGTTGGAACAGTCATAGAGATTTGTTTTGTGCTACCATTCTTCCTCCAATGTCCTCACTAACCCTATTCAAGGAAATTAAAACCATCTAAGTATTTAAAATTGTTAACTGCTTCAAAGGAATAGACCCCCATTCTAAGGTTCTGGAATATTCTTCTTCTACTATAATTGGTCTTTTGACCTTTTATTTCCAGACCTAATTCTTTGGCAGCAGTCTCAACTTCTAGGAATATTTACTTCTGCTCAGCTTGGTTTTGGGCTAAAAAAGCCACATCATCAGCATAAGCCAAAACTTTTATCATCCTGCAATTAATATTGCCATAGTAAACTGATCAATTCCTCTAGTTACCAAGTTCCCTCATACAACTATAAAGACTAAATCGTCTCAGAGTTAACTTCTTGAAGCCAATAAACAAATGTCTGTTCATGTCACTTTTCCATGGCGAACCTGACTGTGAAAATGTCAGTTATCGATCTGCCTAGTCTAAGCGCTTTGATAATCCCCAGTGTCAGATTCAGATCATTCCACTGCTCTTCTCTATATCAAAGTAGACAAAATTCTGTATGGGATTGTTAAATTGCACATCTTTTTATACCAAAATTTTCTTGCTAATCTAGTTTTTATTCTTTGTTGTAATTGTAGACGCTTTTCTTTTAAATCTATAATGAAGTGGTGTTTAATATCATTTAAATGTATTTTGAATTTAGAGAATTCGTTGAATTTTGGGATATGTTCTTTAACTGTCATTTTTATTCCTTATCTAACTAAGAACAATTACCTCTACCATTTATACAAAGGCTCATATTTGTCAATGCACTTTTCAAATTTTAAGCACCCTCTTTTTATTTATTTAGCGAGTGGACCCGTAATAATTTTTATAATTACATCAAGCAGAGAATTTTTATTTTAGAAAAGTATGTAAAATAAACATTTAATTTGGGTTGCCATGGATCTATTGAAAGTAAATTTATTACTGTTGCCGAGGAAAACTCATTTTTAATAGTTAAAATAATTTGTGCTTATTCTACTTACACATTCGATTTTTATGTGCAATTCTTGGAAACGTATAATTTAGGATAACAGCAGTCTGAAGAAATAGAATGGTAAATGTTTGCAATTTTTTTTACGATTGTGGTATAAAATGTGAATTGACGTGTTTTAATTCTTATTTGATATTATAATATATTTATACATTGTATGTTTTATAAAACATATTTTGTCACTTCTGTAATCTTATTTCAGATTTTTGAGCTTGGCCATTGTTTTATTCGATTACCCTCCTCTTCACATATATTATTTTATTTTTTGATTATTAATTTATTTTATTTAAATTACTGTTTCCACGCCTGTAGATTATTACACTTTTTAATACCTTTCTTCTCTGCCTAAATAAAGTTTTTTTAAATTAGGGGTAGTCCAGTAGTCCAAGAGACATGTGGTTTTTTTAAGGGTTAGTTTATTTCACATTTTTCTTCTACATTTTGGGCTATTTTTGCCTGCCGATTAAAGGAAAACCTAGCAGTCACACCTACCATCCCCTTGTGCTTCTTTTTTTTTCATGTAAGGAAGCTTCCAAACGTCTCTTCTGAAAAGGGCATTAGTGTCTCTTGGACTACTCCCAATTTAAAGAAACTCTTTTTAGAAAGAGAAAAAAGGTAAAAAATATACATACATATTAATTTATTACTACAGATACTACTAATATTTCACTGGCTGGTTAGACCATCAAAATCAAAATAAGGGAGAAAAAGTAATTTCACGAGTTTTGGAAAAAAAAACAGTGAGAATAATAATTATCAAAAGATTGCAGTAAAATTAAACTTACCTTCTCATAGTAGAATCTATGTGTATAACAAGAAGTAAACATGGTCCTCCTCCCACACATACCTAACAACAATAATAATTATATAAAATAATGAACAAGAAAAATTTATTAACATAATAAATATAATAACAAAAAATAGTTTTATACGTGATATTAAGAGGGTGATTTTTACTCTTGTCAGAGTTAGTGTGAGTTTTGTTATGTTGGGATAGAAGGTTAGCATTAAATTTATATATAGAAAAACACACTTTACACTTTGTCAGTTAAATAAGATACAATGGATTTTCTTTATGCTTTATAAACACATAGATAATAATAATAAAATTTGACTTGTACATAATGCTACCTTTGTCTTAGTTTTAACAATGCAACATATTCTTTAAAAAGTGATAAATTATATCTGCCAGGAAAAGCTAGTTTTCAAAATCAATTTGTACCCTTAATTGGACTAAATGGATAATGGATGCATTCAGTTTGGCCAAATAATTGTTCACATTGCTCAGTAGATTAAAATTAGGTCTTCCACTCAAGGATCAGTTGTAGAAGTATTGAGGAAATGGAATTTACTCAAGTTCATTTTAAATTTGCAAAACATCTTGATGATGATGATCTTAAGAGTCATACCATTTGTGTATTCATTTTCTAAAATGATTACATAATATTGTAAATCTTTATTTAAAAAATAAATGAATAAAAATGTATGGCCCACCGGGGTTTGAAATGTACCCCCCGAGGTACCCGATTAAGGATTGGCCATACCCAATTGACACACGGGACACCTGCTTTTGGGGCAAATCCCGAGCGCTTGTACTGAAAGGTTGCTCAGTGTGTAATAACACCTGGTTGGCTCCTTACAGGGAGTGTGTAGGCATGGCACCCAACATAAAGATTTAAAAAAATTAACATTTCAAGTAATCAGGTAGTTTAACCTAGCATGTTTATTTTTTACATTTTCTACGACAAACATGAGGTAGTACATAGCAGGAATATAGTAAATAAAAAAATAATATTAGCAGTGCATACAGTAGATCAAAAATTATTCGAAAATCTTAAATCTGGAAAATAATTTGTTTAGTAGGTAGAATTATAGTCGTTGAATGAAGATTTTTTCCACAAAGTACAAGTGATTTTCCTTGATGTTTTTTCTTGTTAAAATGAAAGTTGAAACTACCAAAATGCGACAATTTATATTCTACATAAGAAAATCACTAAATATCATCATTAATCAGAAAAAGAAGTTTTGTATCATAATTTGTCATTATGCCTTTTTTTTTATTAGCCCTTGAGTTGCCAAGTTCATGCATATTTTATTAATTGGTTATTTTATAATGTACAACGTATATGATTAAATCTGGCCAACATTTGTCTTGATTGAAACTTGACCTATTATTTTTTTTTTTAAATCTAGTGAAATAATTGCATGAATCACACTTGCTTAACAATACATGCCTGAAAACACAATGGTTATTATATTTATAAAAATATTTTTCAAATTTCAGAGTAGTGGGCAGGACTCTACCGTTTCCTCCTTGGACGAAACTGGATTAAAGGCACTATTAGATGAGGCCATTGCGTATAGAACTCCCAATGATGTTCAAGGAAAAAGTGATCTTTTTAAGGTAATTGTCATTCTTTTTTAGCTGTTAAAAAATAGTACGCTTAAAATATTTACATATTTGTACAATGTTATATTAAATTAGTGTAAATTTAATACATTTATAATGAAGAATATATATTTTTAATCAAATCTACTTTACTTTATAATATAATAAAATAAATATAATAATATAACACCTTTAATTATACCTTACCTGGTCCTGATAAATGTACCTGCCAAGCCTTATGTATGTTATTTAATAAATCTATACGTCAAGGTACTGTTCCTAATATTTGGAATATATATATATATATATTGTTTTATGAGGGTTCCCAACAACAGAGGTCATATGAACCCTCAGGGTGTTGGTGATTTTGAAAAAAAGCCTAATTGTAAGTATGTCGGATTTGAATACAATGGCCCTGTATTTGAACCAGGAACCTATACCTTGCAGTGATGAGTGCCATGTCAATGCCTTAACTGTTGTGGCCACCGATGCCCCAAAATCTTTTATTACACCTGTTTTTAAAAAAATGTTACAGAACCAAAATTGTTAATTATCGTCCAATTTCCAAGTCTTATTCCTGAGTTATTTGAATCTTTTGTTCTTGGTACAATACTGATTTTTCTCTGGTTCAAAGCATTTTGAATTATGATTGCCATATTTGGTTTCCCTATCATTTTTGTTAATTTATTGAACTTGTACAAATTTTGAGACTTTTGATTAAGCACCTTGTTTTTATTGATTTTAGAGTAGACTATCATACCAGACACTTGTCTGATTGGCCCGTTTCAATTTACACCTGTTCTGGGTCCGATTGAGGTACATGGCTGCTTGTTTTATTTTAAAATTTTTGTATGGAACTATTAACAACTCTGTTCATTATTGTTAAGTGAAGTTGGATTCAAAGCCCCCCCCCCAGGAGCACCCATTTGTCAACACTTTTTCATATCATACCATACCATGGAATTTGTTATGTTAGAAATTTAAGTTTAAGCTGTTCGTTGAATGCAGGTATGTTTGTTAACTCAACCGTCCTTCTTGGTGTTGACTGCACAAATACATAAAATTTTGTTTATTGCCTGATATTTAATTTTCTGCTGTGCAAGATATTTGTGTGATGTTAGTACGATGTATTTATACATATTGTCAAGTGAAATTATTCTGGTGTCTGGTGTAGTTATAATTTAAATTCAAGGATGAAACCAAATAAATCATAAAAATAATTACAAATAAAAAAATTTTAAAAATGGTAATACATGTATAAGTAAAAATTTAGATATTTTCTCATAGTTTTTGGTTATGTTACTTCTCGTGTGATTATGGGAATATGTATCTATTCCAATGTTCGTTGAAGAGCCTATCCTCAATTCTGTTTGTTTTAGCCATCAAGATTAGATTGCAGGACCCCCCCAACAATTGTCATTTCAGCACCTAAAATAACTGATTACTGATCTAGACATAAACACAAATATGAGCTAGCTGATAAATACTTTAGAATAGATTACACAACTAAGCTGGATAGTTTGCAAAAATCATTCGAGAATTCACCGACCACAACTGTAACTGATGATTTAATTGCATAATGGAAGAGTATTGCTTAATTCATTTACCGAGTAAATTATTACATATGACAGACAAGTACAAAAACTGTTTAAAGCGTTAGATGTAACTAATACTTTTTACTCACAAATAATTTGGAACTCAGTATGATCTGGAAAAAAAACAAATTCAATTATCATCAGGGCAAAATAATTTTTAAATTGTAAGATGATAATTAAATTAATGTTGCAGTCCTTTGCAATGTTGGGATTGTGAGTCGGTTTTCAAAGAAATTTGAAACCATATATTAAAAGCTTAATTTTGTCAATTTGTAACATCTTTAAGTTTGTTTTGCCCTGATGATGACCTTCAAATAGGTTGAAAGCTTGGCAGGTAACAATTGAATTTATTTTTTAATCTCGACCAAACTGAGATCCAGATTATTCGTAAGTTCAAAGGTTGACTCCATAAAAAACAAATTAATTTAAAATGTATAATTAAAACCATTTATATGGTACAATATTGAGAAAAACCTTTTTTTTTTAGTTTTTTGTTTGTGTGGCTTAGTTTACAAGCATATTTATTTTAGTGACAATGTTCTGCCTTCTCTCTACATTCCGCAATTTCTTGCTGTTATCAGTTTATTTGCCAAATACCGTTGCACTATATCACTATGACTTTTATATCAAGATAATTTGTTCAATAAAACTGGAATTTGTAAACATTTAACTTATCACACTTTCATTTAATACTTGTGGAGACCACTTAAATTGTTTGACAAAAATATTTTCATCTTAGAATTATTAAAAACGTTTTTTTAGATTAATGCTATAAATATCTTATCTTTTTATATCTAATAAAAAAGGTTACTCAAGCTCCATTATCATCAATGCCTTAGCTTTTTCACTCCACAGAAAACTAGTTTCTCCTTATTAAATTACTAATAATACTTTACTGTTGCGCTAGTATTTCACTTTCCTTCAACTCTCAGTCTCCTCATCACCATCAAATTGCTTATCATTCCAGTTATGATCTTAAACGAAGATATTATATTTCTTCCTAAGTCTTCAGCAGCAATCTCAACATTCTAAGCGCTAATCTACTACATTTTTTAGTTGTTCCAATTAACCAAAGTTATAACTTTAATTATTATGCAAAGCATGGTTCATTTGAAAAATCAGTATCAGGAATGGGACTCGAACCTACTACCTCTGAATCAGTATCCCAGCATAATAATTATTGTAAGCATTTATAAACTTAGAGTTTTAATGTGCATATTTAAAATTAAATCAGATAAATGTCCTTAATACCTATCAACTTTTTTCCTACATTATTTACCCATATGTAATCATATTCCAAGCCTTCAATACTCGTCTAAAACTTTAGCCTTATCCTTCAGAATTGTAGAGGAAAGACTACGGAATTTGCTTCCCCATTAGGTTCATTTCTAAGTTTTTAATAAATCAACTCCTTTGCTTCTCTTTTCCTTTTTGTTTCATTGTTTCCCTTTAAACTTCTTTCAAGTTCTGCTTTTCTTTCTTGATGTGGTTTCATCATTTGATTATAAATAATTTATATTTTAAATAATGTATTATGTGTCATTTTGTTTTGTATATTTTGGATTTGGATTGATGTAAGCTCAAATCTGTACATGTATGAACGTACATATATATAAATTAATTATCTAGGAAATGCTTTTGGTGCTGAATTGACCTAGTTGTTGTCAGAACCTGGGGTTGTTCGGGTAAGAATGGGGTAGGTGGAATTTATGGTAACAAGGTGGTTACCAACAATTCCAGCTTTTTTGATTTTCAGTAAATTCCCTGCAGGCCTCGAGAATCACTCACCTCAGTCTTATCTGTGGTTGGGATCCGAGTGTTGTCAACAACAACAATTCAGCACCCAACAGATTCAATTAATTTCCTAGATCCAAACCCATTCACACTCTCTCATTCATTAATACATTTTTTCCTATTTAAATACCATTCACTAAGGGTGGTACTGTACTCAACCCTTTATACTTATTATATAACTAATCTAATTTAGTGTCAAAGGGGTAGTCAACATTCCGTCTTTGGCCCTCTTTCTCTATTCACTGAAATAAATACAATCACTCTCAACACATCACAATATACAAGAAACAACCCTGTTTCCTCCAAAAGTAAGAACAGAGGATGAGATACTCGCTGCCGTGCTCAAGCACAATTATATCGTATGGCATTCCTACATGCTCTTTCTACAGAGCAAGTAGTTGTACCCTCCAATTAGGTAGGTTTTGTGTATTTATTATTCTTAATTTTTAAGGGCATTTTAATAGCTAAGGTTATTTCATGCTCTAACTAATATATTTAAAACCTCTATCTTAAATCAGCTATATTCCTTCTGAGTGCTATAAAGCCCTGACTCTAAACGCTCACTCATAATCTAATCTATCCTATTGCCATCAAAAGGTTTAATTATTCATTTTAAAATACTTTGGAAAGCCAATGTATACAAAAATTATTTTAAATTATAAAATTTATTCCTGTTCTTTATTTTGAATTTTTGTTCCATAATTTAAACATTTCCCTTATGGCCAACAATAATAATAATAATATTAGTAACAAGAATTTCAATTAATTAATATGATCAATTAAGACCGTTAAACATATATGGAATAAAATAATAATAATAGAGTCAGACTAGCAAAAAGTCTCAGGATGAAGCTCATCGTTTTCCTTTTATTCTTCCATTCAAATATACTAATGCTACTTAACAATAAAACAAAAAACACTTCTTTCTCTTTCTTTTTTTATACTTTTTTGGGAGGATGTATGGGCTGTCTTTTCTTATTTAAATTGCTGTTATAGTTTATTATTATCATTATTTTAATGTTTAGAAAACTATATTTACTTCTAAGATACTTTGAATTTTCCAGTTTATATATTTTTAGGAATTTTACAAATTCATTGCTCGTAATATTTGAATTTTCTAAGTCACAATATTTCTAAGACAAACTACACTTTCTATTTAATCTTAATGGAAATTTGTATTCTAAACTCTCCCCTGGGTAGACTTGAAACAAAGGGAAAATCGTGAAAACCAGGCGATATTGTTTGAGAATTAAGGCAGAGCTATTTCATTGCCTTGGATTACCGGTTAAGAATTATTTTGAAATTGTGTCTTTGTTTTCGAAAAGGGACGACAGTCCTCCTAATCCAATGAGTGAACCTTTTTCTCAAGGCTTATCCTAAGAAAGTTTCCTCTAATCCATATTCTTGTAAACACAACTCACCTTTGCGATTTGATGATTCGAGGAACAGTTGACGCTAGTTCGAATTTTGGGGTTGGGAACAAAGCTTACCACAGGCTCTTCCTAAAATGGCTAAATGCCCGTCAAATCACTTTTCTGACTTTTGCTAGCGTTAAAGATGGTCTTATTTTGTTGTAATGTTCATAAAATTCCAATGACCGGCTTAACCCCTCTTTAATGCTGTAAACAACACCTTCTACGTGTAAAAATTCATTTCCTCACTGCCTTTGGTAAGTTTTTTTTTCAGTTTTCATTCTGTAATTTAAATATGTTAAATATTGTAAAACAAAATTTAAAAAAAATATATACACATAAATATATATTTCAAATTTATTTGGAAGAAACGGAAAAATTCAAAACTCGATGTTAAATTTGTATCCATTTAGTGCAATTGTGATCATGGGGTTTTTGAAATTGCCCTACGAAATTCAGCAGTGCAATCGTTCCTAGTTCTCAGAAATTAAGTTTGTATATTAAACTATTGTTTAGTTATTTTTTGTCACAGTGTAAACAGCGGTCTTTCCAGTTTTTGATATAAAAACTTTTAAATATCCTTTTGTTGTTAATTGTTGTAACATTAGATCAAAATTTTAGACCTTTTAACGTTGACCGTTAAAGATAAAAAAAAAATAATACTCCTGATCACCAAAGAACAATATTTCCAGTTAAGTAGTTCGTGTTTTTAGCGAGTGTAGTTGTAGCCCATTATTACAGGTTGGTGCCGGTGTTAATTAATTTATTTCGCCGAATTTCTTGCCATTTTTACTTCGTAGTACAGCGGTTATAGGCAGCCATGTGCAAAAGAGTAATCAGATTTTTCTGATTTTACTTTCTTCTCATTTTAATTATTATTATTGTTTCACCACAACAAACACATTTGCCACTAATGAACATTCATTTGCTTTATGAAGTCTACTTCACTAAAACACAGTAATAATACAATGATAATTATAGACACCCTTACTTGTTTACCCTTACGTTGATTAGGTTTGTCAGAATAATTTGATGTTTTTCTATAAGAATCTATGTTTTTACAAGAATTTCAAAATGTTTTAGATTAAAAAGTTGAAGGATTTTCTGATTAAGATCTCAGATTAGACTTGAACGGGGAATTCTACCGTTTTAACAGAAAATATAATTTAAAAAAAAAACTGAAAATGGCTTTAATTGACTGTTTTTTTTCCATATTATTAACACGATTTTCTTATTTAAAAAAAATATCCTACGACGCCAATTGAATAGGGGTTCTAGCATTAAATAGGCCTTCTATTGGATAAATTAGCAAGGCCCATATTTGTTTTCTTAAAAAAAAAAAAGATTTTTTGTGATTAATACATATTATTGAGCAACTACAATGATCTGAACACTACTTGTTCAAATCAGAATACTGCTTTGTCGAAAGCTTTCTAGGTTGATCGAAGATTCTAAGATGTTGATCATTTGAAGAACCTGACTGTCCTGACATTGCTGCCTGGTATAAATTACAAAGTATTCACTCACAATTTCTATCAAACCATAGACTGGAAGTAACGAAACGTGTCAAAAACCCCATAAAGCACTTTAAGGGCATGGGTGGTCACAACGGTTAAGGCGTTGACAGTGCCACTCATCGCTGTAAGGTAAATTTTCTGGGTTTGAACCCCCAACTTACTTACAAATAGGCTTTTTTTCTATCCCCCAAAACAATGGGATTTGGAGTTCATCAATTTAAATTTATTTTTAAAATTTCAAATTTTCAAATATCCTTGAAAAAACATCCAATCACTGTCTTCTTGTGTAAATTTAACCAACAATTTAAAAGTGCAGACAAACCGGTGACAGTTTATATGTTCAGCATGTTCACCATTCAACAATTCTTCGCACCCACCATCAACTTTTAATTTGAAAATTTCTGTAATAAAATTATTCTAGCCTTTCAATAAACCTCTTACTATTGGACAAGACTTTTTAAAAATTATTTGTCAATAATGTTTTAGCGATTTTTCTTTTTTCTTCGTATTCTCTTTTAGCTGACCTAAAGTTATTTTCCAATATTTCTTCCATTGCAGATTGTACATTTCTTCCATTAGATTTAAATGCTTTCTTTGGTATTGTGATAATGATTTGTGTGCCAATCAATCAAAATGCAAATACATTAAATTCAATGTGTATTCTAAGCCGAAGGATGGTTATATCACATTGGTGGACTTCCCCTGGATTAAATAGATTAAATAAATGACTTGGGTATCATTTTTATTAATAAATGCCATTTTCTTGATCACATTTCCAAGATTAAGTAAAGTATTACTAAAGAATCCTGGTCCGCCAGAAACTAAATTCTCAATTCTCAGATCTCTCCAAAAATTCTCTCAAGTCTTGGCCTGAGAGTTCCTCGACGTGAAAGGGCTTTAAACTTGTTTTGTGGAGCACCATCACACCGATTATGGGAGGTGTTAAACGCTTAGCCTTCTCGCCTCCCTTGGAACCCTGCAGACTCTTTTTTATGAATTTATTTAAAATTTGTCACACATTAATGTTTCTCTGTTATATCAATAACGGAATGTTAACATTTTGCAGCCCTGAATCTACCATTATCAAATTATTGAATTATGAAAGTATCTAAATCAAGCACATATCAAAAACACTAATATTGAGTAGTCTCGATACCTCCAACTTGTTTAAAGGTGATATATCACTAACTATAAATGTTATAATTTTTTAACAGTGTTAACCAATCTAAAATATATTTAACAACGGATCAAAATGAGGAATTAAACAACAAAACAAATGTTTTTCTGCATATAATGTTATTTTCGATTTTAAATCAAAACGAGACATGTCTTGGTCATTTGTGTTAATTTTAATTATGTAAACCAAGCAATTTTATTATCTGAAAGACATTTTCATGAATGTAATCATTTATAAGAAATCTCTGTTAAATTTTATAAATGCACAAATATCTTGTCTGACAGTTGATTCATTTAATAGTTTTACAATGACATCACAAATATTTACAGGAAATGATATTTTGTTTTTAAAGCTGGGTTGAAGTAAAAGTTGGTTATGGAAATAATGCTCCATTCTGACTTGGGACACAAACAGGGCACTGTATTAAAAAAAAAAAAAGAAAAAAATGATAGCCAGATAGAGAACTGTGTTCTTTGTTGTCCTATAAAACTATCAATTTATTGTAGTAAATTGAGTTCATCTTAAAAAACACATGTTTATACATTTACGGCTTATACACATGTCAGGCTATATTTTAAAATATGTTTTTACTATAATTTAATTATTGGATTATTCAAGTTTTTTTGTATTTTTAGGAGTTATTACATTGTGCGGAGACTGAAAATAAATTTTCTGGAATGGAGCGACCTGAAAGGCACAATCGAAAATTGAGAAGGCGACAAGGATTCGGGAGTAAGAAAGATTGTGACAAAACGAATACGCACGGATCCTTACAAGATTTGGCTCAAGTGCACAATCTAGTCCCTAACCAAGACGAGTTTTGCAAATCACACGCTAAGAATAACAGCAGACAGAGGCTTAGTTCATGGAAAAGCGGTGGACAGGACATAAATATGATCCCTTACAAGGAGGAGGTAACTTATTTATTATAATAAAAATTCATCCAAACGAAAAAAATTGATTAAGCTTCTATCATTTAATCAACTAAGTGAGATAAAATTAATTTTATTTAATGCGAAGTCTTCTGTATCTGTTTTTCTAATATTAAGTATGTAGTTTTATTGTGGAACTGCAATTGATTTTACTAGCTTTTCCACTTTATAATGTTTTGTTTTAGATTTAGGTTTAGTTTTTGTATTAACTTAGTTTAAATTCGCTAAAAGTGTTTTTTTTTTTTTAAGTAATCTTTTTAAAACAATTTTACACTATTATTTTAATTTTAATTAAATAGAAAATAGAATGTGTGATGTTAAGCAACCTATGGTCCAATGAGTGATTGAAATAGTGAGGAGCGGTCAGGTTAGATGTATGTCAGAAAAACACATTTTTCATTTAATTGCCCACATTTCGACCTTTGTTTCATGAGACATGCAGATGGCACATTAATTACAGACTCGTATCAAAAACCAGTGAACACAGACACAGATCTTAATTACACATCAGACCACCCCACACACGCAAAAATAAACACAGCTAGAAGATTATTACATATAGACTCAAATCCGTAAGCCATGAATCTTTGCACCAAAAAAATTTTCTAGCACACAAACAAATCCTACAAAACAATAATTACCTTAAAAACTTACTTAACAGAATCATAACCAATTACAACCCTACTTCAAACCAAAAAACACCCTCCACATGGAACATCACATAACCAGTCCAATAACACACAGTTAAACCAATATACATAACCATTCTTTCATTCATTCCCTATTTCACAAGTACTTTCTCTCCTCACATACCTTCAAAATAGCTTTTAAAAACGCAAACTGTACACACCCTCTTCTCCACAATTAAAGACTCACCAAAACTAGCCAACAAATCAGATGTACTTTACAAAATCAATAGCATAAATTGTCTAGCCACATACATTGGAATTGCATCACTGTATCTTGACAAACGGATAAAATAACATATCTATGATTGTAAAAACTGAAACCTAACTCCACAGCATTGACCACCCATCATTTTTACAAATACAAATGAAACTTTTTAGAAATGGTTTACATCAACAGAGACATACACAACATTAATTACAGAATAGACAGCAACCTCAGAGTAGATAGCAAACTCAGTTGTAGTGTAGCTACACCACATTATTACCACATTTTATTAAGTTCCTTTCTAATATTAGTAACTGTATTATCTGAATAAACTCCCTTTGAATAAAAAAAGCCACCCACTTTCAAAGAAAATTTCCAATTCATACCACCTTTCCTCACCCTGTCATAATCTTATAAAAACAGCACTGTATAAATTTGCATCTCATAACTATTTCACCACTTGTTACACTTGACAAAAATGCAGTAATATCACTACATGTTATATGATAAAAATATCTTGATTAAATTAAAATTCGTCTTTATGTTAGCATAATCGTACACATTTTTCTTGTATAATTTTTTACACAAATTCTCAATCAATATATGGTGGTATGTAGAGACTTGTTATATGGTGGTATGCCTTGTAGATGACCCGATTAAGGTTAAAACGCCAGAAATTAAATGAAAAAGGTGATTTTCTGTCATATATTTAACATGACTTGTCCTCACTATTTCAAGCATTTTAAAAAAATAGAATATTCACAAACACAATTGTATAGTGCAAATTTTTTAAATTGACCACCTCAGTTTTTCAGGTGCACTTAGTTGTGCCATCTATCTTTCATAAAATGTTAAGCTGGCATGATATTTTGACTTATTTTAGCCTTCGGTTCTGTCACCTCCAAAGAAGAATTGTATGATGTTTTAAATTTATTTTATTGCCTTTCTATATATAAGCACATCTTTCTCAACTCATTAACTGTAAAATATGAAGCTACCGCTTTGGGAAAAGCCTATCATATAACATGTATTTTTATTATGGTGGCTATATTTATTTGCCTGGTAATATCTATTGCACAGAGGTTTCTATTTATGAACTTTGGCAGTGTGCAATTTCACACGATTAAACATTTTTATGGTGATTTTTATTTTTTACCGAAAATTTTTTTCTCAACAATGTCAGCTCAGAAAAGAAATGCAGTTATTATCACTAGTGTTCATGGTTAAGCTACAACTGAAACAATTACACTTAAATTGTAACAACTAACTTTAATAAAATAATTTATTAAAAAATAGTGAAAATTTGACAAAGACTGCCACATATTGAACCCTTTTTGGAATTGCTTTGCATTTATTGAGGATATATTATATAATAATAAAGTATTGTATGTATTTTTTTATTTCTTTATTTTAAGGATTATTCATCTATAATAAACAATGGGAACTATGGTTCATTTACAAATTTCTATAAGCTGCAACAATTCATCTCAAATGAAACCAACATTTATAAAGTTGTTGACGATCAAACTGGAGCATCTCCTTATAGTTGCCCTGAGGTAAATTAGCGCCATATTCATATAAGCAATATGAATTACTACTTTATTATATTGTAAAAAGTTTATTTTAATTAACTTGTTATAAATGTCTGACTCTTATCATAGCAAATCCCCTCCTGATAACAAAAAAAAATTGTATTATAAAAAGGAATTTTTAAATTTTAAAATGTTTGAATATATTTAATTAAGTTTAAGGGAATATATGACAGATTTGTTATATAAAAGAAAACAAATAAATTGTAATTAATTAAAAGTAAATTAAGATGAAGTGTTACGTAATCAATTCATTATTATTAAAAAAATATACTTTTTATGGTCACAACATTATATATGACATTAATTACGCATTGTGGTATAAACTACATGCTATAGCTCCCTAATTTGGTGCTAAAGTAAGCATATCCAAACAGATGATTAAAAAGCCATTAAGTTCTTTTTTTTTTGTAAATTCGTTTATTTTTTTTTAAATTATATTTTTTAGAAAAAGTCTTGTGATGAAAATAGTCAGACTGCAGAAGATGGAGTGAAGACGATAATAAAAACTGTTACTGATGAAAAAGGTAAATAAAAACAAAATAATTATTAGGAATATTAAAATAAATTGTGCTGTAACGTTTTTAATTGTATGTACACTAGCCATTGCCCCTTGACGGTACTGTAAATATGTTAAGTAAAAAGTTATTTTTCAGTTTTTCCCTCGTACCCTTCATATTCTTACACATTTTAGCATGTAAGAGCCAGACAATAAATAATATACTGATTATGCGTTTTATAATTGCTTCTGTTAAATATTGAAAATAGAGAAAAAGAAACTGCATTCAGAAAAATAACAAGAGTTCGAACCTTTATTAAGTGAAACCCCTCTTGGCAGTCAATTTTTGCACTCGCTGGCAAAATAGATAGGATTTCTGTACATTTTGAACCCCTCTATAAAGGAACCCTTCCTTACCGGTTGTAGATATTGTTGACTATCCCCATCAGAGTAACTCACCCCTCTAGAATGGGCATAAACAGGGAAAATATATTAAATTTCCATGTGAAAACAATATTTGTTACAACTTTACAACAACTTTACTTCTTTTTTAGTCAAAAACCTTCCAGCAAGGTATGCTTGTAATCTTTTACTGGGAAATCATGAAAATGGTTTTATTTTGGTTTGATACAGCTGTTAACCCATTCAGGATGGTGAGTATGTCCCACTCTCACTTCCCCATTGACGTACTATGAGCATGATACTGTGCTCTAATCTCTTTAGTTTGGACTGAAGTTCAAAGAAGCAATGTGTTGCTTAAAATGGTAAACGGCGTTGCTTTTCATTAATTTGTACTTCGTGACGGTTTACTTGGCTGTACTGACACGACACGATACTGTATTGACATCTCCCTCTCTGCATATATCCCTTACTTTTTCACCAAGCATCACTGGTGGTAATTAGCAGTTACGCCGAATTGCTTTGTGTTGTGGTATGCACAATGACAGGTGTAAACCATATCTTTCTTGACACTGCAATAGTAAATGATACGTCATTCCTGTGATCATAAGAAGCGCAAAAAAAATTAATCAAAATTGGACCAGTAGATTTTGATATTATCTCTTACAAACAAACTTTCTCTCTTTATTATATTACTACAGATAATATTGTATGTTGTAAAACAAAATGGATTTAATACAGCCGTACAAAAAGCATTAACTAGAAGGTTTTATTGGATAGTTTTTTCTTTTAGCTTTAAGCGACAACAAAAGGGTTAGTTTTGTCTATAAGTTCTATTTTCTAAGTAGTACATATTATAAAAACATCAGTAACTATTTATTTATAATAAAGGAGTTAAAAAGCAATTAAAAACGCAGAACATTTTTGGGATCAACAACTAAAGTAATTTCAATTAACAAATCTAAAACTATGCCATATAATATGGTTACTAAAACTATAAATTTTCTCAATCAAAATGAAAAAAATAATTTAACTTGATTTTGTTGATAATTAAGAACAGCTTTTCGTGAAAATTAATTATAACAGCTTTTGATCGCTTTAGCAAGTTTTCAATTTCTTTAATCTGGCTTTATTTTTTTTTCCAGAGAAAAGTTTATTGATTGCTGAAGCACTGAACCGTGAAGGGTTGATTGAAAAGGTAAATATTTTTCAAAGAGTGAAAACAGTTAAAAACAAAAAAGAAGGATGTTCACAATTTAAACAAAATAGAGGGTTTTTCATAGCGTTTAGAGATTTGGCACAAAATGTTGGAAATTAATTTGGAATTGACTTAAAATTATACACGACTTCAAAAACATTTACACCTATTTTACTATATGATGTTTTTATTATTTGATTTCAGAAAAATCTGGATGAAAATGGTAATGCTCTTGGCAATAATCTTGAATTCAAGAGAAAACGCCGAGGAGTAAAGGTGCGTTCTAGCAACCAATATTTTCATTTTGTACTTCTATTGGCTAAAATAAGCTGACATGATATAATATTAAAAACTGCATTTACTCATTCAATTTTATTTTTTTAAATGTATCCAATTAATAATCAACAAAAGTGATCAAAATCAAATTACGTTACACTTAAGAAAATTCATACCGTGTAGTTTTATGGTAAGTTTATTATCTGTGTTTCCAATTTTTTTGTATCATAATATGGTTTATAGTGGTCAGGGGTATTTTTCCCTTTTAATACTTTCTTCTTGATAAAACTGTCCCCTGTGCTATTATGTAACAGCCATAGTGTGGTTCAAAAAGCAGCATATATTTTTGTGTTTCTGCATGATATTTATTCCTTAATAAATTATTACTAGTTGGCAATGGAAATGGCAATTGTGTAATAATTGCTTTAAAAAGCTAACAATTTTGCTGAGTTCGTTTCGTTAATCTGTTCCACATTATACATCAATGTTGTTCAGTTGGATTTTATTGATTTTAAAGATACAGATACCAAATAAGTTGGCCAACTACCAGACAAGCAGAAAAGTTTGTGTGGGTTTAAAGGGTTTAATAATTGTCACAATTAAAATTAGTTTAGAAATAATTTATTTGGGAGTCTCAATCGGCACTTATAACCTTCACCCAACTTGCTACTAGCCCAGTTGCTGTTTTCATAAAAATGGGTCCCGGGATTTCAAAATTCAGCTCATTTTTCAGCTGGAAGCGATTATCGCTCTGTTGCGCATATGCCCATTGCTAAGAAAAGGTGAAAGTCAGATGGTGCCTAGGTCCAGGTCTACGGCTGTATCAGGTCTCACATTGTTCTGGAGAAAAATTACTCCTTTCTGGGCCAGGGCAAGATATACTCATTGAAATTGGCTTGAGTAGATTTCTACGGTGATGGTCAGTCCACATGGCAGGTGTTTGTAGCATATTGCCAACTGTACTCTACCAAACACAAAGCATTTCTTTTTGTTGGTGAATATTTGGTTTCACGTCAATTGTACAAAGTCATTTGGTGAAAGCCAATGGTATGACATCCTGGACTGTACAGGATCCATTTTTCTTTGTATGTGTCAATGCGGTAAAAAATATCTCTTTGTGCCATGAAAGCAATAAAAGGCATATGTTTAGACACTGCAGCTTGCTATCATTGTGAGGAACCCATTTGCTCAGATTCCATACCTTCCCGTTAATGTATGCTAGAACGAATGGTTTTTCGTTTACTTTGAACACTGTCTTGAGTTTTAATAATCATCTTTGATAACTTCCCTCAACTTGTTGTGATTCAAGTCAGGTCTACAAGACAGTGGTTTATCTTCTGCCCCTTTGTATCCAGAAATAAACTTTTTGATTGGAGTGGGCAATGCACTCCACTTATTGTTTCATCTTGAACGCTGTGCCAATTTGCCTCAGCTGTTACATTACCAAGCTTAAATTCATTCATTAATGCATGAATTATGGGTTTTGAAGCCATGTGGAACAAAACATTTTTTAACTTAACAGTGAGCTGTTTGAAACTTTTTCTTTAAGAATTGAATGAATCCTCTTAGTATTTTTTTTAAACATGGGTTCGCAACAACAGAGGTCCTATCAATCAATTGTATGTTGGCTGCATTCAAACCCGGGACCTTTACCTGATTAGTGTGTCAATACCTCCCCCTCTTGGTAATATGATGTAAACACCTAATCCTCTTATGTAAATAAAAATGTTGAGTAATGGTATTAAAATGATAAATAAAATACCGCACTAACTATTCTGATTACCTGGTATAATATTATTTTGAACTGGCATTTAGTTTAACTTGAGAATTTCTTTTTAGATAAGTATAAAGGAGGTTAAAATAACTAATTTTCTGTTATTTTTAATGTTTACTTAAATTTGAGTTTAGACAAAATTTGTTTCTTATCACATCTACAAATTATCAACAATTGTTGTTATTAACAAATGTGTCAGAAATGTTGATTGTAAAAAATAATTTAAAATCCTTTCTATTTTCTGTAGGCAAAGAATGACAAGAACACAATTTTATCACAACACATTGAGGGACATAGAAGTGATATTGCTCAAGATATAGATGCTTTGATGAAATATATTGAGTCGCCCACTCATGGTGAAGACAAAAGAGGAAGGCAGATGAATTTCACAAAAAATTCTGGACATATTGCTAGCAAACTTCAGCCACGAGATAAGAGCTCGGAAACATTGAGAAAAGGTCGTAAAAGTAAAGATACGCAATTTCATAAAAGCAACAGTCTAGAAGAAGTTTCAGTTTCAAAGTTTGAAGATCTCACTCAGAGCGAGGTGAAGAAAAGTGAAACACAACAGGATATCAAATCTTTGCCTTTGAAACTTGAAAATAAAACAGAATGTCAAAAGGTAGAACAAAAATCATGCCCGACAAAACTCGACAAGAACAATTTAGAAAAGGGAAATAAAATAAATCCAAAACCTGACTCTAACGTTATTATGATTGAAAATATTATGCCAAGAAAAGAGGATCCTGAACTTCAAGATGCTGAATTCCATACCGTCACAAAAAAACAAAAGAAAAGGAAAAATATTTTCTTTGTAAACAGGAATAGGGGAAGGGAGCAACATCAATATGGCCACAAGCAAGAATATAGACATGACTACAAAAACTTTTATGCTCATGACAACAAACAAAGAGGTGGACTATATTCATTTAAAAGAAAAAATGATTACCATAGGAGAAAATCTACATCGTCAGTTCCGTCTTCAGAAAAGTCTGGTGAAAGTTCCGACTTAGACAGTGTCCATTCTTTGCCTGTCTCTAGTACCAAGGTTAAAAGGAATGAAATGAATTTGGAAACAAGAGCAAATAGTAATCACACATCTTATGCTGACATAATTAAGGCTGTACCAACACCTTCTAAACAGGTCAATGAGTCCTCTTACATCTCAGAATCTTGTGATAAAACATCTGGTTCAAATGATGTTATTGAACCTAATGAACCTGTACCATCCGTTATGGTATCACTGCCAAAGAAACGTGAAAAAAATAGCTTTAGTCCTATTTGCAGCCCTCAAGATTATCCACCTTTGTTACATATTGGGGATTCAAATCAGGTTAACTCCAGCAGTCATAGTAGAACTAACACCAGTAACAATCAGAGTACTTCAAGTAATTTGATTAGCACAGCTCCAAGTACTGCAAACGATAGTGCAAATAAAACATCAAATAGTTCAAATGACATGTTTGTGGAATTTACTTTGGTTGTTCCTCCTAAGGATAAATATGTAAATAAGTGTGTGAATGTGGAAGAGACAGTGTATGTAAAAATTAAACCCAGTGATAATGTTACCCCTGCTCCTCCACCTGGTGAAGAAACAGTACCAAAACGGCCTCCTGTGATACTTTTGAGCCGAACTAAGGAAAGGCCAATAGTTAATGACTTAGAATTTGGTTTTGAGATTAATGAACAGCTGTTGCAAGGTGAAGAAGAATTGGCTGTTAAAAAGAAACCCACTGTAGAAAATTCTCACTTGAATCAGTGTAAGGACAATTATTATGCTAACGTAATGAAAGCAACTTCAAATGGAGACATCGACAGCATAATCAAATTTATTTCATCAGGTAATTGTTTATTATTTTATTAATTTGTTTGTTAATGTATATTTACTATTTTATGTCGTAACACATTCAATACTGGCTGAATTTCAATTTTCACCTCTATAAACAGAATCGTTTTGTTTTTCTTAAGTTTTTACACTTTATGACCTGCGTGCATGTTCCAAATACTTTCCTGTAAGTCAGCCCGCATTAAGCGTGTTAATCATTTCCTATTTTATTTTTGTTTCCATAGTTATAATTATATTGTTTGTAAACTCGTGTGCAGTGCCCGGATTTATATTGCATATAATATATATACACTAATAAAACCTCTGATATATCATATAATTTGCACTAAAAATATTAAATACGCAGCATGAATGTCAGAGACATCACTCAAATTAACATTTTTTAACGCAGACGTATTTTTGTTCTAGTAAAAATTAAGTAAAATAATTCCTGTCATAGTGGAGGGCTTAACCTCCAACCTACCCATTGGGTGTTGTAACGCTGGGCCAAATCACTTTACAATACACTTTTCATACTTTAATCCAATAAAATCCATGGGCTCTTCTGGGATTGACTAGTTTATTAACACAACAATGAGAGTTTGGGTTGTCGTTAATTCAGATTTTTGAATGATTTCAAGAAGTCTAGTGTGTAAAATGAAAAAAAAATATCCAACATTTTCGTGTTCATTTTCTGGTGTAAGCATTTAGTAGTGTGAATACATGGTGGGAGAGTCAATGGTGAAATATTTTCAAGGTGGTAGAGTTTCTTTTCGTTTTGCACAGTTAGACATTTTTCCTTGTATTCTGTGTAAATGGTGGGTGTGAAATAAAATATGCCAGTTTTCAATTCTGCCCTTCCTCTTTTTTATTCTTTGTTTTTTAAAATATCATTTGATATAACAATATTCATTATTGTATTAGGTGTATGCATTTTTTTAGCTTTCCAGAGAGAAAAATAGTAAAATTTTCAAAATTTATATTTATTTTATTTTTAATCCAAAACATAATTTCTTTTGTTTTTTATAACATACTACCAACGTCCTGGTGTTAGAAATATCCAATTTTTGTAAAAGTCTGATGACAGATGAGAAGCAAACTGTAAGTCTGATTTTCAGCGCTTTTACATTAAAAAATCCCTATCATCAATGTAGTTGTGTAGCAAGCTGAACGAGTAAAAATTAGAAGGGACAGGCTACTCAATGATTTTACTCTAAGTGTAGCATGGTGTTATGGTGAAATACAATGTTGGTTCTATTCTCCAGGGCTGGAAGTTTTTCCTTCAACTCGTACCCAAGACGCTCTAGCTGCATCGTACACTTCTGCCATAGGGGTTTGATTGTGTGGTAACAATTCCTGATAATTTTTTTCTCTAACATACGTTGACGGCAACTTTTCTTTCTTCTTGCAAACAGTCCTACGGCTTTTAACATTTTTGTAAAAAACCATCTTATCCCCAGTGACAACATTGGAAATAAACCCTTACGATTTATTCCTATTCAGGTGCAAAATGCAGCATACCGTCTTCCTTGTTCCTGAGGGACAATTCATGTAAACCCTCAGTTCACAATATAACCCAGGGTTCTTTCTATTATTGTGCAATGTTCCTGAAATCTCTTGATAGCTCTGCTACACTTAATTTTCCTCATCCTTCAATGTCAGTAATAATTCGTCATTTTTAAGCTCATTAGGCGTTCCACATCCAGGATGGTCTTTGGTTAAATCAGATCCACTGTTAACACATTCAGTTACTAAGTCATTACCATAAAATTCCACAAAATTTCAACAGGCATCCAAAGCACTGCCCAAGAATGAACTTTTATAATAAAGCAATCCTCAAATGAATTTTATCTGCTTCCATGTCGTATGTGTCGCAGTTTATTTTAGACTGACTTTTGGGATTAACTACCTATTTTTAACAATGTTTTTCAAAAGGGTTTTTCTCACCCTAGACCGGTGAGTGATAGTTCATCAAGGAACTTGATCAGTAGGCCTGGTTTCAGTGGCTACATTTCTTGTACTGTTACATTCTACAACCCAGAACACATCCTCCTATGGGCAAATATGGCACCACAGTTTGTTAGTTGGTGTCTCCTTTGTTTCTTTGTATAATCAGCACATGCCGTTGTGTTTTGCCAATCTTCTTCAGATGCCCATTCAGTCTGCCGTGTCCTGTTAAGAATCTGCCAGGATTCGAAGTTTTTTCTTGCTTCCTCTGATACATTCCATTCTTAACTTCCAAAATTAGCTTGAAGGTTCTTGAATTCTTTATATCCAATGATTGAATTCAGCTGATTCCTCATTTTCAATTTGTCCTTTTGTCTAAGGTACTTAATGTGAATCCCTATACCACATCCTGTATAATTATGGTGAATCATTAAATTTATTATAAAATGTTGTAGTAACTTTCTTGTGTGAATCAATGTTTTGAATAGTGTGAATGTATGGTGTGTGTGATTTGATGCAGAATATCGAGTTACCCAAACAAGCCTTATTAAGTTAGTTGAGATATCGAGTATCCATTGTTTTATTGGAATGAACGGTATGTATATAGGAGAGGAAGCAGCATTTTGAGAATGAGTGAATATATTTCTAGCTTGTAACTTTCATGCATTTTGAGCTATCTAATTGTCAATAACCCCAGAGCATAATTGTATTGGGTAGGTGATACTCATGGCTCACTGTGATAATAACATTCATTATTAATGTTACTTATACTGTGATTTCTCATATTATTTCAGATTGGGAGTACATACAGAGTGGACTTGCAGGAGAAGTGAAGTACTTTTCTGGATAATTATTGTTACTGGTGAGAAATATACTTTTTGTGAGGGTTATTGTTACCTATTAATAAAATAAAGATGTAAATATTACTTGAATTTAAAGATTAATAATTAATAGCAAAGGAATTCAGCCATGTGTTCAATATTAATCTTATTAATAACATCTCTCGAGAATTCCTTTTTTATTTACCAAGGCCAAAGATATATTAATGTATATTTATTAACTGTTACACTGAACGGGCTTTAATGTGTGATATTCATTCTCTGCAGTTTATTTATTTATTGCATTAACTTTTAAGTTTCTGAAAATATTGAGTTGTGATGCTGAGCTCACAGAATTGTTTTAGTTTTTGTTTTAAATTAAATTGTTTATTTGTTGTTTCTATGGTTTGTAATTTAATTTTACAATTAATTCTGTTGTTTATTGTTTCAAAGCGATATCCAATATTGCACGTTTTGTGTTTTGATTAATGACTGACTAGTTGGTTAGTTCAATTGGTGATAAATGCACAGAATGTAGTGGAATGGTTCTGTGGTGACTTGGAAATATTTCTCTGTTGTTCTGTGTTTATAAGAGGTTTTATAAACAATATAAAAAAAGCTAAATTACAATTTTATGCGTGATTTTTGTAGTTTTAAAATATTTTGTACAGGATCAATTCATTACCTCCCCCCACTAAATTTCATATGAAGTTCTTTCTTATTTGAACGACAGTGTGTCTGGCCGGTTAGGAATTGTTATGTATGATTTGCAAAGAAGGCATAGAACGGATGATACAAAACAACAAAATGAATGAACTTTTAAAATGAAATATCTTAAAATCTGAATTGTAGTCTCTACTAGATATTTATTTTCCTTTATTCAATTTCTACACAGTTTAAATGCAATAAATTATAAGCACAAATCTGTTATTTAAATATGTCTTAAAGGGCATAAACAATATTTGTTTTTGCTTAATGAAAATGGGTAATTTTAATTTATAATTCTCTTTTCAGAGTTTAAAATTGTACATTCTTCAATAAAATGATTAATTTTACTTTCTTCCCTTTTCTCACTGTTAAAGGAAGATCTCACCGATTTTTTCGCTTTTAAGGTACGTTTTAAAACTAATATTACTTTGTATTTGGAAATGTATGTATACAAGTTTTCATATTAAATACAAATTCTTTGTATATTGGATATTATTATTTTATTCCACGGAAGAAAATATATATATGTTCTATTGAGTATATTTAATCATTTAACATTGTCTTCTACTGGTTTATTTTTAGCCAATTTTATACTAAAAGAAATGCAATGACCGAACTGGAATTATATTAAAAAAATAATGTTATAATTTTTTTATACTAAGCAGAGACCCATTCACTGCCCTAAAGTATTTATTAAAACCTTCCAATTTTTCTAAGCAATAACCATATATATCGACTATATAAATATATATATATATATATATATATATTGACCAATAATAGTTAGCAATAATATATAATTTTTCATGTAAGTCGTATATGTAATATGTAATGTTGAACAACAATGTGAGAACACGCCGATCTCATTTGTTCTATTTTTTCTTATTTTGAGATTTGTTTAATAAGTAAGAAGAATAAAAGTGCAGAAAATGAATGAAACACATTTTTAACTTTTAAGCCTTTATAAATGATATTCATGTAAATTATTAAAACAAAAATATACATCTTAAGTAATTAGATATTTATTAATTGTATATATATGCATATGTATAATGGTATTTAAGTAATGTATATGTGTATATATATATAATTATAAGTCTTATCTTTGTAAATAAAATGTTGTTGTATATGTGTATTTATGTAATTATATTAGATAAATTAATTAACATATCCCAAATTGAGATATGAAAATAAAACCCAACTAATAAAGTTATTTTTTTGTACCAGAAATAAATTGTTATCGATCCTTTTTCACAATGTGTAGATCCAGCTATGTTTATGTTAAAACTATTATTTAAACACTAAATACTTGGATTTGTACCTTTAACAAAGTTAATTGTATTGTAACATCAATCATTGCAAGCATTCATTACTTTAGTCGTTTTCATTGTTATTTATAAGACCTTTTTTTAAAAGATAATTACAGAATATTGATTTATTTGAATAAATGCTTACATAATGGTTTCAATTGGCAGTATGAAGATATAATAGTAGTCTAATTAAACAGATAATATAATAATACTTTACTGGAATTATAAGTGTCCTGTTGCGGTATATATTTAATGATCAAATTATTTCATATGTACTTGTTTTTCAGTTTTTAATTTTACTTTATGTGCTCAAAGTTATTCAGCCATTAAAAAATAAGGTTTATTACATTTTTGAGTAATATGTTTGCTTGAATTGTTTGTTACTTCACATTGCGCTGAGAATTAAAGCTTAATTTTAATCAATTTTAATTTATTCCTTATGTGTTAAATAATTTTTCAGTTGTGAGAGTGATTTAAGTGATTTATTAATTCGTGAAATTTTGATAGTACACAGTAAGAAGATTCTGTCTTGTTGAAAAGAACAACAACAAAAAATGTAAAAAATACAAAATCATTTTTGTACATTTCATTCCAATTTGGAAACATTCAATTTTCAAATTTAATTCTTATTTACAGATGTTTTTTGTTTTGTTTAAATTTTGATTGTATTGAAGAAATTTGGCAAATGAAGGATCTCAACAATGATTTTATACAAATCCAGTTTCAGATTGTACCGACATAAAGGTATTAATTATTAATGAATTAATTATATAAGAAAGAGCAATGTTCCAGTATATATGAACGAACAAATATGTACCTTTTGGGCGATACTTTGTTAATTTTCCTTTTTAGTTTTTGTTTGCTTATGTTTCAAGTCATAGTTAGCACTTTGTTGCCTCATTAATATATTATGCTGGATACTCAGGAGGACAAATTAAATTTGTTATTTTTAAAATTGTGTTTTGTTTTCATTTCCTTAACTGCAAATACGTATCTGCACCCTCAGGGCAAAACTGTATTAGCCAAAAAAACAACTTTTCAAGTTTGCAATTTTAAAGTTTAGACCAACCTTTGGATACCTAGTTTTTTAAAAACATAAATGGGCGCTTATGATCACACTACCACTTCAGATTTCTTAGGTGAGTAAAACTAGGTAAGTCACATTCCAAATTCAGTCAAAAACAAAATTTAATCAATGGAAAACCAAAATAAATGCTCTTAATTCACTTTTTATCAACAACTGTTAATATCACACCTTGACGAATATTCACTAGGATATATATAAATAAACTTTATGAGTTATTTCGGTTTATAAATAGACAACTATAGAATAAAAGAAATGTCGATGTAACTTTTCAAGATGTATAAAAAGACATTCGTTTTAAAAGTAAATTCAACTTAGTTATACAATCTGTCAAGCCTAAAAACTTGAATGGACCTGTACATTTTGACCCTGAGGTTGCAGATATAGTACTGAAGATCAATTAGTTTCTGCATGTTCCCCTCTCTAAGGAGAGATAAATAAAACAAAGAAAATTAGTCTAAAGTGTCAAACAATGTGAAGATGGGTTTTAAGTGTTAAAAAAATAAAAATATTTAGCAAATTATTTGAAATTCATTTCTCTCAGAGCATAATGTAGAGAAACATTAGATTAGATATGAAATAAAATTAAAACAGAAATTTTTATAATAATAATAATAGTACTTTATTTGATAAACTTTACAGTAAAATCACTATATGGCATGGAAAATTCCATCTTCCTGAAGCAAATGAATACTCAACAACAAAATAGTAAAAAGAAAATTAAATTAAGAACTAGAACATACAAGTAAAGCGAAAAATATAGATTTTTAGTAGGTTTTAGAGTGACTGCTTCCACATTTACCGCATGAAAACACTGGAATCTGTTGCAATGTTATTGCAGGAGTAATCATGTTACTAATATACACACCATTGCACCAGACCTAACCTCTCAACAAAAATCTCATAAATCAAGAGCACTGTCAATAGGTGGCCCTTGGAGGATCTGACCACCACCGCCTAACATGAGAATTGCTCATGAGCATGACAACTATCTGGGTGTTCTGTTCAAGTTTTTGTAAAGAAACAGGAAAATAACTAATTATAATTCTATTGTATATAATACTGATAGTTTTGTGTCTCTAGTGCATATTGCTTTTATTGGCATGAATTTGAATGGCCAACTGTCCACAAATTATTTATTTATTTACGGATCGAAATCCACTATAAAAAAAGACATTTTACAATATCAAAAAATATAAATAATATATGTAAAAATACAAATAATATATATAAAAAGAATAAGGACGTATATGCATGGTAATAATATAAATGATAAATATAAAAATACAATTAAAGAGTAAAAACTGAACAACAAAAATGAAAGACATAATTACTAACCAAATAAGGCAGAGGAAACAAAATAAAGCTGAAAGACAATTGAAACTACAATAATTAGGTACATATTTAATGAAAATAATGCTCTTTGTAAATATATATTAAGACTAGAGTGCGAGAATTAGTTGAACCAGTAAATGAAATAAATTGTAATAATTTTGTACAGTATGAAATATAAAAGCATTCAACTAAGGTTGTAGGATATGGTTTTTCACATATTGCACAGAACTATTGAAGAAGTCAATGGTATTGCAGATGTTGTTACTCTTGATCATCATTCTGTGTAGAGGAGAAGAGAGCATGTAGTTAGAGCTTTGGAATTCAATATAAAATAATTTATAGGTTTTAAGAGAGTGCGAAGGGACTTGTAGCTGTCAGCTGAGAGAGGAGAGAAGGACTATCAATGAGATTGTTTAATAATTTAAATACAAAAACAATATCAAAGTAATCCCTTCTTAGTGCCAGTTCGAAAAGTTTAAACTGAGAGCGGGGTAGGATTGCAGGGTAGGAAGAATTCGGAGGACGATTGAGTTTGTAAGAAAGTTTTTTAAAAATTTGTTTTGTACAGATTGAAGAATTTTTTGATAATTTAGATAGAATGGGTTCCAATCAGGTGTAGCATATTCTAGTATGGGTTGTACAAAAGCTTTATAAAGATGGACAAAACATAGAGGATTTTTAAATTCATAGGTGCTCCGGATGATGAAACCTAGCATCTTCATAGATCTATTTTTTATTGAAGAAATATGTTCTTTAAACTTGAGCTTTTGATCAAAAAGTACACCAAGATCCCTTATGATCTCAACTCGCGTCAAAAGAGCATCATGGAGAGTATAGAGATAAATAAAAGGTTGTTTGTTATGAGAGAATGTAATTGTGTAGCCTTTGGAAATATTAAGAGCAAGTTTGTTATTAGAGCACCAGGTTAGCACATTATTGGTAGAATTTTGTAATTGTAAGCAATCAGAAGGAGAAGTGATTATGGAATATATTTTCAGATCATTAGCAAATAATAAAAATTGAGCAGAAGGGAGAGCAAGATGGATGTCATTAATAAATAAGAGAAACAAAACTGGTCCAAGATGAGACCCTTGCGGGACTCCCGAGGAAGCCACAAAGGGACAAGATTTAAATGATTTTATTTTGACTATTTGTTTTCTGTCAGAGAGATAGCTGGATAACCAATTCAAGATAGTTCCGGTGAAATCATAATCCATTAGTTTCCTTAACAGTATTGTGTGATTTACTTTATCAAAAGCTTTAGAAAAATCAGTATACACTGAGTCTACTTGGTGTCCAGAGTTTATTGCATCTAAGATGTAATTTTGAAATGTGAACAGGTTAGTAACAGTTGATCTATTAGAGCAGAAACCATGTTGCTGAGGTATAATAAAAGATTTAATGTCGTTTTTAAGTTTATTACAAATAATAGAATCAATTTCAAATATTACTCATGTAATGTTTTAGAAGCCATTCTTTTAATTAAATATAATGCTACAGGTTCTTAGACTTGTCATTCTTTCCCTTCCTGTTACTTTAAAATAAATAACCCACATTTTAAACTTCTTTCTCTCCTCATCCTGCTTTCTTTCCTCCTGGAAGGAAGCCCTAATAGTTGCTTTACCCAAAAACCTAACCCCCCCCCTCTTGCTAATGATTATCACCCTATTAGTATCTTCCATCACTATCTAAAGCATTTGAAGAGATTTTGTTTAAACAAATATCCTTATTTATTGACTCCCATGCTCCTGTATCTCCTTTTCCATCTGGCTTCTGAAAATTTCATAGTTATGAAACAGCCCTTCTGAAAATCTCAGATATTCACCTTAGCATTGTTGATAATAAGTGTATTATTATTTTTGTGTAATACTCAGCGATTGTTAATTACTGATTATTTAAAGATGGTGAGATGTGGTCTAGTATGATGTAGGTAGAAAAACTTTTTTCTTTTCAAACCAGACCGCATCTCACGATCTTTAAATAATCTGGACTATTATTGGTCTACTGGTTTTCCAATGCATTCAGCTCCTTAAATCATAA